AAAGATCTACTTACCTGAAATTTGCTTTACAGCCCCATTAAAATTTCAAACTTAACATTATCAAAATTAGTAAGTGGATTTTTCATGATCATTTTCGCATTGCATTTGATTTAATTGTGTGTTTAAGAGCATTATGTAGACTATAAACTTTATAGTTTAAGACCATAAATGAATTAATTTTTGAAAGTTTTTTAATCAAGAATGCATAAAGAGAACTACAAGCAATCGCACTGACTTTATATGCAAACACATCCGTTAGGCTACGTTTTTTTCTCATACTACTCAGTTATGTTCTGTGAAGACGAGGGAAAAAAATCGGCAATCAAGCTCTACGATTTATTGAACATTTTAATTACGACCTGCGGACATAAACAACTTGAGAGTGTTGAGAGTTTACGAGAGCTTGGGGCTACTCAGAAAACACTAGACCAAAAGGCCAAAAAGGCATAGAAATGGAGGAAGAGGAAAAGGCCCAGCTGGAGGTTCCACACTCTTGGACTTGGATGATGCGAATGACTTTTACCGGGTTTTTTTTTCAACCTTTTTATTTTTTTGGTTGGATGCTGTGCGGGATGATGATGACCAACCATAGTGATGATGATCATAGTTATCAATTGCCCGGTGCAAAGCGGAAAAAGCGTTGGGCAAACAAACAAATAAATAATGGTAAACAAACAAACAAACGGCTTTGTGCCGGGATTTGCATGAGAAACTACAGTTAACAGCGATGGAAAAACAAATCTCAAGTGAAATGTCTGCAAGTGTAAGATTTTCGGTAGCTTGTCGTGTCAAATGAAAGAAAAAGGTCCGAAAAAAAGAAGAAAGATACATCCGTGAGTAGACAAACTACTTGAAACTTCACGCTTTATAAATAACAATAAAAAAAAAAGGTAGACAAACCTCGGGCGCAGAACTTGAACGAAAGTACTTGTAAAATAAAAACAAATTTCGGTTTCACTTGGAGCATAAAATTAAATAACCAACAATAACAAACTGAGAAAAGCTAAAGCTACAAATAATGGCAACTAATTTTCCCGTTCTTTCCCAGTCAAAGTGGGTGGGTGTGAGTCACACGAAGACTTTCACGTAATTAAATCAAATTTCGAAATGAAAATGAAATGAAAATGATTTATTAATTGCGGCCTTAGCCATGCAAATTTCCCATTGAATCCAACTAAGAGAGCGTCTTGTGACATGAGCCAGAGTCTTGAGCCTGTGAAGTAGCTCTATCTAACGTACCGCAGTCAAAGCGGTGAAATTTTATTTCTCTGTTTTTTTATCCTTCTTGTCTTTACTCCGCTACTCTCTTCTTGAATCTCTTCAAGCTGATTTGAATAACAAGTGGCGGGGTATTCGCATCTGCAAGATATATAGATACAAGCTGCCGCTGCTGTCAGTTACATGCGTTTAACTTTGGCTCCAGTGTTCGCTGCCTCGGCTGCCTCTGCTGCTGTTGCTACCGCTGTCTCTCATTAAAAGTAAATTTCGAGCTGCTGGCATAAATCAAGCCTCTAAATGGCGACTCGGCTACAAGATATATTCGCCTGTTCAGGGTGCACAAGCAAATACGTTGGCTAAAAAGCTCTCACATGCCCGGAGGACTTGAAATCCGAAATCCGAGAAGTGCTGATGACTGCAGGACTTGTTAGCTAAGCTTGTTAGGTGGAAAAACAAAAGCCGACACTGAAAATCAACTTTGCTGTGAAGTGAAGAGGAAAAATGTGGCAATTTGTTATTTCGAAAATTGTCTATGACTAAAATGAAGATAGTTTGGGTGAGATTATGGGGCGGTTACATGAGATTTTTAATAATCTTTTGTAATAAATATATTTTTAAAGCTACTGCTTTGGCATATTAACAAGTCAGTAACTAGCTGTTTGTGTACATTTTCTATTTATTTAACATTTTCAATGGTCATTACACTTCATCTCATTTTTTTTCCATTAATTTTCTCCCATTTTAAGCTGTTAAAATCTTTTACTTTTCCCAGTCATTTATAAGCAAATATTTGCAATCATATTTCGGCGAAATTTCCCCTATCAATGGCTCATCAAGTGTTGGCTAATCAAGTGGCAATCATGGCCATCGAAACAAGTCAATAATCCAGGCATTCATCAGCAAACACATCACGCATACGTCGTGTTGCACATAGCTAGTTTCTGCGCTTGCCACTGCAATTTACTGTTTGTTGTTTGCTATTTACCAACCAATGTTGTTATGGAACAAACAGAAAGAAGTCGAAATTTTCCACGTCATTTGGCCGGGCAAATGGTAAATAGAGAAAAAATTAGCAACCAAGAAAACCGAAAGAAAGAGTTGCATAAAAGGAAAAACTTTAAAGAGCCATTGCTGCTAGGAAGGAAAATCAACGGAAATGTCACTTTCTTTTCAATCAAAACGCAATTCATGGCACTCCAAAAATACAAAAAGAAAAACGCTGGAAAAAAAACAAGGTAAAAAACCCAAAACACGAAGTGCAGAAAAAGAAACACAACCCGTGAAAGGTCGCGCAGAGATTCCGACTCCGAGTTGCAATCCAAATTGCAGGAAGCTGGCATCGGAGAACACGATTTTCAAGTGGCACTTGGGTGGGCAGGGAGTGCAGAAAAAAAAATAAAAGACCTAGAGGGACCGGGACCAGGGACCAGAGACCAGGGAGTATCTCTTGCTAACTGCCACCGGCTGAACTTTAACCTGTGTGAAAAGCGGACATACAGCAACAAAACGCTTTAATTTGCAGTTCGTGGAAAATTCTTTTGGCTTAGGGCCTAGTTAGGGCCTTCCGTACCCCCTTTCCCACCTCAATACAGTACATGGGTAAATATTTAAAAATGTACTTAGCCAAAGTGAAAGAGACAGGCAACACGGTGGTAGTGGTGGAGTGGAAACAAAAGCATTGGCGGCGACAGTTTGGACATTTGGACAGAAGCGACAACCAGCTGACGCCAAATAGGGAAACGGAAAAGCCAAAGTACAAGCGGCAAAAATTCAATAATAATGGTCAGGGTCAGTGTAAATCACTCTCTTGCCAGAAAGGAGTCCTACCTGACAGTAGGTGGCTGAATAGCTGAATGGCTGAATAGCTGAATGGCAAATGACTGACATGGGAAGTACCGTTCGTTCATCCGTTCGTTCGTTCGTTCGTTTCTTTCATTCCTTGTTTCTTTCTAGCCAGATCATGGCCTGGCAATTTGGCCTAAACCAAAGATGCTTTCCGTTCAATTATGTGCTAAGTAGGAAAAGGGAATTGTTTGAATTTGGCCCTGCGATTTGGGGCGCTAGAAAAAGGAAAATGGGGTTCAAGGTGCCTCTAAACTAGATCGATAAGTTGTCAGCCAAATGGAAAGCTGCTCTACAGGAAAATTTCAAACGGGAAAGTAAAAACAAACGAAAGAATAAGCAAGGCATTAATCAAATGTAAGGTATTATTATAAATCTCTATTATTTATTGAGTATTTTTCTTAACTTTCAACAGGAAAGAAAGAAAATCAATATAAATCTATAAATATTTCGGAAGAGTAGATTGACATATATACATATATACATTATATCAAGTTTCCTATTAACTTAATTCCTCTCAGTCTTCTTTCACTTACTTAAGCTTTCGCTCCCTTTTTAACCTAATGAAATCATTAGGTTCCCTTACTTCAATTCCATCCACGTTCTCTCCAATGCCAAGAATTTACACGCATTGATAGACAAGAAAACAAATTACAAAATAATTAAACAAATACCGAAAAGGGAAAAGTTATATGAGTAGAGCACATAGAAATGAAAACTACCTTCAATTGTGTCATAAATGACGGCAAACAAACAAACAAAAAACAGCTGCCAAGTAAAGGCTGAGAAATTCAAAACTGCAAAACTTTTTAATAGTTAAACAAGGGGAATAAAGACATGAAGGGACAGAGTATCCTGAGTTCCCCCTGCTGTCGGCAAAAGTTTTCCAAAATGAAAAACAACTTGGAGAAAACACTGGGAAATGGTCGCAGGAAGGAAGTGGCTGATGGGTTGGGTCAGGTGGGCTAGAATGGAATGGATTGGAAGGGGGCAAGAAAAGGGAGATGACTGGAAATTACAAGTAAAAGTGCGTTTGGCAGTTTACCCGGTTACCCAGGGTTACAGACCATATATATATATATATATATATTATACTCTACTCACACTCGACTTTACGCGGTCCCCTCCAAGTTGCATCAATTTCTTAATAACTTTGTTCCCCCATCCTCAACGGAAAAGGCGCGTTGCAACGCGAGGCGAGCCAAGCAATTTTGTGTGGCATTATGTGAGGGTCTCGTTTGCCATTAACCTGCTTTGGCCAAGGCAACACAAAGCCCGACTCGTCTCGAATCAACTCAACTCGAGTCGCCTCTCCTCGACTCAAAGTGCTTTGAATGCCTGGCAGAAAGAGTCCATCCCTCGGCTTTTCCTTTTGCATTTTTATACTTTAACCGTTTTCACTTCTAGCAAGGTTATTAAAAACTAAGAAAAACAGACAATATATATATAATATCCTTTACTTTTTATCTGATTTTTAATGGAATCTTGTTGATTTTCACTCTAATCAGATTTTTTACAACCTTAAAATATATTTTAACTACCTTTTGTAACTACCATAACGCCATAAGTTTATGTCTTTCACAAACCTCTGCGAAAAATGCCAACATCCCATCATAAGAAATGAAAACTTTTGGTGGAAAGAAACATAGTCCATATGGGATGTGAGGATAACAAACGCAACTGGGGAAGCGTCAATTTCGCACTTCATGCATGCCAGAGAGCTGGCAGAACAGAAGACAAACAACACTTTGTAACGCCTCGAGAAGACACCTTTCGTCCGAGGAGCAAACATTTGCCAGTTGGCCAGCAACACTGTGTAGCAACTTTAATTGCTAGTCAAATAGTGAAGATAGTAGAGGCGGAGGGCAAACCCTTTTGGCCACATCAATCAACAGAAGCTGCTGAATCTCATCGCTTGCAACCACTTTTTCATTTTACAGAAAACGGCGACAGCGAAACCAACGAAATATCATTATTATCCGCACAATCAGCACATCTATCTGCTGCCCGAGTGTGCCATTCAACAAGTTTGTAATGCCGTCTACGTGAGACTGAACTACACCCAACCGCTCTGTGCCTGTCCATCAAGGTGAGTCTGGTTGATTGGGATTGTCACTCCACCGCTGCCGCCGCCAGCTTCTAAGTAATCCTTGCAAATCTAATCCTCTTCCAGATATCGTGATCCCTGCTCGGCCAGTCTGAATGAAGATGATCAGCATACCACAAAATTGGTTGGCGATAATAAGAAGAAGGTAAGCTCATTCCCTCCTTTTCAACCGAGTTACTTAGATAATTGCTTTCGGGCCACGACTGTAGGATCTCTTGGGAACCGAAAGTGGAACTGGCAGAAGGCAATTCTAGATCATTTGTTAGATCACTCTCGGTTGATCATTAGTTCAATGTATAGTTACAGCTTCTCGCTGGCACGACTCTAGACTTCTTGGGAGTTTCAAATCTCCTGCTGACCACAACAAATATGATTTGATCTCTTTTTAAATGAATTAATGTAAGATGAGATCTGTAGAGGCGGATTATTGGTAGTTCCATAGCTGAGATCACAGACAAAGGCCATGAATTTCATTTTCTATAATTGCTTGGAATTCGGAAGAAGTTTCGTTTTGAGGAAATAACTCTAAAATCACTCGGGAATTAGTCATTGAAAATGGTAGCATTGGGTTTATCTGAAGGTATTTTTATTGTGAAAATCTAATTTAGGAGCAATGAGTATTTTGTAGCTTAATCCGGTAAAGATAACCATTTATCAGAAGAAATAGAAAGCAAGAGACTTATAATACCTTACATTCCCTACCTTTTAAAACGAAGTAAAATTTCCAGAGAACAAACATAAATACCTCTTAGCTGCACACGCCAAATAAGCTATGAAATTGAGTAGCATTTGAATGCTTAGAGAAGATGAGTGCTGTTTAAGATCACCACTCCCAGAAATCAATTGGGAATTTCGCAAAGAAGTGGTCAATTAATGAAAAACACGAAGGCTGGAAGCCAGCAGTATATCATTTGATCAGTGGAAGATCGCCCATTGCAAATGCATCGAAATTGAGGCTCATTTGTTGGATCACCGAAACGTAAAATTGATTTCTGGGTCCATGGCACAGACTCTCGGTCGGTGGAGGATCTGCTTCCCAGACAGCCGAAGGCACGATCAGTTTGTTGGCCAGGTCAGCTGCAAAATCACCTTGTGGGCTTTTGGCCGTGTGGTTCGCCTGCGGTTTGCAATATTATTTGCTTTATTGCCTGGCCATGATCGACTCCTTCGCCCCGATTTTCCTTGATTCTCTGCACGTTTAATTGAGTTATAAATGCGAACGGCGTTGCTTGGAAAAATGTTCAAATAAATTAAATAATAAAAAGCATTTCTAATGGCTTAATGGTGGCGTACAGTGGACCATGGAGTGTGCAGTATGAAGTATGGAGCATGGAGTGTGGGCAGTGTCAGACATTGTCATAATTACACTTCACTTCACCGTTAAATGCAACACTTGCTGTTGCTGTTTTGCTATTTTGCCACTTTGCCGGAACTGTACAGCAAATTATGAAAATGCGTTTAGCTGGAAAACAGAAAACAAGAGCGGGGCGTTAGGAAAAACTGGAACAGCCAGGCGGACCACATTAACCTGAATGCCGGCCAATGAAGCGAGCGGAAAATGGGTAGGAAAAAAAAAGAAAGAAAAGATTTTCCCAATTGGCTGACATGCAAACGAGCGCCGCAAGAGTCAATCAAATTAACGTTCGACGAGGAGCACTAACAGTAGCCCAGGCTGTAAATCAGTTAAAGGACAATCAGGTTGGCCAATTGAAAGCGTAGCAGAACGGCCAAAGTCAGAGCAATTTGGCCAGCAAAGTGTTTGAGCCAGCCCACCGGCTTTAAAGTCTGGCAGATCTCAAAATCAAAGCCCTGGGCCACTGGCTGCTCCTGTTTTTTTTTTTCTCTTTTACTTTGGTTTCAAGCTCGTATTAAGTGACAGCTTGTCCATAGCGTTTAGCATGCTAGCTTTCAATTTAGAGTCATGATCGGGATCCAAATCGGGATCGGGGTAACTTTCTTTCCTGCCCTGTGGGCCAAAGTGAATGTCTAATGGGCGGGCTATTAAACCAAGTCTGCAGTCTAGACAGTCTGCACTTAAACAAAATAGGCTAGGCTAGGCACTTTTAAGCCATAAAGAAGTTTTACTTTTTTTGCACTAGAAAAACATATTAGAAAAGTCGTTATATCATATATTATATATATTATAAAGTTTTTGGCTAGGTGCATGGATTTTTTAACTCCAACTTTATTTTTCATGTTTAGGCCATAACGTTGGCCAAAACCTGCGAGGCCACCACTGAAATGCGCGAATGCCGTTCACCCAAGGATTGGTCCCTTCTGGCGCTCCAAAACACACGAACTGGCAAATCGCACTACCTGGTCATCTGCCGTTGTCCCGATCACTTCAAGATGGGTATGTACCAAGATTTTTAATTTGTACAAAATTTTTAATATTAATTTAAAAAAGAACTGCTCTATAAGTTATTTACGGAATTTATTGCATTTTTTAGAGGGACCCATGGCTCATGACCAACCCACTTATGCCAGCGTGCCCGGAATCCGAGTCTTTGGCATGATGTGCGTGAAACCAGGATACTCGGTGCGCAAGCCCAGCAACCAGCCACCCAAGAGGTATCAATTACAGAAGCCCTTCTATCGTCCATCGGTCGGAACTACTGTCGGTGGTCAGAAGGATAGTTATGGAAGACCCATCTACGGCGGTGGCAGTTCCTCGGGAAGCTCTGCCATTAGCTCCAACTACCAGCCGCAGGATCAGAGCTTCCAGAATGGAGGAAGCAGTTCGTATCAGTACCTCAACCGACCGGAGAGCAGCGGTAGCCATAGCTCTGCCAACTTCCGTCCGGATCAGTTCTCGATAAACAACTTCCCCGGAAGCAACTACGGAAGGAACAACGAGAGACGCGGTGATTTACCACCAATTGAGGCAATTTCGAGTGGATCGGGAACTGGAACCGAGGAGCAACCGAGCAGCAGTACTCCTGCGGGTGAGGAGGAGGCCAGGACCACTCTGCAAGCGGAACAGGAAGCAGAACCGGCGGCTCCAGCGGTCCCCGTGAATGCAGAACTAACCACCACGGCGGAGGAAGCTCCGATAGAAAGTCGGGCCAGGCGATCGCTTCCCGAAACGGACGACTTTGAACCAGAATTCCCGTGGGATCGTGTCGTCGAGTTCCAGCAGAGCATCATTTGGGACTAAGAGTTCCGGGAATACCAACCAATCCTAGTAGATAAAATTTTAATAGCACAAGGCGACATTTCCGGCGACTATAAACTGTGCAAAAAACAACTGTGACTGAAGTAATGATGAGAGAACGGCTTCGAGAAAGCATAAAGTTCACGTCACGTCACGTAACGTCTAGCGTAGCGTAACGTAATTAGCTAAGCTTTTCTTAATTTAAAACATGTTTTTAGGCATTTCCCTTGGCATTTCTTCCCAGCATTTCTTCTTAACACCCGCCCGCCCCCTCTTAATTTATATATTTATACATGTATTTATTTACAAAACAATTTACGAATTAATTAAACAATTACACGTGCCCGGGCGCGATCGCATTAATTGTTTAATTAATTTGTTTTGCATTTAAGCGTAAACAAGGCCTCAACTTTTTAAAATAATATTTAAAGATTTAAACGAATAGTTTAGGTGCGAAACTGGAAACTATTTTAAAAGGAAACAACTAAACAAAACGATAATTAAATACAAAAAACCAACACCGAAATTATTTAACCTAAATTTAGTTGCTTATTTATGTTTAGACCTAAGCTGCATTTACTAGTAGTTAAATAAATACTATTTTAAAAATACAAATCCTTACCACCCTATGGTTTTAATATTTCATATAGTATATATTTCATATTTCAATATTATGCACTTACCTAACATTTCAGCATTGACCACAATATTACAGCTATACATGGGTGTGACTAATCTCTGGGGCTGATTTTGGAAAGCCTGACGACAAACCTCCTTGGCAGCAGTCAAAACCTGACCTAAAATTATTAGGAAATTGAATTAATTGAATATTCATCACAGAAAACTTCATTAACTTACCCGAAAAGGGACCTCGGGAGTTCAAATCCTCTCCTTCAGCTTGAATAGACCATTCGAGTACCGCAAAACAAACGCCCTGCATGGGTTCCTCGCACAATGGACCAGCCACAGAGGTCAGTTGGAAACCATTCACCAGCGAACTATTGAAATCCTTTCGCGGATCTGTCTTGGAACGTATATCTGTATCCGACTTGGCATGACTTGACCAGAAATCAGGCTGCTCGTAATCGGTAAGATTGAGCAGAATATTGGTACCACAGTTCCGAGGACCCAAAGCCCAGACTCGATTCACAAGCTCTTCGGTGGACAGGTTACTTAATCCAAATAGCTGTAGATCCTGGAGAGCAGCGATTAGTTTTACTTTGATGGCGGCCAGCAGGGTAGTCCATTTTTCTGAGAGTAGTTGATTTCGGGGGATGGCAGCGAGTTCCTGATAAAGGAAGATACATTTAAATTAGTTACTGATAAACCTTTATCTTTAGTAACTATTACCTTAAAGAATTCCGAATGCTTTTCCAGCAATTCTACAGCTTCTGCAGGCATAGGCACTGCTATCACCTTCAGAGTTCCTAGCTTGTTAAGCGTCTGCTGGATGGCGATCTTCTTGCTGACATCCTTGTCTTCTGCCGTCTTCACAATAGCCTCATTAACCATATCGACCGTGGCAGCGGGAACAATCGTTTCCCGGAAGGATACAATCGGTTTGGACACATTCACCTTGATCTTGGCATAGCTCTGCTCCAGATCGTGGACACACTTCTCTACATGTACTTCGCCCAAAGTAGTGATTACATGCTCACCCGTAGGAGCCACAGACACCTGGACACAGGCATCTGCTTGGTTCAACAGCTTCAATCCCTTTACCAACTTCGGCATATCTTGCGGTTGAACTGGTTCGATGGCCACGCGGAGAATAGGAGTGGCCATGATACTTAATTCACTGAACGAGGTGCAATCCAAACTGCTACTGAGGGTAGCTGTTTTGACGATGTGCGATTCCAAGCCACCGATTCCCACGATATTTCCGGCAGGCACTTCATCCAATAGTTGCAGTTCACCTCCCATAAACATGTAGAGATCACCGATGGTCACACGACTGGCGTAGGTTGCTTCATCCTCCTTACGATGCGTTGGCTGTCGAGGATCATGTTTGGGAGAGAGATTAAACAACTCCATGCCTCGTTTCAAGGTGCCGCTGAAGACCCTGGCGAAGGCTATAAAAACAAACTCATTAGCTTCGCCCTGTTCCGGCTCAGGTTCCTCCTTTTTCGCGACCTCCACCTGGGTGCTCAGCTGCTCCACCCCTTGGCTGATCTTCTCGAGCTCCGCTTGTTCACTTTGCAGTTTCCTTTCTTCAATCCGACGACGCACTTCATCCCTGCGTTGCTGGACTTCCTGATCCGTTAGCCTCTTGGGTCTGTTTTGGGGCAATTGCGTTACATGTACTGGCGTCATCTTGGACACAAACGCTATGACATTTGAACTATCGGCATCGCAACCGGTAAAACTGTCCTTGAGTTTCAGGGTTTCCGCTGGCAGAGAACTTAAATCCACATTCGCTGGATACAGCAATCGTTGGGCCCTCTCCTCGGTGATTTTGTGAGGCGGTGGAACATGCTCAACAACCATGTGTAGGACACTCTTATCAATGGGTAGCCATTGTCCAAGAACCGCCTTGATCTGCAGCTTGGGATCTGTAAGACGCAAATCTCGAGCGGCCAATTTGAGACCCAATTTCTCCGCTATGCCTGGTAGTTTATCCTTATCCTTCCTAACGGCTATGATGTCATAGAGGCTCCAGATGTTTTCCAGCACAAATTGAACAAACATGGGTTTCTTGGCCTTCTCCTGGGCTCCCGGTAAAGCTTCTTTCTTCTTCGAGTTGTAGTAAAAGTCACCCCACAGGACTTGCTCCAAATCAGTCCGCTTCATCTCCAAACGCTTTGCGTACATGGCTGCGAAGTTCCGAACGGAGAAGGCCCAGCCGTCATAGGCGGAGCAAAAGATCACATTGCCAGAGCTGGGTGAAAAATACAATTCGGAGTCGTCCACTTCCTCCAAGGCAGACTCGTAATTATCTTTCTTTGTTATATCCTCCTTGGCCAAAATATCGGAAGCAAAAATGCTGCCCAAGACGGCGTTAACTTGTTCCAGGACTTGTGTTAAATGAAAGTAGGCATCGAGGGGATCCATCTGCTTCTCCAGGATCAGACGGTCTAGTTTGTTGAGAACCAAGACGGGTTTCAGTTGCTCCTCGTAGATTTGTTTTAAGCAAGCTCGAGTTTGGGGACCTACGCCCTCCACCACATCCACCACAACAATGGCACCATCACATAGTCGCACCGCTGTGGAAACCTCACTGGAAAAGTCCACGTGACCAGGAGAATCGATGAGATTGATAAGGTAGTCTGGATTACCAGCAATATCCTCCGCTTCCTGATAGTACAATGAAATACTGCTGCTCTTCATCGTGATGCCTCGCTCTTGCTCATCCGCCCGATTGTCCAGGTAGCGCAGCTTGCCCGCCATCCGTTGTGAAATAATGCCATTGCTGGCCACCAGGGAATCCGCCAAAGTGGTCTTTCCATGATCCACATGAGCCAGGATGCAGATGTTGCGCACCTGCTGACGTCGACGCTGCAGCTGCACCAAATCGCTGCCCTCAACCACGGGCATCCTGAATAGCTATTTTGGATATTATTGCTTCAGTTGTCAATACGGTTTCAACTGGGGATTTCGCCAATTGGTCCAATTGTATTTATAAACAAAACCGCACGCGGCAATTTCGCAATTTGGTGTGACCAGCTGCAAAAACTTTAAAAATAAAAGCCATGTGAACAAAACATATGTTAAGTGCTGTTAGGGATATGCAAGTTTAGCCAGATTTGGCTATTTTAGTTAACGAATTCGAATATCTTTGTAAATCTTCCTCTTATATATGAAAAACGTAAGAAACATATAATCATAACATATGTAACAATGTGTATATACCAACAGGTAATATATATATTAAACGCACATAAGAAAAAATCTATTTTTAGCTATTCTCATTTCACATCACTGCTGTTAATAACCTCTGGTAATGTTAACTATCAGCTGATCACCACGCATGCAGTTGCGCTCTTCCTCTTCCCCGGCAACAATTTCGTGATTTCGCACGCGAGAGATTCATAAATTCCTTTAAAAATGGTTGGAATAACACCCGCAGAGAAGAAAACACTGATAACGCGCAACCTGCAGGAGACGCTCGGCGATGACAAGCTGACTAAGATTCTAGCAGAGCGGGATCTTAAGATCTACTGGGGAACGGCAACGACTGGCAAGCCACATGTCGCTTATTTCGTGCCCATGTCGAAGATTGCCGATTTCCTAAAGGCAGGATGCGAAGTCACAATCCTGTTCGCCGATCTCCATGCCTATCTGGACAACATGAAAGCACCCTGGTCTCTGCTGGAACTACGCACCCAATACTACGAACAGGTCATTAAGGCCATGCTAAGTTCCATTGGAGTTCCACTGGAGAAGTTGAAGTTCGTGAAGGGCAGTGACTATCAGTTGTCTAAGGAGTACACCCTGGATGTCTACAAACTCAGCTCCGTGGTGACGCAGCATGATGCCAAGAAGGCTGGTGCCGAGGTGGTAAAGCAAGTGGAGTACCCGCTGCTCTCCGGCTTGCTCTATCCCGGACTGCAGGCTCTGGACGAGGAGTACCTCAAGGTGGACGCCCAGTTCGGTGGTGTTGATCAACGCAAGATCTTCACCTTCTCGGAAAAGTACCTTCCACAGTTGGGCTACGAGAAGCGAATTCACTTCATGAATCCTATGGGTGAGTCATCCCCTTGAGTTAGTGCCTTTATCAACATTATTAGTCTTTCGTTTTTATTGCTTTAAATATTTTTAGTCCCCGGTTTGGCTGGTGGCAAGATGTCCTCTTCGGAGGAAGATTCCAAGATCGATCTTTTGGACTCCCCAGCCAACGTCAAGAAGAAGCTAAAGAAGGCCTTCTGCGAGCCTGGAAACATTGCCGACAATGGTCTGTTGTCCTTTGTTAAGCATGTCCTATTCTCACTCTTCAAGGAGGGCGAAGGGTTCGAAGTCAACCGGGAGGCAGAGCACGGTGGCGATGTTACCTTCCTGAAGTACGAGGATCTGGAGAAGTACTATGCTGAAGACAAACTCCATCCAGGTGATCTGAAGGCCACCGTGGAGAAGTACATCAATCGACTGCTAGATCCTATTCGCAAGACCTTTGAAAAGCCAGAACTGCAGTAAGTAATCTTTAAAGGATTAGAGATATATCATTTTAATTACATGTTTGTTTTTAGAAAACTGAGTGCTGCTGCTTATCCTCCACCTGCCAAGGTCAAGGCTGGAGCTGCTCCGGCTGCTGGAGGTGACGAAGATGCGCCACATCGTCTAGATATCCGCGTGGGCAAGGTCGTGGAAGTTGCCCGTCATCCAGATGCCGATACTCTTTACGTGCTGAAAATTGACTTGGCTGAGGAGCAGCCCAGAACGATTATTAGTGGCCTCGTAAAGTTTGTCACCCAGGAGGAGTTGGATCAGCGACTGGTCGCCGTTCTGTGCAACTTGAAGCCCTCCAAGATGCGTGGCATTTTATCCGAGGGAATGGTTCTGTGCACCTCCAAGTGGGTTATATTTATAGGTAACCTCTAAACCAGTAATTGATATATTTAATTAATATCTTCCAGTGCTGATCATACGGTGGTGGAGCCTATTGTGCTGCCTGCAACTGCTACTCCTGGCAGTCGGCTCTCCTTTGAGGGATTCAGTGGAACGCCCGACGAGCAGCTCAATCCCAAGAAGAAGGTGTGGGAAAAGCTATCCGCTGACTTCAAGACCAATAGCGATGGATTGGCCGTGTGGAAAGACAACTTCCTGCTGACACCCGAGGGCGAGAAGCTGTCCAGCAAGCTAGCTAACTGCGCGATTAAATAGATCTTTGATTGCCAGCTTACCTGAGCCGTGTAATACTTACAACTAAGCCGAATGTTCACAAACAAGAAATTGCTGCTAATTTATTAATTCCTTTTTGTAAAGAAAATGCATTTTATTAAATAAAGAGCTTCGAAATAAATATTTTGATAGATCTGTTATTTGCAATGAGTATTTTTGCATTAAAATATTAAAAAATTCCTTTTAAATCTAGCTGATAATTACTTTTTGAACACAAAAATCCAATATTTTCTCCCAATCAGGTGTTTTCGAATACCAATTTGGCTGTTAACTCTCTGTTACCGGTAGCAGCAAGTTAACAGAGCCTATTTTCGATCAGCTGTTTGGGATAAACAAAACCCGGCAGAGGAAATTTATTTTTCGAAATCCTTAAAGAAATGTTGAAATTAAACCGGCGATTATTGATGCAGCAATGTCTGCGCCATGCACACAACCAGGTGCGCGTCCGATTCGCCCCAAGTCCCACGGGATACCTGCATTTGGGAGGACTGCGCACAGCTCTTTACAATTTCCTGTTTGCCAGACATTTGGATGGAAAATTCTTACTTCGGATTGAGGATACGGATCAAACACGACTAGTTCCGGGGGCCAGTGAGCGGCTAGTGGGTGATCTGCTCTGGGCGGGCATTGAAATTGACGAGGGACCCGGTTTTGGAGGTCAACTGGGTCCCTACGTACAAAGTCAACGCACGATGATTTACAGGTGATTTTTGAATTAAAACTGCTAAGTTATTTTATCATAAAAATTCCTTTTGATCCCCAGCAAAGCCATAGAGGAACTTCTCCAGAATGGCACAGCCTACAGGTGTTTTTGCACCGAACGTCGTCTGGATTTGTTGCGTAAGGAGGCGCTAAGAACACGGCAAGTTCCACGATACGATAACAAATGCCGGCATCTCAAGACGGCTGAAATCGATTCCCTGCTGGCCAAGGGAACAGCCCACTGCATTCGTTTTAAACTGACAGATCACGAGGAACCACTGGATGATCTGATTTACGGCAAAGTGTACCATAATGTCAGCGATACAGAAGGTGATCCAGTAATCATGAAGAGCGATCAGTTCCCCACATATCACTTTGCCAACGTGGTGGATGATCACCTTATGGGCATCACCCACGTCTTGAGAGGAGTGGAATGGCAGATATCCACCACCAAGCATTTGCTGCTCTACAAGTGAGTTTTGTGAATGATTCTCTTATCATTACCAAACTTAAAATATGTATATTCTCTCAGAGCTTTTGGCTGGCAGCCACCCAAGTTTGGTCACTTACCGCTCCTTGTAAATGCAGATGGAACCAAGCTTAGCAAACGCCAAGGGGACATTGGGATCCAGAGTTTTCGGGAAAGAGGCTACTTTCCTCAGGCCCTTGTCAACTATGTGGTTTCTGCGGGCGGAGGATTCGAACATAAAGCTCACGCCAAGCAGGAGTTGCTCACAATGCAGGAACTCTTTGAACAGTTCCATATAGATCGAGTTAACTCCCACCCCAGTCGGCTGAATCCCGAATTGCTAGATGATCTTAACCGTATGGAAATAACACAACGTCTATCAAATAAAGAAAGCCGCTTTAAACTGATCCATCAAGTCCAAGAGCTGGTGAAAAAAGCTTATCCGCAGCAGTAAGTTTCAACTTATGATTATCTTTTACATAACTTTTAATCCTAATAATATTTTAGCCCCAACCTGGATCTAGCTGAGGATCACATAGTGGATGTCCTGAATTGGTCCTCACAGCGTTTAACACTAATCCAAGACTTGACCAGCAGCAAACTAAGTTTCCTGTGGGTGAAGCCCTCCAATTTCCAACTGAAGAATATGACGTCAGAGCAAGTAGATGTCATGCTTACATTACTCAACGAAATTCAAGACTTCCAAAAAGAAGAACTCAATGTTAAGCTGAAAAACTTTGCTCAAGAACAGAACATTAAATTCCCGCTAATGATGAAAGCCTTAAGAGCAGCTCTAAGTGGCTTAAAAGAAGGCCCTGGAGTGGCGGAAATGATGGAGATCTTGGGAAAATCTGTTACCCTCGAAAGACTTAAAGAAGCGGTGCCCAAGGAAAGAATTCATTTAGAACAAAACCAGTAATTCGGTTAAGTTTTGTTGTATTATTATATAGATTTTACTGATAGATTAATTAATATAATATATTGATAACTGTTGCAATTTGAGAATAAGATCAATGAGTAGACACCACATTAAGAGTCAAAATTATGTATGATTAATCTTCATCAGTTTCATAAACTATTTTCTCTTCGTTCCATTTTGGCATTCTCGTTTTGCTCGGTTAAGCACCATTCCTAGACAATAATACACTAAAATCGCTTAACTAAAGTCGCGATTGGTAAGGATAATGGGGGCTGCCAGGCTCCAGCCGTAGATAAAGACACCCAGCCAGCTAGAGACGATCTTGACCCACATGGAAGCCTCGTTACCGTTGAAGAGCTCGATTTCGGAGTGAGGTCTAAGGGAATGAAAAGCCCCGATATAGATAGGTTTTATGTATCGAAAGATAAGAGGCTAAGTCGTTTGTACTCACTTGTACCAATTGGTAAGTGTCATCATAACGTAGAGCGAGGCGCAGACGAAGACAACATGGAACATGGACCACGAATAGGTGACGCCCTCGGTCTCAGTATCCGTGCTCTTTCCTTTGGCATCCGTGCCGGCCTCTGTGTCTGATAGAGCTTCTGTTAAAACTACATTAATCAGAGTGCAAGGAGGAGCGGCAGGTGGCCATATTTTTCACACAGTTTCAAATACCAAGTAACCGAGTGGATTAGTTTGGTTAGTCGGAAAAAATAAAGAGAAAAATAAAGCGGCAATAGCAAATGAGTGTTAATAACCAGTTTTAGCTAGGGCATTTCTATTTACAGCGAGGAAAATGAAAAGTGAGGACGATCGAATGTGCGGTGGAAACTGTGGAAATGGGGTAATGGCTGGGAATGCGGACGGAGCACTAGGAATGGAAACACAAAAGACCTACCACGCTTCTCGCTACTATCTTGGGTGATCTTAGAAACTTCTACCGCCGAACTAATGCAATTGTACAGGATACACAAGAGCCAAACCACCAATCCAATAATGTTAGTCGTGTCGAATGTAACCCTGGTGGTGTGAGTGGGTGGTGCTACAGTGGTGGTCGAGTTTCCGAATCCCTCCATCATTCCGAACATTCCAGGATTGCATTCCTTTTCTGAGGGTTTAAAAAAAAAACGATAATCTTCACATGTACATTGATTTTAAAGAGGCTTTCCTACCCGGATTGTTGGCCACAGCGGACCAGGTAAGATAAACCGTGTATAAGGTAACCAGGGAGCTCTGCAATAAACCGGAATGTGGCAAACGTTCCTGGACAGCTGGTAAAATCGATATGACACTGATCACCAAACAGAATATCAGATTAATGGAGATGAAGAACTTGTTGATGCCGCATCCAGTACTCTAAAAATATGGAAATTACTTAAGTACCAAGCAATACAACCTAACATTTTAATCTCACAGTGGTAAAGTAGATATAAAGCAGCGTAATCCCAGTCAACGATAAGATATAGCCCACCAAAGTTACCCCAGCCAAGGCGTAATAATATCCACGACTGTTTTCGGCGCTCTCTAAAAGCAGATTTAAATAATTAGCATAGATGAATCACTATAACCTCCCAAGACATGAATCACCAATCCAGTTCTCGGCCAGGGAGTGAGCGAAATCCACAATGATGACCAGCTGAACGAGTATAAAGGCCAAGCCACCTATTAGACCGACCCACATCATGGCCGGTCCGAAGGATCCATCTGGGATAAATATAGCTCCAATTGCAGCGCCAAAGCAGATCAGGAATTTCAGGGGCCAAAAGTTGTTTTGGATGTGGGATCGCGGATCCCTCGAGCTCTTTACCCCAAGCATAATCAGTGACATCAAAGCGAAGAAGCAAGCCATTCCAAAGCAAATCCTATAGACAGCCATGTAACCCAGAGCGTATTCGCAGTCGACTTGCAGAGATCCGCCAGAAACAGCACTGAGTGCACCAGAACTATACGAGGAAGTGGAATTTATGCAGAAAGGCATCTTCTTCAGAGTGTCCTGCAATCCCGGAGACAGGGCGATCGCTCCCAAAACCGTGCCCACCAACAAGATGAAGGCATACATGAATCGCGAGGATGAGGCGTTGGTGCAACTGGGACAGGCCGAGCAGCACATACTGGCTGCAGTGCCTCCGCAGCACATGGCGCACTGGAATTGTGAAGAAAATAGATATCAGATTATATTCTATATTGAACTGGAAATACACCCTTGGCTTACAATAAAAACATAAATTTTAAAAATGATTAATAATTATTAAGAAGAAAATAGATTTAGGATAGATAAAATGTATGTATATATCTAACTAAAACAAATATCACATGAGCATAGTATAATCTATAAGTTTATAATTAATATAAAATTTAATTAGAATATAGAAAGCTTTTTGACTGTCTATTATCGTTCGAAACAGAACATTAAATATAAGAAATATTTACAAAGAGGCACCCCGCAAATGGGAAATTCCTGGAACATATGGCTGGAGTCTTTATTGATTTGTACCAAATGACCAAGATTTCGTATGGAAATTATACGGTTAAATGGCTAGCAATTCGGGATTAATTTACTTACTTGGGCGGCCGAACAGAGGCCCAAAACAGCTCCCATTGTCGCTGAGATTTATTTAGCCTTTAATTTCTCCTAATTGCGTTTTTGCTAAATTAAACAAATCTTTGTTTGTGAAAAATGTAGACACAACCTTTCAGCCCTGGTAAAATACCACTTATTAAACTAGTTCTGTTATCACAAAAATGTCAATCCTTACCAACACTTTTTGATTTTCTTGATAACCGATAAAAATGATATCGACTACATTTTTCTTTTCAAAAACTAAAACCAGCTACATAACTGAAATAAATACATTGCTATTACCCTTCTCATTAAACAAAATTTTAGTAACATAACATAACAAATCAAATCGAAAAAACTAAAGTCCGTAACATTATAATAAATTCGTGTTAAATAATAAGAAATAGACTGTAGTTCAAATAATTTCATCACATATTTTATTGCAGTCTTTACATCCTTTTGTTTTACAGAAGGTAAAAGAAACGTTACACTATTAAATAGTTTTAAGCCACCAGATGGCGCCATGTGATCATGTATCACAAGTATGTTATTATTATTATTTATTACCACACTAAAAAACAAGAAAATTTAAAATTGAGATTAAAAAGATCCTATTACAACGAAAATATATATAAGCTATGTTTGTCCTTACTATTTGTTGGTACTTATTGGATAATTCTAGAGATGTTTTTTTTTTACAAAGTTACAACGTTCTACAGCTGTAGATCGCATATGATGCTTCCACTCGAGTTCTTGCGCACTGTTAACCGGCATATGAAATTCACTCTACATTTAAACTCATGTTAACGTTCGTGTCGGTGTGTGACCAAATAAGTTTTCCCTATGGATTTATACTTAGGAATTTCACAATTGAAAGATTAACAGCCATATCGCCATACGGTAACACTGCCAGCAACTCAAAGCCGCCTCCGCAACGAGAATCCGCTCATTTCAAATTTTCAAACTCCCGAGAGCGGTTGCGGTGGTGTCGATATAGCGGCTCCTGAATCCATCCGAATCCGAAAACGAATCGCATCCAGCCAGTTATCCTGCATTTGCCGTGGAACGAAATCCGAATTCGAATCGAAGCGCAGTGGTGGTTTCTCGCTCTCTCCCTCTATATCTCTCTCTCGCGTGTGTGTATGTGTGCGAGTGGCAGGAAAAGTGCGAAGCCGAAATCTTTGTAGCTGAAAGAAAGCGCAACTTCAATTAGCAAAAGCAAAAGTAGTAAAAGAAAAGCAGACAAAAAAAAAGAAAGAAATGGCAAGCGAAGTGGCCCAAATACCCGCCGAGGAAACGCCCGCAGTAGCGGCGGAAAAATCAGAAGAGCCGGAAAAGCCAGCAGCCCCGCCAGCGGATTCTTCAGCGGCTCCAGCTGCCGCCCCCGCAGTGGAAAAGGTAGAGGATGCCGAGTCTGACAAGAAGGATGAAGCCGGAAAACAGGACAAGCAGCAAGATAATGAAGAGCCCAAAAAGGAGGAGGCGGTGGCCGCCCCAGTGGCAGCCAAATCTGAAGCCCCGCCCGCCCAGAAATTCAATGTGCACAAGACCAACTTCGAGAAGGACATTATCTATCTGTACCAGTTTTCGCGCACCCCGCTGCTGCCATCTTTATCGCCGTATTGCTTGAAGGTGGAGACCTGGCTGCGTCTTGTGGGCCTGAAATACGAGGTAAGTAAAGACAACGAAATGAAAATGATGGAAAATCCTTGAAACTTCCCTTAAAATCAAAGGAACTCCATTAAAATCCCAGGTTATCCCAAGAAACCCCAGTTACACATCAGGATCATTAAGTAGATTCCCAAGAAAACCCAGAAAAACTATACAAAAAACCCAAATCTCCCAGATATCCCAGATTTTTAAGGCATTTTTGCGGTACAGATTTTTTCCCAGCTCCTGCGGGAGAGGGAAAGCGAGAGGAAGAACCAAAGAGAAAGAGAGAGAGAGCCAGCGCCGCCATCATGGTGTGTGCTCGTGAATGTGTGTGTGTGTGACCTGCCCTGCCCCGTAACTGAAAAAGGGATACATTTAGCCTGTCCTCTCTTTCCCCCGCCCATGTGTGTGTGAACCTGTAGCCTGGTCCTGTGTGCGTGTGTGTGTGCATAGCGTATACATAAAATTTGTGTGTGCGCCGACGCCGACGCTACGTCGCTGCTTTATGCTCCATTCTGCCCCCTCTCTGATTCCACATCCCTCAATTTGCCCCTCTTGCAAAAGTCGTGCTTCAAATTTTGCACTTGCCGACTCTCTCCTTTTGTCTCGCTCCCTCTCTCACTGTCTGCTCTTTGTCTTTTGTTGCTGCACTGTTTTTTATTTCACTTTTCTTTCGACTTCTTTTTGCACTGAAAGAAAAATGAGTATAATAGGATGCGGAAATATGATGCTACAGCAACCTTGTGCACCATTTAAATTATGGTTGAACTCATTTATGCATATCTAATGCGAGTTACTGCATATGTCGTCTAAATTTATTTTTTATAACTTAACAAAATCGTGAAAATGTAAATGTTTTCATTCAATATCAATATTTTTTCTGTGTACAGCAGCAGCAGCAGCGGCTTGTAATTGCTTTTAATAAAAATTGATGCAGTTTAAGATGGACTCAGAAATAGCTGTCTCCCTCTTATACTCCTCCGCCTTCTCCTTTTCCCTTTCCTTTTCTTATCCGTTAAGTAGCTGTAATAGTATGTGGGAGGAGGAGGCAGACAAACAACTGTCAACGACTTCCAATGGTGCCTTCCATTTTAGCTTGTTTTTTTTTTCATTATTTTTTCTTCACTTTTTAAAGCGCGCGATGCGGTTTGCATATTTTTCATATTTTTATAGGAGAGGAAAAACTTGTATGTCTACGGCTGGGGGAGAGAGGGAGAAATGGGTGCGGTCACCCGCACAAAAACTGGCGACGCAATTGCTGTTTAATCTTATTAATTACATTGGTTAATGAAAAACGAGCCCCTTACGAGGAATGTTAATTGATGCCGTTTTCCAGATGCCGATAAGCAGCAATCGCCCCCATATGTTGCATTCCACGAACGTAAGGGGGAAAGGCAATTATGATTGACAGTCCGTCAGTTGTTGGCCCGCAGCTGGAAATTACTTTCCATTTTCATTATTCCCATTTCCACTGATAAGAAGTCTGAAAAACATACGAAAAAAAAGAGTTCAACAAACTGGGAGACCTTTGACATTTCTGGTTTGTTGTTGCAGCAGCGCATTAATCATAAAAAAAAGGGAGGGTTTCAGTAAATGCAACTGACTAAGCCAGTTTTCCCCCCTCTTGATTTTTTTTATACCCCCCGCTGCTGCTTGACTGCATTTTTTTCTTTTCCTCCTTTGTATACACATTCATCAGTGTAAACAAGAGCAGAAGTTGTTTCTTTATTGATGATAAACCAAATGCATATTTTTTCACACCACATTGAAGGCGGCGCCCATTAATAAACACAGCAACAACAACGCCGGGGCATAAGTTTCGCTTTTGAGGCGGTGGCCCGCATTGCTAGCATTCCTGGGTGTCGCGCTTGTAGATTGTGCAATTAATTTACATTTTCTCTGCTATATGCATTACGGGCACAAAGTGATTAAAATTCAAATGGAAATGCTGGCGCGCCATTTCATTTGTGCAATATTGCCAGAGCCTGCAGTTTCAAGGTATTCTGGCAACGCTGCTACCTCTCCTGCTGCAACTGTACATGTGCAAATGTGTGCGTGTGTGTGTTTGAGAGGAAATGGATTTTTTTTCGTTTCTCGTTTTTTTAAAAAAATTTTTTTTTTTTTACGTATTGTTGCTGCCTTTGTTTTAATTAATAAACCGCATATTTGCATTAAAACAACATACAGTGGACGGCCTTTGTTGTTGCTCACTCGCTCCAGTGCAATTCTCTCTCACTCTCTTTGGAACTTTTGTGCAAGGGTGTGGATATACGCACACACACACACTGGCTGCATAATTACATTGGTGTTGCTTCTTTTTGCCTGACTTTTTACACTGTAAGAAAAGGAGATTGAGCCAGGCAAACCATTGCCTTAATTGGCATAATGATTTAATAAAAAATATTTGCATTGTGCGTGGGCACAAGAAGATGGAGCCAAGAAAGAAGAAGCAAGCAGGCTGCCTTTTTTGTGGATCATTGGAATTGAAAAATGGACTCCACCCTTTTTGCAGAGCGTTGCGATGCTGTCGCTGGAAGGCGAAAATCTCTCTACAACTACAACGTTCTCCGCTCTCTCATTTCCTTTCTCTCTATTCGTCTCTCTCCGATGGACAACCACACCCTGCCTCTCCCTTTTTTGGCAGAGGGCGCGAAAGCATAAAATATGCCAACGGCTCGCTTTTTGTTATGGCCCTCGTATTTCTAATTAGAAATTATTATGTAGATTTGTGCAGCCAAGCTGAAAATAAAAAGGTTCAAACCGGACACCCGCCTATAACTGTCACATAGCTAACGGTAACGCTTTATGCGGACGTGTGTACACACTGGAAGGCATTGGAATATGTCAAAATGTTCGAATAGCGGGCAATTGGAACGACGTTTTCCCTCCTGCTGTGTATGTGTGTGTGTGTGTGTTCATTCGTTCGTATAGGGGTGTTGGTTTTTGGGTGGGTTTTTCGGTTTTCGAGTCTGGGTTTTGGGTTTTTGGGTTCCTGGGAGGTACAGCTAGCTTTTCGTGTAGTGGTTGGTTTTTCAGCATCTGCTTGGCATACATAGGAAATGCCCAAATACACACGCAAACAAACGATTGCCGGCTAGATGTATGTCATGAGCGCCATCTAGCGGCCGGAATTCTGGCGGGGGAGTGAACTACATTTTGCATTACTCATGGGCGTAAAAAATACTTCCTGGTTCCATATGGACAGCTCAAATTTATAAGTATCCTTAAAATCTATACTTAAACGAAAAGTGTTTATTCCATCGGCTTTTACCAATATTTTTGGGGTCTAAATAGCGTCATTAAAATACATATTTTACATTTTACAAAATATTGAACTTGGATATGTTCCTTAAAAATAATAATGATAATATTGAAGAACAATCTCATTTATTCGTTACTTTAACTGAAGCTAGTGTTAAATTAAAGCAAAAGTTAATACATACAATCCCTTAATCTTCAGTTTGGTACAATTTTTTTTTATCAATACTCAAGTTAGTAATATATTTTTTGTTATTAAAACGTTGATCCTGTAAACCAAAATTAAAAATATAATGTTCTTTTCCTTGAGAAATGAAAAACTAATCACATTATAATACATGCCCCTTCCAGTTCTCTTGACTTATTACTATTTCTTTCGTACTTATGTGAGGCTTATGGTATTGTTCATCCCAAAATCTAAACCGTGAAATTATAAAGAAATCTTGTGAAAAAAGAATTTCCGATATAATGTCTAATCAAGGCATTATTTGTTCCCACTGCAATAAGCGGAATGCTGCTCTCAGATAAAGGGTGGGGTACACAATCGCCCACTCCCCCACATTCCTCGTATGATTACTCATCCCAAGAAATGAAAAATAAAATGTTTATTCGTGTTCTTTCCCTTTGCAGAATGTCGATCATAAGATGCGTTTCCGTTCGAAGAAGGGTCAGCTGCCGTTCATTGAGCTGAATGGTGAGGAAATCGCTGATTCGGCCATTATCATCAAGGAACTGTCGTCCAAGTACGAGAAGAACCTGGACTCGGGACTCACCGCCGAGCAGAGGAATGTCTCGTACGCCACGATTGCCATGCTGGAGAATCATCTCATTTGGATCATCTTCTACTGGCGCGCCAAGTATCCGGACAATGTGCTCAAGGGCTACAAGGTCAACTTGCAGCACGCCCTTGGCCTGCGGCTGCCCAACTCGATTCTGAACTTCTTCTTTAAGATCACCTTTGGTCGCAAGGTAATTGGATAGTTTGAGATATTTGAGGTCATGATCATGCTCCACGATTTTCACTTTCTCAGAATTTGTATGATTTTGATTAGAATTTTCATTGGAACATTGCATACTTTTGGTCATTGTTGTAATTAGTTCTATAGACATTTTCTTCTACCATTTATAGTCAATATCTTCTTGTTACAAATACTGTTTAACACATTATTCTAGTTATAAAACAATCGGTTATTCTGGTTGGTAAAAGTAATGCTGTTTTCGGTGTTCTACAAACAAATAATATTTTAGTAAATTTGACTTTTAATTTAACAATTTTTAAACTAATTTGAACTGATAAACTTTAAATGCGTTTAATAAGTTACATTTTACAATAAGTTGGTTAAAATTCTTATAGAATAGACTGTACCTTTGTGAAACTTATAAATAACATTGACACATAGCCTTTTTCTAAATCAAACAAAAAGACTGAAAGTGAAAACCGGAAGATGCCTGCTAGACAAGTAGAAAAATATTTTTTCAACCTTAAAAGTAGCTGATTTAGTTGGTCTTAAAACATTACAACGTCAGCAGCTGAGCCTGCAGTAGTTCCTAAAATCGAAGATATCCGCACTTTTGTTTAGATTGAAATGGTAATTGTAAACCGGAGAGGTTCCTGAGTTGGCTGGCGTTGTGGATTAGGCGGGGATGGATGGGTAGTGTAAATAAACAATACTTGAAAAATGAAACTAAGGAAGCGGTGGCGTATTATATTGCACCTAGCTGTACAAAAAAATAGAAAGATAAAAACTCCAAACACCACCACCATCCCCACACATAGTTTATCCCAAAAAATAAACCCGTTGACATAAACAATAAATCCCTGGCGGGATGCATTTGTTTATATCTCGATCGGTACTCACATAACCAAACCAAAACCCAAACGGGAAATTGAAAGGAAAACAATCGTTATTTTACCACTAACTCTTGCATGGTTTTCTCTTTTTTCTTTTTCGTTCTTTTTTGCATACTACTTTGGTTTTGAACATCTAACTGTGTAATGCGTATTGCCCCCGAATCCCCAAAAATAACTCACATCATATCCAACAACACCCCGAATCCATAACGTATGCTTGTGCATCCCCTCGTAACCCCCTCCGTAACTGCTGTACGGCAAAACAACTATTCAACACAACAAGTGGTTCCAGGGCACGAAGAAGCTGAAGGCGCATGGCATTGGCGTCCACAGCGCCGAAGAGATCGAGGAGTTCGGCAAGAACGACCTGAAGGTGCTCAGCGAGATGCTCGACTGCAAGCCATTCTTCTTCGGCGATGAGCCCACCACCCTGGATGTGGTCGCCTTCGCGGTCCTCTCGCAGCTCCATTATCTGTCCAAGGACATTGCGTATCCGCTGCGCGACTATATGACCGAGAAGTGCCCCAACTTGATTGGCCACGTTTCTCGCATGAAGGACAAGTGCTTCCCCGACTGGGACGAGATCTGCACGAAGCTGGACCTCAATGCGCACATTCCCAAGCCAGAGTGAGTAATCTTAGATGAAATAAATTATGGAAATCTTTATATTTACTTAATGTTTGTTATATTCTAGACCCGAGACCAAGGAGGGCAAGGAGGGTGGAGAGCAAGAGAAATCAAACGAGCAGGAGGGCCCTGAAGGCGACAAGATCGAGAAGGAGCTGGAGAAGGACAAGGTGAGGCATTAGTCCTGAGTCTCAGATGACATTTCATTCGTCAAATAAGCTTAAAGTCTTTTAAAAAACCTGGCTTAAACCTGAAATATTTAAAAGAAATCAGTCGAAAATACCGAAAATTCTTGTAAAATCTTTAAATTTGACGATGACAGACCATCTGCTATACTTTATATACTTCTACATATATTTACTGTTATCCTTTGTCATTGCAGTCAAACGAGAAGGAGTCGACCGAGGAGAACAAAGAGAAGGAGGAAACAAAGTAAATTCGCCGTTAGTTATATGCGTACATATATCTAGTATATGTGTATGATCCAAGGAAACAAACACCCACATACACACACATTATATATATATACATATGTAGTACGATACTATATAGTAAGGCCCTATATAGCTAGGCGCTGCGCTCTCATATATAAGCATTCAGACATCAGAAAACCACTCGAAAAACAAAAAAAAAACACAACATTAAGAAAAACACCCATTTACAAACCTAGGACAACTGTAAAGCAAAAGCAGGCAAAAACCATCAGCAAAAGAACGATCCACTAAGTAATGAGAAAAAAACAAAAAAAAGCATATACAATAACGTAACGTAAAACTTTGGACATCTTTTTTTATATATTTACACGACGACGTTTGTATTACAAGAACAAGAAACAAAAAGCAAAGAAAAATTCAAGAAAACGCAAAAAAAAACCGTAAAAACCATTTAGTATAAAATTATAAAAGTTTATACGTATAAATATTAAGAAGATGAATGAAAGCGATGAGAGCGGGGGGAGAAATTATAAAAAATTAGTTAAAGAACTCGATTAAAACAAAGAACAAGTGAGCAAAACGTGAGTAAAAAGAGTGAAGCCAGATAGGAGGAAAGTTGGGAAGGTGTAGAACAGCATACATTACGCATTAATCATTAGTTTTCATTCAAAAGCGATCTATATAATACACTCATCCACTATCACACTCACTCTCACAGACACACAAACGAACACATACACACTCACATATAGCATATGCAGCAACAATTGCAACTCGATGGTATTGTTTACTCTTCCAAAATTGATTAAGCTTAAAGTAAAGAAAGGATCCGCAACCAGTACGATAGAAAGATATGATATGATATGACATATAGTGATGGTTAGTAGGGATGGCATGCAATGGGAAAGAGAATGAGAATGCGAATGGTATAGGAATGATATAACGGATAGACGGCAATTAAGTTTATTTTTTATATATATATGATTGCAAATAGTAATTTTGATTCTCGTGTGCAAATAATTAAACAAAGCGGATAAAATTTATTACTTATAATTATATACATAAACCTTATATACGCCCATTATGCATAAAGATGTGTATAAAAAAAACAAAAAACAAAACAAAACATATACAAATTGTATGTTGGTTCTTTTATTATATATTATACTTTATTTCTATAAATATTATTGTAATTGTACTGTGTATTATGATTTTGCTAACCAAAATCCCCATTCATATGAGATGCTCAGAGCGTTGAACCATCGATGTTTCACCTCCCATTACATAAAATCAAAATTCGAACCAAAAAGAATACTCGGCCATCCATACGAACAAAATTTACCTTTTAATTTGTACGAATTTGTAACTACATTTACTTATGTATGTATATTCTCTTTTGGTACGTCCACCACAAAAAACAAACAAACAAAATTATGTACGCCTCATTTATTTTTTCTACTGTCTTGTGTTTTATACGATTTAATTTAATGATATTGATTATGCAAATATATATATAAATATAAACATAATTTCTATTGTAATTAAAAATGCTGCAGACAACAACAAAAACGAACGACAAACTCATAGAAAACACAACAAACATTTAAGGAGAAGCAGGAGCGGAAGAACTGGAAGATTTCTCCGCGGGGAGGTCACACTCCCCCTCGTTCTCTCTGTCTCCTAATCCAATGCACTTTCTCCCTTATCCAGTCGGCCTCCCATTCATTCACGGATTCCTCGGTGTTTATTGTTTTCTGATTTTTTTTTTTAATTCTCGTAAAATAAAAAAACAAATCATCATCAGCCACAGATGGAGAATGAATGAAATCTTTTAATAGGGTAAAACTCACACAACTAAGAAATAAATATATAAAAGAAAAATCGAAAGCAAAAGCAAATACAGAACCCATTGAGGCGCGACAGAAGCAGTGAAAACAATTTAGGAGAAGGTCAAAAAAGATGAAAAAAAAATGAAAATGAAGCAGGAGAAGACGAGCGGGGGCGAACGATCGATCCACGAAGAAAATCTCTATAACGATACGATTTGTAGACTACGCAAGTATTTTTATGTATTAAAGGTTATGTTGTAAGTTTTTATCACAATATTTGTATTGTAGCTCAGTGTTTTATATGATTATATAAAATGGATAAAGAAAAACAAAACAAAAATGAAAACGATAAACCGAAATGAAACCGAAACCATAAAAGCGTAAAAAGCAGATGAGCAGACCCGGACAGAAAGAAAAATTATTGTATTACATACATCTTATATATAATAAATATGCTTCTTAATAAAAAAAAACAAAACAAAGCCCCGAATGCGCCCAACTGATTTACGATAGAGGCTTACACAGCGGACACGCACTGTCCCGATAAAGAAGTCGCATCGGTCGACTTTAAGCCGGGGTGGCTTTACGGCCATACGGGAAACAGAGGAAAAATTTAATTATGACACACGAGTTATCTTTCGACGACGACACCCCTGATAACTCTAATTCAAGTTTGCTTATTCATATCTAAACAGTCATTGTGGCCCTCCAGCTATATATTTCTCCCGATGAAGATAGCAACCCAATTCAAGAACAAACCCCCAAAAATTATTTTGTGTGGTCACTGTTTTCGTGGTCAACAATCAGGGTAGATGAATCAGTTAGTTTTGGGGCACTTTTTTAATTGATATGATGATTCTTTCCAATTTTTCCAATTATAATTGATCTCAGTTAAGAAGTTAACCAAAGCTGGGCAATTCAATTAGGCAAAGTGAAACAGTAAACATTCAGCAGTGATTTTCTTCCATAGCTCAAGGTCGAAAAGGAGACTAAAATAGTAAATAAATACTTTTACAGCCTTTTATATATATATTTGCACCCAGATATGCCAATCAAATTGACATTCAGTTCAATCTGACCCAATATTAGGTTGACGTGGGGGCGATAATCGATATTTGACCTAGGCCAATAAATTTTCCACCTCCCTCATTTTACTAGAGTTGGAAGTTGTCTAATCAACATTTAATTTGATGTTCGATTCGAACGCTTCGAAGCCATCAAACATCAAACAAATGGCAGGGGGCTTTTGGGGTTCTAAGCCCTTTCAGAAGCAACTAATCAAGGCAAACACATCGAAGAATACCAGGAATACTACACCCCACACCCCTCATGCCTTTTATTTCTGTCAGCGACATTTCTAGCAATTTATTGAAGACGAATATTCCAATCAGAGCAAATCATGCGAATATGGCAAACGGAATTTATTACGCCAAGCGTGCAGGGGCCGTAAAAAATAAAAGGTAAGTGTGATATCGTTTGGATCCATCTATCCCCAATCCGCAGTTACAGTTGTCGCCAATGTCATAGCAGTTCATATTTATACTTATTTTGGATATTCACATTGCTTTTGAAAACGTGACTGTTTTAATTATTTAAAGGAAATCAGATTTATGAGTGTATAATTTAAAAGGACAAATAAATGATAAACAATATATTTTTTAAAATAATTTTGGTTTAAAAAATAACTTTTTTTAAGTTACTAATAATCCTATTTGGTATAAAAATTATTTCAAAAAATAAGACTGAATTAGATTTTTTTAAAATTTTTTTTAAAAATTTTATTACTATTGTTTAATATCCCCTTTTTTAATTATATTTAAAATAAATATTTATTTACCCTCTTCTAATATCTTGATCGCATCTGTATACACCTATCACTCTGACAAACACACTTATCCAGCAAAAGCTTATAACGGTTACGTTCCATTTGTCCTTTGTGGCGAATATTTTTTTCCAGCTGCCAGATGGGTAGACGGTTTGTTAGAGCGAGAGGGCTTAAGTATTGGCGTGCACATTGCATGCGGCGACAGGTGGGTGAAAGGGAGAGCGCTAGAGGCATAAGGGAGAAGGGAGGTGGGCAAGAGATAGATAAGTAATTCCATGGAGCATGCAGCTTGGTTGGATGTCGATTCGAAATTCGGAGGCTCCCAGCATTGAATTGGTGTTAAGCACGAACCGAACGAAATGGAAATGGAAATGAGAGAACGAGACTGAGAATGAAAATCAGCAGTTGTCATTGTCATTGGAATTGGTTGTGGACGGGCGGAATATTGGTGGAGAAGGGGAGTTTACGGCTCAAAGGCAAAAAGGGAGATGAAAGACACGCCATCGAAAGGAGAGTCCGCCGGAGTTCCGTTCATCCAGTTGCCGTTGTTCACTGCAACTGCTCGGTTCGGACTCGCTTCTGCTCTTTTAACCGTTATCCAGTGAAGTTTATCCGGGGAAAAGCCCGTTTATCCGTGGAACCTTCGTGCGATTTACCTTACTGAGAATATAACAATCCGATCGTGCTGAAATGTGGTGTATTTCCATATAATGGTTGTTATAAATTAGAGCACGGTATCGGTATCTCACTAATTGTGGAGGCTATCCCTAATTAACCGATCGTGCTGAAATGTTGCATAGTGTGATTTAGTGGTTTTACACCAGGCTGTACCAAATCAGAAAAACCCAACTTAGTAATTGTAAAAAAGCATTGCGTGTTATTTAGAAATTTAAACACTTTTAAAGTTTCTTACAAGAACCACAATTTGAAATGAGATAATGAATTTAACGTTTGGCAGTGAACTAATTAAATAACTTCCTTAATCTTAAGTAAATAAGATTAATTTTTATCAATTAATTGCTACCCATTATATTAAAGCAATAAACACCTAAGTAGTAATTTTACGACTGAACGGAAAAATTTTTAACATTATATAGTTTTATATTAATTTGTCAAAGCCAAAGTTGTTTTAGACAAAGTTGGTAGATTGTTTGATGGTGATAGTATACCTATAAAACCAAAAAAATATACGTGTAATCTGAAAAATCCCCGGTTAATGAACATTTTATATAAACACGGCCTCATTTTCGTCATTTTTCATGTTTTAATAACCAGTTTTGGATGAAATTAAGTTGATCTACGATAGCGGATTACAATTAAAGCTCTTGAATTGGAAAATTATCATAGTGAAAAAATTAAATTATTTTTGAAGCTATAAACTTTAGTTCTACTATGAGCTATCAATAAAAATAACAATAAACATCTTAGATAAAATCACCAAATTAGATGACTGACAGTTGATTACTATTAACTTCCCATCGATTTGCTGAATATTATAAGCAACCGCCATGTCCAATCAACTGTTTTTCCTGAGTTTGGCGGACATCTTCTCCGTGTACCCAGCCATTTTCAAGGAGCAGAGCAAGAAGCTAAAGAAGACAAAGCAGATTTATCTGCCCAGCGATGAGGAGTGGCAGGACAAGATGTACTATATGTTATTGGAGATCCAGCGCCATGTGAATGACTCCTCCGATGACACCCTATCCCTACACGACATCAACAAGAAGGAGAAACCCATGTTCGATCCTTTGCGCATCACCAAGATTCTATCGCCGGGGGTTAGTCCGAGTGGAAGGCGTAGCAGGACCCTTAAGTACTGTCATTCTACCACGGTCAAGGTTACACTGAAGGCTGGAGCACGCTGGACCTTGCCCACCATTGCAAATGCCGCAAAACTCCTCCGCAAACCACCGATTATAGTTAACTTTAAAAATGAGCACGAGATGAGATTGGCTTTCTCCCTGATCTACGATGTCTTTCGATGTGGGTCCATGGGATTGGATTTTCTTTAATGATCATATTAACTTTATAATTTGTACTTTTCAGATAAGGTTGTTATGTCAAATGCGTTGAGTGATGTCTGCTTTTTTGAGAAACACAAAGAGGTGGGTGGGGCTTTAATTTTAGGCTCTAAAAATAAATATAGATAATTTAGGAGCTCATGATTATATCGTACTCCTTTTAGTACAAAAACGATGAGCAACGTATTTGGTTAATGCTCTTTGAGCTCTACGATCGACAGTTCAAAGGTCGTAACTCTGAAGAAAAAGATCTGCAAGCAAGTCTTTATAAGGAGTCGGAAGTTACAGGTGGGTGAAAATAGTGTAGTGATATACATATGTAGACTTTTTCTAAAGTTAAATTCAAAACAGAACTAGCTGAAGTCCTTTGGAAATATCGCGTTAAACTGGCAGCATCGATTTCGCGGATGAGAATTCGCGTAGGAGCACTCCGCCTTTCGCAACTACTTCCTATTCATCTCCAGAACGAAAAAGTAGCTTTTGCAGCAGCCAATCCTGTGGTCACCGGTTGGATTAATCCGTTTTTAATAAGGTAAGTGCATAAAAATTGTATACAAAAAAATAAATAAAATTAATTCTCACTTGATTGCTTAGAAATAAAGAAGAGGCCGATAAGATTCTGACAGAAATGGGCTTTACTGTCCATGGTCCAGACGACGAGGAACCACTTTTGGTGCAGCACTGCAAATGGGATAATATCTGTCCTTTGGTCATATCCTGTATTCCCAGAGACCGCAGCGAGTTTACCAAGTCTGTGCTGATGACAAAGCATTACTTTATAATGCAGGTGAGTCTTTTGAAAATGCATATGATATTATTGGTTGAATATTTATTTGTAGTTCTATCATTGTTGTATTTTCACATTAGGTTTAAACTTTTATGGCCTTGTCTAGGGTTTACTATTATCAGAAATACTTATTTCAGAAGACCATTAAACTTGGCAAATATAAATAAACTAAGTTTACATTAAGTAAGTTACTTATTTACATATTGATATATTTTATATATTGATAAGATGACAAGGGAAATTCGCCCGATGATTAGTTTTACTAGGAAAAAGCTTTAGTCATTAGTTTAAACACCTATTTCCGGTTGCAATTAAATGCATTGATCTATAAAGTGACAAAAACACGTTTGCACTGTCAAGTTTTTCCCGGGAAAATTCACGTAGACAGCGTATAGATGCAACTTCGATATGGCAACACAGCGTAAGATCAATAAACACTGAAACTAAATCTTTCCGACAAACAAAAAACCAATTCTATATAAACTTTTTGTCGTCTGGTAATTGTATACATCGAAACTCCTAAGTATGTTTACACAGATTTTTTGGGGTGCAGAAGTTTATTGCACTTTGTGTATATTATATATAATAATTACAAATTATACTTTTTCCTAGGACAAGAACTTTACTTTTGGACCTGCCATAATGTCCAAGTTGATGGATTACTTTGAGTTGGATGGCGATATATTGCAGACGCACATAGGTTCCCCACGATCCACCGCCTATTTGGCAGCTCTTTTTTACTCCATCAATCGAGTGAATAACTTCTATGTTTATGGAGCGGGGGCAAATCTCAAGGAGTACCGCCGCTATATGGAATCTATTGGGGTCAATAATATCAGACTGTTTGGCGATGCCTTCACCTCGTTTCCCATGGAATCGAATCGATTTCGGACGGTTGTGGGTATATTCGCCACGCCACCAAACTCCTTTAGTGCCATCTCAGATCCCATTGATCTGATTTGTTCAAGGGGTGGAGATCTAAGTATGTTAGAGGTGCTAACGGAATCGGAGGTCAGTGATGAAGGTCGTCAGCGAGTGGCCATGATCCTGGAGGAACAGCTGTTAACCCTAACGATGTCGATGTCGCGACCTCAAGTGCAGTTTGTTTTGTATCAAACCCACTCCATTGTGGGCACAGAAAATGAGGATATGGTGCAGCACGTCCTAGAACTTATTAATAAATTGGCGTTGGAAAAGCATCGGAATGCTTATAAGGAGCAGAAACGGTTGGAGGCGATAGCTGAAGCGGAGGCAGCCAACATTCCAGCGGCTGCAATGAGCAAGGACTCGCCCAGGAAGAAGGATAAGCCATCTGCGCAACCAGAACTTCCTGCTCCAGGAACGCCAGCTTCCACAGCTCCACCTCTGCCAAGAGTAGATAGCATTGACCTAATAGTAACACCAGATATCGATGAATTTATTCAGGACATAGTGCCGGATATCTGCATAAATCAGGATAATTGCATCAAGCAGCAGGTTACGGGAAGCTATTTATCCCTAGTACGCCGGAAAACCCTAACGCATCTGAATGAAAAGTACCTGATTCGTCGGGCCGAACAAAGGGGACTCTTTGGCAAGCCCGAAAAAGATACCAAGGACAGGTCCAGGCCAAAGACTGTGAAGCTGCAGGAGCAGCAAGCGGAACCAGCGCCCCAGGATATGGGCTATGATCCAAGAAACTCGGCTAGTAGATCGAGTGCCCAGCAAATAGTAAGTAAACAAAATCCCCAAAATCGTATACCCCTGACCATAGAACATAGACAAAAGGCTGTTAGACTTTACACTTTATTGTTAACAAAAACAAATTTGAAGGTGGGCGATTGTTGTTAAAAAATGGGGATTTCGTGGGAGATATAGGGGGTAATGTGACTGAGGCTAAGGCTGAGGTTGAGGTGTGGGGCTATGTACACTCGAGTCTTATGAGCTAATAATTAACATGTCCATACTGTCTGCGGATTGATCATCATCGATAGACACGCGATCGATGTCATCATTATTGAATATCATTTTGATCGGCCTCATTATCTTGTATATCGACAAGATCACTTCTAATAACTCTTGATTGATTTTCAAATACTATTATGTCATATACTTTTAGTTCTTTAACTGATTAGCATTTTTAGTTATTTTTATTTTAGAAATCACATTTATTAACCATAATTTAATATTTGTACCTCTTTGTGTGTTTTAATTAGTTTTTTATTGTTTGTATGCACACTTTCTATCATTGCAATGCCTTTACTTTCTATTATTTGCATTATCTTCATCTATATTCACATCATTTGTATTATTTGCATGTGCAATCTTATACATTTTAATTCATGGAGGTATTTAATTTGCTGCATTGTTAGTTCTAATATTAACATTTGTATTATTTGTTGTTTTTAAATATTCACATCATTATCATAGTTAATATGTGACTGATATATTTGTTATGGTTATCGGTAAGACACAGCACATCCATCAGCACAGTATTGCTCACATTACTTTAATCTATATTCACATCCTATAATCTGCAGCCACATCATCACCATTAGAGGGTGAGGTTTTAGGGTAATTAGCATGAGGTGGCAAGCACTTTGCCTTGGCTTAGTCACAGGCTCCAAGGGGTTAGGTCATTCTCGATCTGCTTATCTCATTCGATAGCTCATAGATTGGGAGATCTCTCTATCACTATTACTTCTTCCAGGCACTGGCGGATGAGGTTTTCGTATAGTTTTGGTTCTTCTGCTGCTGATAATTCTGTTTTATATCCGATTTTGTACTCTTGGTGTAACCAAATCCCATCCCGGAATTGTTACTGGTGCCATTATAGCTGAAGCTGGACTTGAAGGTGGGATTGCCGTTGCTCTTGAACATGGGATGATTCTTTCCTGCTCCCACCGGTGGAGCTGACTGGTTGTAGTAGCTCTTAGAGTTGTTTTGCTGATTCTTCTCATTGGACACTTGGCGGGCATAGGCGGAGAGGCCTACAGCTCCCATTCCCACTCCAAGTCCCAGGGTACTCACACCCACTCCCCCCATTCCCACTCCGTAGGATTGCTGCTTGTGGATGGTACTAAATGTGGCCGCCTGGTGGTGATCACTGATCAGGGATCCACTCTGCGTGTAGAACTGCTGTTGGACCTCCACTATATAGCGGTAGGCCTCCTCCATGCTCTTGGGATTCCGCCGCAGGATCATCGAGTGTGTGGGCTCGGGCAGATGATCCCTGAAAACCTGCAGGGTTATCCTCTCAATATCCTCGAGAGCATATAGGGTGTCATTGTGGGTTAACTTTCTATTGATCAGTCGGTGCTTTAACTTGGCCATCTTTTGGTAATACAGCTCTATATTCGAGTCCAAAACGGCGCTGCGTATCTTGTGTATCAACGAGTAGCTGGACTCCCTTTCCGCATAGTTGTAGAGCAATTGATCCTTGAGCTTCAGCCAGGACTCGGCTTTCAGGAGGTGGCCATTACCAGCTCCATTGCCATTGCCCACAGGAGCGCTCATTTGCCGGGTGAAGACCGCCTCTCTGGCTCGATCTGTACATTTATTTTTGATATGTCCTATTAACTGGGCTTTATAATAGTCATCGAAACTATTTATGGCTGGCATTAGGGCCTCGATTTTTTGGAGGAACTGCGGCAGTTTGCCAGGGTCACTGCCATCGAAGTTCTCCACCAGCTTTAGCCGGCTCAGGACCTGATTGTACTTGTTCACAAACTCGGGATCCATCCTGGACTATCCCGTTTCACCCGCACTCTGTATATAGCTTTACCGTTAGCAATCGTTGTTGCGTTCACGTCGACGTTTCGGGCGCGACTGCTTCCAAATTCGAAATCGCCGCCGCGTCAATAATTGTTGTGTATGGAAAAACAGATTTTAGATTCTTACAAATGTATAAATTAACATTCATTAACATGAATTTTACTTGCAAGACCCTCTCCGATCCAATCCGACAATGACAACGGAACGGTACGATGGGTTGCGAATTCGAAATCGACACGAACCGTGGTCGAACTGAACTGAAATGAGCGGATCCGAACCCGAACAGAAATCAACTGGCAGAATAAAACAGAACGGAACACAGCGCCCGCCATTCATTGTGGTGGGAGTTGTGGTACCTGGTGTATGTGGAGTACTAGGGGTATGCTTGGCTCTTTCAGGTGATAAGATATAGTCGAAAAGAAAGCGTTGAATTTAGGAAGTTTAATAAACGAACAAAAAGAAAGTAATGGTGAATTAGATGAAGGAAGAATCTTAAAAACTATAGTTTTTTAGTAGAAACTATTTAGATTTATGGAATTTGGACAACATTATATAGTTTTGATAAAGCATATTTCCTCAAGGATCTTTTTTCGAGATTCCTTGTTGCTCTATAAAACAATATTATAGCATACTTTTCGGAGGAGCATTTAAGGAGTCCTAAAGGAGGAATATTATTCACCTTTCCCCTTAAGTTTGGTAGGCTTTACTGGTTATTTTTTAAAGGGAAAGGAGTACAAATTATATTTAAAGAGAGAGTTTGAAGAGATTCACAGATATTAAGTCTATAGATATATAAAGTTTAAAAAAAAAATGGAAAATCAAATAACTTAATAAGAAAGTAAGCAGATGCCTTTTTTTAACCTATAGTTTTATTTTTCAAGAACATTAAGATTATAATAATATACATATATTGGGTATCTGAAAGTTGTTACCCCAATCTCTATAGTTGCTATTTGTTTAATGTTGTTGTGTTGTGGCCCGGCGCTGATTCATAGGCACACAGACAAACACAGGCGACACCCTGCGACCGATCGCGCTTAGATATAGCCGGGCAGATAGAGATGGAGATAGTGCCAGCCCAACGGACACGGGCACACACGGCCACAAAAAAGCCCGTGGCACGCACATACCCCTAATACAACATCGAACACAACAACGAATTTCATTAAAAGGCGCGCACACAAATCGCTTTAAACGAAGCGTTAGATTTGTTTTTGTTTGTTTTCCCATTCGCCGTGTTAATTGTCAGAGGGCAAATGGCGAAAATAATTTAAAAAATAAATAAACAAATGAATAGAGAAAGTGCACGCGAGGATAACATAATTGTGTTTCTTTTTTTTGCATTGACAGGCAGTCAGATTGCACATGCACTACCTAAAATATCGCGTATACGCACTGATTGACAACGAATGGATGGCGACTTTTCAACTTTATTCACATGCAAATTATTGTTCCAGAGAGCAATTGCATTCAAGGTCCTTTCATAATTTCAGATTTTTTCGAAGAATCTAATTGTGCGGCTCACGCTGCACCCTGCACTCGATTGCTCATCGCTTGATCTGCACTCAATCGACCCCAGCAGCAGCATCTAATTCAGCTCGATTGCCTCCAATCTTGACACGTAAACTGAGAGAAAAATGGTTAAGGAGATGGATTAATCAAGAAAATCACATATTTTCGAACGAAGGGTTTTATCATGAATTCTATAAAATGTAAATCTATTTATGAAACCAAAAATCATTGAGATTATATTCTCAACTTTTCCGATTTTAGATTGCAAAAAATTATAAATATGGTAATTTAAGAAATGCCAAAAATTAATTCTGCCAACAAAATTGATTAACCAATTTCTAGTTTAAGTTGACATCAAAGGGATTTTCATAAAAAATAGCTGGCACGCGCTAATTTCATGATTATAATGCAAATACGATAAGTTATTTCTCGCTGTGCACAGCTACTCATACCAACGCACACCTTTATTAGTGGTTGCTACCGCTTAACCCTCTTGCGCCCCCTGCTCCCAGCGTTGGAACGCCGTCGCTTTTAAGGTCTGCTGCGCCGGCGTGCGCGGTTCAACTAATTAGCAACAATTTCTGAGCGTTAGCGGCTTGTAAAACTGTTTAATAATAGCAAAAACTTGTCGGCGTGTAGTCATCGCCGAGGACAAATCACAAAGAACTCGAGAGGGAGAGCAAGACAGATTAAGGGGAAAGGGTGACGAGAGATTTCCATTGGGGTGCTAATTTAAATCGCGACTCTAAACTGATAAGCGGATTTAATTGCTATCAACTTCGAGTTGGATGACTTCGCTCGGTCGGCCTGTCACTTTTGTTCACAGCGAAAACAATCCACGCCGCCTTGCAACTGTAATTTTTATAGTTATTATTATGTAGACAACAACAACGCCGCTTAGCTTTGCCGCTTTGATAAGCAGGTTCAGGGACATCCCCTGAACCCCACCCAACCGAACCCCACAAAGAAATACCAGCACTTTGCCATTCTGGAGTTTTCCAAACTTAAGATAACGATTACTTGCTTGAAAGGTGATTAATCATATAGATAATGTCGATATATTATTATTTCATTCATGCAGCTGTTTGTAAAATTTAAATGATAACGATTTAGGTAAACTTTGGTTATGGCTCAATACACTCCTAGAAAACAAATATTTATTTGCATTTTATTTAAATCAATAAACTTGGCTCATAAACGTTGTGTTTACAATTGTAATAAATATAGAGTCGTGATGATTTCATAAACATTTTTATTAGAACAGGATTTTGTATTTTACAGAAAGGAAAAAACATCATAAAACTTATTTTCTGATTAAATATTTATGAAAACAAAGTATAAGGAAATTCCATTCTTCTGACAAGAAGAGTTTTTGACAAATGGTTTTTATTAAAGAATGAAACCCATTAAGTTATGAAGACTTTATGCAGAAATGACTTTTAGTTTTTAAAATGTATTAAACCATAAAGATGTATCAACTTTTGCCGACATTTATTCTTTTGACTGCCCGACTGATTCAAGAACTAACACTTAAAAATAAATAAACTTCCCAAATTTGGCTTCCATCGTTCGCATTGTTTTCAACAGCCAGGTGTCTAACCTAAGTACTATATAGTGCTGGGTACACAAACTTATCGGCCACAATTTAGCTGAACTCAACTGAAACCCCGCTCGATTCGTATCATTTGCAAGCCAAATTTGGCGCGAATTCTTCGCAAACATTTTGCGCATATTAATTGTGTTTTTCAAAATGTGTTCAATTGTTTAGAAAACTAATTACGTGCGCGCGCCAATTTCATAAATATATATATTTTTTTTGCAGCTCCAGCGTCTGCAACGATCGACGAGCGCAAGCGCGATCCGTTCGCACCTGACCAAGGTATCATCGACATACCGCCGGCCCATTGCCTTCAACTTTATACGGCGCGAGTGCAAGCGGTTCTACGTGTTGCCTGTCTATATGGTGAGTGTTTTTCCCCTCAAACAAATTTTAGGGTCCAATAAGAATTTACAGCCCCATCACACCCACTAAAATTATCAAATGCCGATCCCGATTTCAGCACAGCACCAAGCAAAGCATTCGATTATGGTGGCAATATGCCTATAAATGCGTCACTCCCTCCGCTTCGGCTGGTGCCGTATGGAATCCGAATCTCAAGTTTAGGCTCTATTGCAGCCGCCAGCTGCGCATCCGGAAACTGAAACGTGGTCCGTGGACCAGGAGGCAGCCACTCCGGTTGCATATCAATGACATCAAGCTTATGTGCCAGGTGCGTAGGCGAAGTAAATAAATGGTCTATATGAAATCACTAATTAAGATAGTCAAGTTCCATAGTATATGAAGTTCAAAATGTAAACTTTTAAATATTGCCGCCCATTGACGGCACTGCCATTCATTCGAAATAAATCGATAGGACAAAACCAGTGTTGAATAAGATAAATATGTATTGCTAAGTTTTTCGTTATTATTGAACAGTTCTTAATCCATTATATCATATTACTAAAAAGTTGTCATTATAATACTTCTAGACTTCGGTTTTTGGTGAAGGTGAACATAACAGCATTAAAAATGTTTATTAACTAGCCACATTCAAAGCTGTAAATTTATCTAAAATCTTTATAAGGAAATCCACCAAAAATAAATAAAAAATGCCATAAATTAAATAAAAATACATTTTTTATTTCATCAATATTATTATTATGCGAAATTCCAAAAAACATAAAATAAATAAAAGTATTCTAAGCCTTTAGGATGTATGAGTAGAAGCACCCAAAATACCAATCAAAACTTTATTTGCAAAAAATAATGCATGGAAACTTAAAAAAACGGTTTCAAAATCTTTTATCATAGTTGTCTACATTTTCAGTTAACAAATTGTTTAAATACTAGAAAAATTATAAAAAAGAAATAAAGAAAGAAAGAAAATTAAAACATAAACTAACTTTCACTGATCTTTAGTTGCACATTTGGGGAACAAATTACATATATAAATAGTTAATTAGAGTAATCTTGAAGTATTTGATTTATTTATAGGATGAGCGGTGATGGAATACAAGTACAAAGAATATTAATTCAATGAAACGCAATTTAAAATTGTCCGTGAATTTCCTGTATCCTTGCTGATGACTTACGCGGTTGAGTAATTGTAGTAGACATATACGATACGCTATAGGTATGGTTATAGTTTTATAGGCGTAGTAATGCTGATATCCTATGGGAAATCCCCCGAAATGCCACAGGTTATATAATGGGTGTCCCAGGCCCGCAGCTAAAAAGAATGTGTAAAGAAAATTAGATTTTTAGAACTTATTTTTTGCATTGCTTAAATAAGAATTTGTTTTGATCTAACTCCAACATCTGCTAAAGATAGATTTTGAAACTAAATAAATAACCAAAAAACTCACCTGGCACTCACGACTACAGTACCATTGATTCTGGCAGCTGGAGCACATGTAGGTGGCTTTTTGGAGCTTGCACTGGTGACAACGTCTTTCCTCTCTGCCATTGGTTGAGCTGGCGGCAGATTCGCGCTGGGATTTGTTTATGCTCTTAATGCCATGCGGCTTACTCTTATCTAACTTAGTATCTTCTTCGGTGCGGTAAGAGGAATGTAATTCGGAGTTCTGGTAAATAAAATACAAATTTACATTTGTATTGGGTAACTATAATGTTCTTTAAATTCCTTACCTGTTTATTGGCCAGATGACGGTTTGAAACCATGGGGCTGCTGTTGAACAGCGGCTTACGCATTGGTTCATTCTCCAAATGATTGTCCAAGGAGAAACTACTGGAGGGCCTTCCCGAAGACTGCAAATTGTTGTGGATCATAGATGAAGCAGCAGCCAAATTGGGCGTAGAGTTTGACAGCTCTTGGTGGTATCTAAACAAATAAATAGAAACCTATTAAAATGTTTTCTAAACAAGCACTATACAAAGCTAAAGCTTAAAATGTTAAGCAACCATCATTGTTGAAGGCAAGTTTTCTTACCTGTCTAGTGGATGCAATAGCCTCGGCCTCTTCGCAAGTGGAGGAACATCTGAGTCAAACCCCCGCTGAGACTCATGTAGTGAATCCTGCAAATCACGCATTGTGGACTGACGAGGAGGCAAGGAATTCCTTCTGAATTGTTTTCGCTCCTCTTCGAAACAGCGCCCAACTATGGGTGGAGCTTGTTCCTTCAGGCCCATGACCCTGAAAATAACAACATTAATTCAAAGTTTTTTACAATTGTCACATTTTAAACTTACCCGCGAAGCAAACGAATGTTGTGTTGGTTTAGCTCAACGTAATTTAAGCATTCTTCCACCGCCGACCGACCGTACTTAGCAGCCATCGGAGCATCCTGTTCATTTTCTAGCAACGCCTGCATCTCAACCAGCTCGTTAGAGCTGCAACCCTTGTTTAGAAGAAGAGGCAGCAGGTCCTTTATGAGCGTTAAGCGCTCCTTTCGCTCGAGACGTGCACGTAACTCTTCTTTGACGCAACGAAGGTGAAGTAATCGATTGTATTCCTCCTCCTTTTGGGCAATTAGGTTGTCTAGCGTTGTTAAATCCGCATCGATGCGCTCTCGTTCCTCTTTTAAAGAATTGTGATCTGGGCGCAGCGTATTCATCTTATCCGTCAGAATGGCATCATATTCTTCAAAAAGATCTTTAATGCGTTGATGAAAGTTTGCATAACTGTTGTTGAGATCAATGCTAGACTTTTGGCGGGCTGTCGAAGAGGAAGACGATGCCGGCTGCGATACCTGCGTTTGGGTAGACACCGTGTCCGAGCGACGCGGTTGCGGCTGCTGGGGTACAGCAAAACTGGGAGGAACAACTGGAGGCAAGTCCGGACGCACTTGAGGTGACATTTGGTGGTGCTGCTGTGGTGGTGCTAACTGATGTGGTGCAGCTAACTGCTGAGGTGAACCCAAATATCCTTGTTTAGCTAAGTGTGGTGAAGGCAACTGCTGTGGCGAACCTAACTGCTGCTGCTTAGCTAACTGCTGGAGTGGAGCCAACTGCTGTGGTGGAGCTAACTGTTGTGGAGGAGGCAATTGCTGTTGGGGTGCCAATTGTTGTGGAGGAGGCAACTGCTGTTGGGGTGCCAACTGCTGTGTCGTAGAAGTCTTCAGTGAAGCTATCTGCTGTGGCGGAACTCCCCTTGGTGGAGCCAACTGCTGTGGCAATGGTGATTTTATTGCAGCTAGTTGTTGTGGTAGAACTGATCTCTGTGGAGGGAGCTGTTGTAATGGTCCTGATCGCGGTGGAGCCATTTGTTGCGGGGGCCCTGGTCGTGGCACAGCCATTTGTTGTGATGGCCCTGGTCGTGGCGTAGGTATTTGCTGCAAGGGAGCTTGGCGTGTTGGAGTTATCTGTAATGGAGTTTTTTGTAGGGGAACAGCCTGACCCAGAGATCTCTGTACGATAGCAGCCATTTGTGGTGCAGCTGAATAAGAGGCGGGAATCTGGGGTGAAACCGCCTGCTGAGCTGAAAAGTTTTGCATGGTGACTTTTGTGTTATTTGACAACTTTTCGTTGGGATAGGATATCTCCATTGGCGTAGCCGGAGGTGTTGGCGTATTCAAGCTGTATGAGACGGGTGTCAAATTTTCCGCCTGCTTGGTGGCCGGAGATGAAGCCAGCGAATAAGGTGTACTAAGCTTAAAAGACGGCTGATTCTGAAGAGGATTAGCAACAGGGGTGCTAGGCATTTGAAGATTTAATGGTGGAGCTGTCTTTGCCGATTCGTTTTCTTGGATGGGCAGAAACTCAATAGTGTCATCGTCATCTTCGTTTGAGCCAGAACGCTTTTCGCCGCTTGGTGGCGGGGTCACCGAACGACGTCTCTTAAAAGTTGCATCAACCACCAGGGACTCTGCCACTTCTGGCTCGATTTGTTGCACTAGCGTTTGATCATTTAGGGCCTGTTCCAACTCCATGCTTGCATATGTCTTTTCAAACTCATAGTCTGGCCGCTCAGGATCTTTTTTCACCAAAAACTCATCAAGAACAGAGGCACCGTTTTCATTGTTGACTTTTAGTTTCTCTGGCATCTCGTAATTGAGCTGAGGTGGTGCATTAACCTTAGGCTTTATTTCCTTGACAGGGGTAACCCTGGACTTCTGATCGAAATCTGGTTTCTCAGGCGAATCTTCATTCTCTGTGTCATCCAAACATATAAGTTCCGGGGACCGGCTGTCACTACGACTGGGACTGCGGCTGCGACTACGACAGTAGCTGCGGCTACGACTACGACTACGACTACGGCTGCGACTACGACTACGGCTATGACTTGGACTCCTGCTGTCGTAGTTTCTCCGCTTGCTAGCATTGTAACGGGCCAGGTCGGATTTGCGCTTAGGCACCAAATTCTTCAAACCCTCAAAATAGGTTCTGTATTCTAATTTATTGGGACGCAGCCTGACATTCAATATGCGACATTAGTTGGGGAAAGTATCTAGAGGAGATTTAATCTTACCAGCGAATGCTGCGACGTTTGAAGTAAAGATTGGGCCATCGGCGATGCTGCATCTGCAATTGCCGAATCCGGCGAAGGGTTTCCGCCCGTGAGGAAGGTGGTTTCGCCGGTACCTCCGGTTTTTCGTCTTTGTCAGAGGGAACCTCCGATTTTACAGCTTCGTTTCCGGCTTCCGTGGTCTCAGGCCCTTTGGTCTTGGTCTTCTGTGGACGCTGCTTGCTAACTGCCGCGTCCATCAAAGCGTCGTAGTCCTCCTCCTCCCGGCTATACTCGTCGCTACTCAGTTGGGAATTCGAGGAGTCGTAGATCTCTACGTTGGACATTGCAACTGCAATTGGACGACGGTCAGGTATATACTTGTTTGTCATTAACCCCCCCCCAAAAAAACTCACGCGCTCACGTCTGCAAATTTCGCCAACAAAAAAGCGTCTGCCGGCTGAATTTTCTGATCCGCCGTCTCGCTGCTTTTTATTTCTGTTGTAAGCCACTTAATTTCTTAGTCCAAGACCCAAAATAGGTCACTGCGGGTTTATAAAAGGTCTTAAGCCTTTACTTTCAGCGGAAAACAAATTTCTTATTCTGAGAAAAATTATTTGTAGTTCAATTTTCGCGAAAGATTTTTGACAGAGGCATTTAGTGTGAACGCAAACCATCAGTATGGCCAAGTCTTAGAAGCCCTGAAAGACTTTGGTATGTTAGGCATTTAGATAGGACGCAAACCAGCACCTTGACAGATTTCTTGTGAGAAATACCAACTTATATACTGTTTTTCTAATATAACAAATCCAAAAAAGGACGAGATTTTCAAAACAAAATTTAACAGGGATATAAAAACGAACGTCCGTCAAAGTTGTGTTTGTGACTTATTGATGGATTTCAGGACGAGATATGAGGTCTTATTATTTTTTTAATTTTCCCGCCAATTGGTTGATATATGCAGAGATTCTTTCCTGATACAATGTGTTATGTGACCAGTTAGATTTTGCGAGGGAACACCAAATCAAAACTGATATTAATAGTGGCAGCCCTGTTATTGAACGGGGTTGTTTGGCTTAAAAAACAAATCAATTCGCACAAAAACATTGCCAAAAAGGTAAATGGCGGGCACGTCGACGCCGAGAGATAGCTATATAATAGTGACTAGTGTTTTGCAACCAATTTCTGTTCAGTGACATTGTAAACAAAGGGCACGACCCTCTTTGCCCTATCAATATATACATATATACGTATGTATAATGTGTCGCAGGGAATAACCGATAAGAGCGGCGCAGCTGCAGATTGATAGCCCTTCAAGTGGACTTTGTTTTCGATAATAGTGGGTGGGTGGGCGATGCGATCGTGGAACGTGAAGTGATAACCATAAAGAGCAACCACGTCACGCCACCCCACGCCTCTCCGCACACACACACACACTGGCACACGTGGGCCAGCTGAGTACATATACGTATACATATATACATATACATATATGTGCGCAAGAGCTCTTTTGTTGTACTTAATACACATATAGTAAACGATCGAAAAAGTAAACTAATTTTATGCAAGGGGTTCAACAATCAACGGCGGGTTCACCAATTCAATGCAACAAAAATACAATCAATTTGACTCGGCAGAATATGGGTGTATTTTGCCTTAATTTCAACATTTATATATAGACGGAATTATTGTCAGTTTAAAGATACATCTTAGTAGTACTCTATTTTGTGAAATATAACACCTCTTTCATTATAAAAAATATAATCATTTTGATACTTCGTAACGTACGTTTAATATATTACGAAACAACTTGGGTATTCCATAATACAAGTTAATATATGCAGTCATGGTTTTGCAATGAATGGTGCAAAACCTATTACTTTTTCAGTATCTTAAACATTTTAATTTATTAAGCTTAGAAAATGTGCATCTTATAACTTTTTACGTTTCCATCTCAATTTATAATTACATAATAATCGTTTTTTTATAATTATAACCTTATCTTTTAATATTATGAATCTTTAGTAAAGTTCTAAATTTAATATTTCTTTGTCTTCATATTGGCAAACATAGAACTTTTATAAACATAAAATATAGAGATTATGACTCCGACTACTTCAATTTAATTTAAATTTATAAATTCAAAACAAAAACTTGAGAGTTATGGGAAAACAATGTTAAAAATGTAAAACTTCATAATTAAACGCATATAATTTTCCAGCAAAAAGTTTTAACATCCGTATGTTGGGTTCCATTTAATGGCTACTCCTCAAAGTTCAAAAGTTGAGCGGTTATTTTTTCACATCATAAAAATGGTTGTTAAAATTGTAGAAGCTCCGGAACGCCTATGTACTAAAATTAACACTTAAATAGCTTTATTCTCTTAGTGGTATATACTATTATCACACTTTGCCCCCCCTTGGAGTACCCATAGACACACAGACTGCTCACTTTAAAGATTGTTTACTTTCGCGAGCTTCCACTGTGAAGTATCTGCGATTTGCCCTATAATGACTACGCCGTCGTTCAGCCGGACTTTGTCCACAGCGGTTATTGCTATTTCCAAGGGAGAAGTCATCGATTGGCCAAGGCTGATTAGATTCCTCCTCCGGCAGCGGCTTTAGCAAAAGCTATAGCCGACCGCCAGATATCTGGCGAATATCTCCGCGGTTCGATGTTTTGCCCCAGTCCATTGCCAGCTGGTGGTTCAGTTGGTTGCCTTCCCGCTTTTCACGCTTTCTTTTAACTTAGCCGCGTGCTCTTAGCCAAAGAAAACTCAACTCGAGTGAGTGCGGGAACTGTGTTTAACGGTCATAAACGGGGTGTTTCATCGGTGGGGGCCATAAAATGGCGGGGTTTACGAGCACTACTGGGGGAACAACCTACAATTAAAGTTTTGATTACGTAAAGGCTGCAGTTTTATTGGTTAACCATTGCTACTTGCAGATCAAAATGGTGTCCCTGGAGAAGCTGAAACAATTGAGACTGATCCATCTGTGCATCGCGCTCACCTTCTTCACCAGTGGGCTGTGCATCAACTTTATCCAGTTGCTAATGCACGTATTTATCAAACCGATAGACAAGCGACTCTTCCGCAAGTTGATGTACTATGCCTGCTATTCGCTCTACTCCCGTGAGTATATCCTAACCAAATTGAAGATTGAAATCTCCATTTTTTAAACTATCTTGACCTTTAGAACTCATCTTCGTGTCCGACTGGTATGCCGGCAGCAAGATGACTGTCTATATGGACAAAGAGGACTTTGAGAAGCATGCTGGAAAGGAGCACGTGCTCCTGATTATGAACCATAAGTACGAGATCGACTGGCTCAACGGCTGGATGATCTGCGACAAGTTGGGAGTCCTGGGCAACTGCAAGGCCTATGCTAAGAAGGCCATCCGATATGTGCCCATCATCGGCTGGGGCTGGTGGCTCGCCGAGTTCGTCTTCCTCAACCGTAACTTTGACCAGGACAAGACCATTATCACCGAACAGCTCAAGGTGGTCTACTCCTATCCCGATCCCACCTGGCTTTTGCTCAACGCGGAGGGCACCCGTTTCACTCCCGCCAAGCACGAGGCATCCGTGAAGTTCGCCCAGGAAAGGGGCATGACGGTGCTGAAGCACCACTTGATCCCACGCACTAAGGGATTCACCGCCAGTTTAGCACCCATCCGGGGTCTCTGCCCGGTCATCTACGACATTAACCTAGCTTACAGGCCCACAGACAAGGTAAATATAATTACAACCCCTTTTGTTTTTTAGTGCAACTAAGTAACACAAGTATTTTATTATATAATACCGAATATAGTATCTATCTTTACTTTATAAATGCAAAATTTTGCATTTTCGATAAGGCTAATCAGCCAATTCGATAATGTCTGAATGATTGTTTCTGCCTAATCTAATCTATTATTTTTAATCGGATTATCTTGTTGCTCAAACAAATGTCGCTCTCAATTTACTACCACTTCAAATAGTCTTGCTTTCTTAAGATTCTATGTGATACTCATCGGTTTTAATAAGATAACATTTCAAGGTGAAAGCAGGTTCGAAATGCGTAATTTATAGTCTAGCATAGCAACGATGACTTCTTATTTGAATAACTTGTCCTTTTGAAGATAAGTGCATGACACTTAGAAAATTGCAGTTTATTACGGGTTTAAATACTAATTGCGAAATCGGTTTAAGTGGTTATAAAGCTGTTTTCGGAACGAAAGATCGTAAAAGCAACATATGCGCTACGAAAACCGGTGCCCTTTATCTAATTATAGGGTTATTTCAAGGTTATAAACCATAATTAACTGAGTTTTAATTTATATTTTCAGGTTCCTGCCACAATGTTGAGTCTTCTGCATGGAAAGGGAGTGGAACCTCACCTGCTGATGAGGCGTATCCCCCTTGAACAGGTGCCTGAAGACGAGAAGGAGGCCGCCGCCTGGCTGCAGAATCTGTTCGTGGAAAAGGACAAGATCATCGACAGCTTCCTGGAGACTGGCAGCTTCTTTAAGACGTCCGGCGTGAAGGAAGTGCCAGCCTATGTGAACAAACGCCGGCTGTGTTCTCTTGTGAATTTCGCCTGCTGGGCGACTTTCTCGCTTTTCTGCATTTTCTACTACTTGGTCACTTCCCTGTTGGCTGCCAATTGGACGGCCTTTATCGCTGCTGTTTCAGTGCTGGGACTTTGTAAGTTTATAGATAAGAATAGAAGAGGACACCACACTAGAGGCTTTACATTTTTATTTAAAAAATTATCATATTTAACGTAATCTAAAAATCTTTAATCAGCCTTTTATGTGGTTCCCCTACTAACCGAATCTTTTTAATCAATTCTAAATCTTTATCTAATCAAATTATATACTTTTCAGTTTACTGGCTAATGGGTCAGGCCATTAACAAGACGCAGATTAGCAGAGGATCCAGCTATGGATCCTCCAAGTCAAGCACAAAATAACTTTCGATTTCGCATTTAGTTTCGATTGTTGTCGAACTCAATTATCTACAAGTGACTTTGTAAAACGCAGTCCTCTCACAAATCTCTCTGCTAAATGGATCAATTCGCGATTCCTCCCCGGACGATTTAAAAAGTGTTTTTGAACAGAAAGTGCATGTTTTTTGTCTAAGTTTATGGTTACAAGGTAACTCCCGCACACTGGAGCCATCAATTTGCGTACGTAGTTGGTAGTTGTACACCTAAGTGGAAATTTAATTGTTTGATCAATTGTATTTTGGCGAGCATTGCAATAATTAAATTAAACAGAACGTGAGAAGTTTGGTGTTTCTTTGATAAGGCAAGCAGTGTGCTGATAAGGGTTCTGGTCGAACAGCTGATGAGTGTGGGTGCGCAAGCAGTGCTATAAAAGAGTTCCCTTAACGTAAAATACCAACAGTATGTTTTTGAACGGAGCTTTTGGAAGAATACTCATTAAAAATATATGTTCCATTAATTTGCGGGAAAAATGATCATCCTTATCCAGAATTGTATCACAATTATATTAATATTATTATTATTATTAATAATTACTGTATGTTTTACTGGGGTAATGAAAAAGTACAACCGAAAGCGTAGACAGAGCACAATAAACTATTCTCCATTTAACATAATAATATAATAATGTATATAAATTGTACCTCGTAATGTTATCTTTGGTTTCTTTCGGTTATTTATCAGTTGTAACGATCAGAAGCAGCGCACATTCCGTTAGATCGACTGCTTGCCCTTGGCTATATAATACAACCACACGCGCAGCATAGAAAGCCTTTATTGGGAGATAAGCAGTCCACCCGGTTTCCTATTCACTGATAACAGGTGATTAATAGTGTTAGTTATAGGTTTGTGGGGTGTACTATCGACAAAGATCCATATCTCTATGGGCCCGGACGTTTAGAAGAGTCAATTTCATTCAGTCGAATTCTACAAGTTGGTAGAACAAGTTGCAACTTCCTGGTCTCTAATTTGTTAAGATTCCGCTAAGATAGGTGAGTGTGTTTGTGTTGGTGTAAGACAAACAGTGTAATATTTAAAACATGAGTCTACAGTGAACTATGCAAAAATTAAAAATTTCTATAATTAATTATTCTTGATGAAATTTTAAATTTAGAAATTTAGAAATTTTAATAAGACCTTTTAAAATAAAATAAAAAATAATCGTGAGAACTGGTGTTGCAAATTGTGCTTGGTTTGAATGTGTTCCTTGTTAACTATAGGATTACAAAATATTCGAAAATTTTTAATTATTAGTTAAGTAACCCTTCCACAAGTTTAACATATTATCAGGGAAAGATAATCGTACCATTTGAAAATTATTGGTGCTCATATAATAGAGTGCTTACTGTATCGATATAGTGCCTTTTGCATGGGTGTGCGTTTACGGGACTATAATTTAAGCAGTTCAATTTTTTCATGACACATTGGGAGCAAAGTTTGAGTGCGGCCATAATTAAGTCGATATCGCGCGCTGGACATATTTATTAACTGCATTGCAGAACATGAATTTTATTGTGTGTGTTACGTAAAGTTGGCCCAATTGTTGTTTTTCATTGATATGCGTTTATTTTTAGCTTAGGATGTCGCATCTCAGGGGTTTGGGGCGACTGTTGATCGCCGTGACCTTCTTCACATGCGGTTTCTTCGTCAACATTGGCCAGCTCTTGCTGATCGTCCTTGTAAGGCCCTTCGACAAGCGGCTTTCCCGGAGTCTTATGTACTACCTCCACTACTCCTTCTACTGCAGTAAGTAGACAAACTAATACAAATTATATTATGAATACATATGTATATAAATATTTAGAGCACTAGCACTAATAAGGTTAAATATGATATGCACTAAGTCTAAGCTTTCTTAATATATCTTATAGAAGTGTATACAAGTGAAAAATATTATAATGCTATATTATTTATTATTTTGTATGGCCTAACTGTATTTTATAAGCTTATAAAATCTATTCAGAATATACACCAAAAAGAATATATAATATAAAAAATTAACATTTCATATAAGTGCCAAACAAATATATTTTTTTTTAATGCATTCCTAAATATTTTGTCCATTTTAGTCTTAGTCTGTGTGGCGGAATGGTATGCGGGGAGCAAACTAAGAGTGTACATTGATCCCGAGGACGAGAAAAAGTTCTTTGGCAAGGAGCATGGATTGCTGCTGATGAACCACACGTACGAGATTGACTGGCTAACTGCATGGATGATCACTGACAAACTGGGAATTTTGGGAGGAACAAAGGCCTACGCCAAGAAGATGCTTCGCTACGTACCGGTTTTGGGATGGGTCTGGTGGATGGCCGAATTCATCTTCCTGGACCGCAACTTCGAGAAGGACAAGGTGGTGATCAAGACACAGCTTACGGAGGTATTTTCTTATCCAGATCCAGTGTGGCTACTACTCAACGCCGAGGGCACCCGCTATACTGCCGCCAAGCACGAATTGTCCGTGAAGTTTGCCCAGGAACGAGGTCTCCCTGTTCTCAAACACCACTTGATTCCGCGTACCAAGGGGTTCACTACCAGTCTGCCTACCATGCGAGGCATCTGTCCTGCCATCTATGATATTAATCTGGCCTTTAAAAAGAATGCTGAGGTGAGAATTTAAAAATTTAAAAAAAATTAAAATTCAATAACTCGGATTGTCCAAGTTATCCAAGTTTTATTGAAAAAAGTGTTAATCAAAACATCTAAAATAACATTAGATTAACTTAATATCGTTTTTATATATAAAGATTTTCATAAGAGATAAAATGATTAAAAAGTTGCAAAACCAATTTAACCCTTAAAAATTTTGTATATTTTATAGCCAAAGCCCACCATGTTGACCCAGTTGAATGGTGAGCCCGTGGAACCGTACATGTACATTCGCCGAGTGCCATTGGATAAGGTTCCGGATGGTGAAAAGGAGGCCGCCGCCTGGATGCAAGATTTCTTTGCTGAGAAGGACAAGATCATCGACAGCTTCCACGAAACCGGTAGCTTCTTTAAGAATTCTGGAGTCAAGGAAGTTCCCGAGAAAATCTACAAGCCCCGACTAAGCACTCTGCTTAACTTTTTGGGTTGGGCCACGGTTTCAGTCCTGTGTATTCTAAACTATTTGGTCAGCTCCCTGGTTGCAGGCAACTTTATTGGCTTCATCACAGTTTTATCCATCTTGGGAGGATGTAAGTTGATTAAATTATAGGTTAATAGCGAGTCCATTTAATTTTACGTAATTTATTTTCAGTCTACGGTCTCATGGAGTACGCTGTTAATGCTTCGAAGATCAGCAAGGCTTCGGCCTATGGCGCAGCTGCCAAGAAATAGACTTTAATTCCAGAGTTTTGTGAACTCGGGGACATTTATTGATGAAATGGATTACACGTAATCATTACTCGACTGCAAAAACCCTAGAAATATAATGTACATTGAGTCTAATGTACAATAAAAATGGAAGCAAACTGAATAAAATACTTTTTTTACGAATTGTTTTTGCATAGTCATTACTGCTAATAAGCATGAGTAGTTCCTGGGTTGTAAATAATTAATATACGTACTATCAGGCAGATTGCATCATAACTCGAATAGAAATGCCGTACGGCTATACAGCGGCGCTAAAGTTTATAGTACCAATAAAATTATAAAATTAAAAGGGTTTATAAATACAAGCATAACTTATGATATAAGTTAAATATTCCGAATATTACTTATGCATAGAGGCCAGTATTGCACTTTAATTAAAAACAAAAGAGGAAAAATCAATAAATCTTTTGATCTTTTGAAAATGTGTCTTATATAAGACTTTAAATAAAATTTTTTTTTAATATTATATAATATATTTTATCAAATATAAAAGACTAACAAGTTCAAATATTGATAAAACGATAACGGCAAAACGCAATCAGCTGAGCACAAACAGTGTGACCTTTTTCGCAAGCAGTGCAACAACTCATCGGCCATTTTCAACCATCAGAATTTCAGTATTCCGCCGCTGGTCACCTGCGGTAGTACTAATTGCAACTTCCCAATTTTTATAAAAAATCCAATGAAAATTAAAAAACATATTTTCGTACCTTTAATGCAATAATATGTGCATTTTGAAGGTGAGTCAGTGCATTGCTAGTGCCGAAAACTGCTTCAAAGCGGGGCTGAATTTAATTTGCCGAGCAGAGCAAAAAGTGAAACGTAACAAAAAAAAAATTTGGGAGAGAGTTTTGTGGAGTTCAGTGTTTTTCCTGGGGGATTACTGGCTTTCAAGGACCATTCCAATGTACTGAAATGCTACACCGCCAAGGTTGGGGACCTCCAGACTCTTAATAAAATGGGGTTCTAGCCAAAATTCCCTTTGTTCGCGTCTTAAAAGAAAGCGGATGGATGATGACGTTGAAAGCGAGTTACGTTTGTGTTTTCCAATTAAAAAGGTTCTGCCTGTGTGTGTGAGTGGCTCTTTGAAGCTCCAAAAAGGATCTGAATCGATCGTATGTATCAGTAAATCCCGAAAAAGTTCTCCAGGAAGTGCAACTTATGTATATATGTGGCTATATATACATACAGATATACTTGCATGCGTGTACAAATGCCCCCGCACACCAACACTAACCAACGAGCTTGTGTGGGTGAGCGGTTGTGCATGCGTGTGTGTAACCGACAGCTGACGTTGGGGGTATTGCAAGAAGAAGAAGAAAAAGACGAAAGCGAAACTTTTTTACTGTGCCACTTTTTGATCGTTGTAAATGGAAAATAACTCTTCATTGACTCACGTCACTTGCTTCTTTACATGAACTCGGTAATACCAAAAAATGTTGGACCAAAGTAATATCTCCACAAGAGTCTAGCTATTATAGAAATGATCGTACTAATTCTTAAATAAAATGAGAGCGAAGCACACCAATCAGGTCTAAGTTTGGATATGGCAATTATGATCAATCATATTGATGAACTTCTTATTAATATCAATATCACTCTAAATATTTATATCAAAAGTTACAGCCAAAATATCGCAGAAGGTGAAGGAATAATTAGTATTTTAAGGATGATTTAACAAACAGTTGACTATTTTTTATGTTCTTAATAGCTTAGTAACAGCAATTAACAAGTATATATGTAATTAAATAGTAATAAATAATAATTTTTATATAAGACGTGGGCACAGCATTTCCCCAACAATAATTTCTTCGAATTCTTATACAAACTCAGATAAGAAATGTTATAAATGCTGAAGAATGATCCATAAAAGGCAAATGAACGTACATGATTATTGTAATACGATTTGAGGGTTTTTATAAAATTGTTCACATTTTCATCACATGTTTTTCAAACTTTGTTTCCCATACTATCTTCTTTTCCTGTTGACTTTATCATCTAAATTACTGTTTTCATTCACAGCATGCCGATTCAGGCTCCCTCATGGACAGATTTTCTGAACTGTCCCATTTGCTGCAATGAATTCGCGGCAAGCCAGCGATGCCCTGTCAGTCTGGGCTGCGGGCACACCATCTGCAAGCTATGCCTGACGACCCTCTACAACCGGCAGTGTCCCTTCGATCAGGTGAGATTAAGTCTAGTATTGTAATCTTCCAATTCTAAGCGATATCTTTTTACAGACGGTGATTGTCAGCGACATCGACAATCTTCCCATAAACCATGCTCTGCTTCAATTGGTCAAGGATTCGGAACTCTTGGAGCTGGGACCACCACCTGCCAGTGTCCAGAAGCTGGAACCAGAACACCTTAAGTGTTACCAACTGGGGCAGCGGTGCATTGAGGAGCTGGCCTTGCACTTGAAGTCCTTCCTTAATCTGAACGGGAATGGCAATCTTCTAACTCGACCTATGCAACGGAAACTGGTTACTCTGGTAAACTGCCAACTGATGGAGGAGGAGGGACGGGTAAGGGCACTCCGTGCTGCCAGATCCCTGGGCGAACGCACAGTCACAGAACTGATCCTGCAGCACCAGAACCCCCAGCAATTGAGCTCAAACCTGTGGGCAGCAGTGCGGACAAGAGGATGTCAATTTCTTGGACCCGCCATGCAGGAGGAGGTGCTGAAGCTGGTTCTCTTGGCATTGGAGGAGGGATCAGCACTATCGCGCAAAGTACTGGTCATGTTCGTGGTTCAGCGACTGGAACCGCAGTTTCCTCAGGCCTCCAAGACGAGTATCGGACATGTGGTACAGCTGCTCTATCGTGCCAGCTGCTTCAAGGTATCCAAACGGGAGGCGGACTCGTCATTGATGCAGCTCAAAGAAGAGTTTCGGACCTATGACGCCTTACGCCGCGAACATGATGCTCAGATCGTCCAGATAGCCACCGAGGCTGGTCTACGAATTGCCCCGGAACAATGGTCTTCCCTGCTCTACGGCGATGTAATGCACAAGAGCCACATGCAGAGTATCATCGACAAGCTGCAGACGCCCAGCTCCTTTGCCCAATCAGTCCAGGAACTGGTCATCGCTTTGCAACGGACTAGTGATCCCGCTAAGCTGGCCAACCTGCATCACCATCTGAAGTACCTGGCCAATATCGATCCATGTGCTGAGGTGGCTCCTTGGCCGGATTTGGCTGAAGCCCTGGATGCAGTGCGACATTCGGTCGTGGGACTGGTGAACTTCCTTCAGCACCATGGTGTACGAAAGGCACAGGACGGCATCAGTGGCGGAGGCAGTGGTGGCACGGCCAACAGTAATCCCAAATACAAGATTAGCCTGTGCAGAGACTTGAACGTACGTAGAGTGTGTCCCAGAGGTGCTAGCTGTACCTTCGCCCATTCTCAGGAGGAGGTCGAGCGTTATCGTGCCCGAAATCGCGGTAAGCATATGAAGACACCTCTGGCGCTTCAAGGACCTCCAGCCGTGGGCGGTGGCGCTATCAAAAAGCCACTAGGAGAGCAAGATGGGCCGACTTTGGGAGTTCCACCCATGTTGCCAATGTCGCCCATGCATTATATGGGTTCACCAAGGACTTATCTGGATCCCAGCTTGGGTCTATCGCCAGGGGGAGGTCTGCCACAGCAGGCTCCACCACCTCTGCTCCATCCTTCGCATCATAGTCCCATTGCCCGACTCATAGTGCCCAACCGCTATGATCCCCGTTTCAGCGCCTATGGTCAGCCAAGAAATCCTTCGCCCAGGGAATTTCAAAACAATCCGGGAGCTCCGCAACGTAATGCCAACCCACCGAACTTTAGTGTGAATAGCAACCTGCACAAGGGCTATATGGTTCCTGGCGGCGGTGGGGACGTCTTCCATTTGGGCAATCCCTGGGAGCAAGCCTATCTGGCTCAGCATCAGCAACACCCTCCACAGCATCCCCAACAGCAGCAGCCACCGTCCAGCAAGCCAAATCCCAGCCGACCGTTGTCGATTTTAGCCGCAACAGCTGATACCTCATTTTATGAAAAGAAACCGCCGAATAGTGTTAACATAGATCTGGAAAGAGCCGCGGAGGCCGATGTGGATGCAGTGTCTCTGTTCCGGCGATCTAACAACAACCATAACAACAACAATAGCAGCTCCCACAACAACAACAACAATAACAATCATAGCTCATCACTGCTCTTCTGGAATAATACGGGCAAAGAGTCGGCGAACTTTGTGCGATCGGACTCCATATTGGATGATGATGCGTCCACCTTCGATATGCCGACTGGCTCCTCCATCCTAAGTCGCTATGGTCCTATTTGTCCAAAAAGTAGCACGACCAGCAATTGGAACAACTGGTTAATGGAGAACGACAGTGATCTGGGATATGGAGGCTACAAGAGCGACAGGAACGATAACTTCAATGCCAGTAAGGTAGGTGTGATGGGTTTCAATAAGGGTGTGAATATTTAACTTGATAGCTATAGGTGTGCCCTGCTTATTTTATGGGTTAAGGGGTTGGCAACAAGCATAACCCAAATTTTGATAAATAAATAAATTGTTCATTGTTTTCATAAATGCTAACATTGCTATCACATACACATTCTAATCTTCTGTATTTCAAATCTTCCTAAAAAACAGCAGCAGCAGCCGATTTGGGGAAGGAAGCCACAGCTGATGTCGGAGGATAGCTTCGAAGGCGGCATCGACAGTGGAATGATGCTGCAGCTGGAGAAGAACTTGGTTGACATCGTCGATCCCGATGACAGTGGTATCAAGGTGGACTAGTTCTCCATCATCCAGCTCACTCAGCCAGAGGATATTTCTATATAGGTGTTTATATAGATCGAATGGGCGGGAAGTGAATATGTATAATGCAATCATTTTACACATCGTTAGAGGTTTGTACCGCACAGTTCAAACTTTGGTAGAATTTCAAATGTAATTGTAGTTTAAACTGATCCGACCGATCCGTTATTGGATCGGAGCCAAAAACAAAACATCAATTGGGTTGGGTACCATCTATTAGAATCTATTAAATAATTGTCTAATTAGTTCATTGTTCAAATTCTGTGGAAATGTGTTTAATCATGTTCGTGTTATGTTTCAAATTCGGGGATTGTGTCTAGCAAATGCAAAACAAAACAAAAGCAAAAAAAGAAGCAAACAAAAATAAACTCAACTTAGCTCGTAAAACTTTGTGTGTAGCCTAGAATTCAGCTCAGACTTGTAGATCTGCTATGAATACGATTTGTAGGAACCCCCCTAAACAAAAACTAAGGTGATCAAGAGTGATGAGGTGATGAGATATGCAAACGCTTGTTGAGATCAGGCAACATCCAGATTTGTATAGCAGCAAAGATTTTAAAGCAATTTTCTCAGATGTAATAGAATTTGTGCACTAATTAACTGAATCATGATCACAAGACTTCGAGATCTAAGTAAAAACTCAAATTCTGATCCAAAAAAAGTGTGTTTATCATCATGCCCCTGATTATTTGTGATCAAATTTTGATTGATTGTGTAACGCTGTAAACATAGATATAAACATATATATTTTTTTTAATTATTAACTATTTCAAAACGCTATTTTTATATATACAAAAATCAGCAGGGCTGAAAGGACCTGAACATCCGATCGCTCTCAAAACACAATCACACACATACACCCAACACGCATACACACTGAGCCACACAGGACACGAACGATCATTTGTATGTGTGTGAAATGAATGTTTATATTTCTTAAAGAAATTTTAATAACGCTATTGTGCGATGTTGTTAACTATTGTACTATATATTATTAAATTTATTGAAAATAAATTAAAATCACCCCTTCTCCCATTTTGTAAACTGTGAGAAAAATTAAAGTACAGAAAATGTGACGAACCGAGAAGTTTAAATGTCAGTCAGGGCTTTGAGAACATTTACACATACATATACCTACTCTATGCAAATATAAATTTATATTTATATCTAGAAACTAACCAATTTTGTGCGCTCTATTATTAATATTATATATTAATGTCAGTTGAGCCCGCGTTTTGCTTTCAAGACTTTGTACATCATTTTGATTTGAAGCAAAAGAGAAATGAAAGATTTTGTAACTTGTATTTGTTAAGCGATGAAATCAGGAACCTTATATTTAACTGCGCTTGATCATAGATGAATATAACGTATATATCTTTACAAATATATTTTATTGTTAACGAGTTTCGATGACGTGTGTGTAGTAGAATCTATGTAAAAGTATATTACCCTGCCGGGGAGTATTTGTTCAGTTGTGAGCTAGTTAAAATTGATCGAACGCAATTTTAAAAAACAAAAAAACATACATTTAAATATGTATTTTCCTATTACTCAGAAACTAAAGCATTCAATGTATAGAAGCGAATCGAGGGAGCTAATTGAGATTTCTCCAATCTCAGATTTATCTCCTGTGAAAATATAGAAGAAGGCCGGACGGAGAGGCGTCTAACTGCGTACTTAAGTCCCGATCAAGATCCAGATTTGGCGTTCTCCGACCGGCCTTTGGCTGTGGTGAAGTTTTTTTTTTAGCTTAAACCCAATGGGTTCAGTTCATAATAACGTATTTGTTGAGTTGAGTTTTGTAACTTTATAATTTACAATCAGTCCAGCAACCCGCCAAACCTCCCATAACTTCAAAACTGACCGACTGGCCCTTTTTTTATACAGATCGTGCCGAGCAATTCACACATATACACACTGACATTTTCTAATTACACACACTTATTTAAATGCATATATATATATTTATACATATGTTAATTAAATGTATTTTTGGTATTATCACTCAATGTTTCTACCCTAAGCAAATTTCGAGTTCTGTTAATCAAAGTGGAAAAAAAAATATGAAAAAAAACTTATTTATTTTATTTACCAATAAATTTTCACAAAACTTTTAGTTGTTTCGGTTTTATCTCTATAATTATTTTAAGTTCACGATGAATGAAAGATAATGTTCCAAACATATCAAAGCGTTGAAAAACAAAGAAAGCTAACGAGAAACTTAACAAAAATAACCACCAGCAAGGTATAAGGAAATAAGAACACCAACAGCAACCACCAGATAGGAAATTTAATGGATAATACAATACGAAATCCTATAGTTAACGCAACTAGTTACAGACAATCCGCATAACTTAATAAGATAAACGTAAATCATGATATGATAATAGGCGCTTCTGTTCCTCAATTTAGGGTTAGTGATGTTAAGCGACCAAGGTCGTATAGATACCGACGATATTGCAGTAGCTCAGATTTAATAAGTCTATTAAAACCTGCCAGGCGACCGCTTGTCGTACACCCCCAGTAAAGATCCTTCGATAGAACTGCACTGCAATCGACTAAGTAGATAGCCAGGGGACTCTCTTTCAGCGCATCAAATGTGTTATGGCGAGGACAATACAATACTCTCAATTATAACCAAAAGATCCCAAATAAAGCTCAACAGATGAGTTATGGCACCCTGAAAGGTCAAAGGTCCCGTCTCTGCAAGCGAATCGTTGCTGTTTTTGGTGTAATTTATAAGTTGAAGATCCTTGAATTGTGATGATGTGAAATTTACAGTTAACATGCGAAACTAATCCCAGTTCAATGGGAACGAACAAATGTCTTTATATTAAATGCTAATTGAAACTAACTATACGAGTATAATAATGTATCTAAATACACACACACTCCACACACAACTGGAAGGATGATTAAGAAAGGCGTATATTGTATCATAGAACTATGTAAGCAGAGATTGTATTTTACATGCATTCTACAGGAAAGCTAATCCTCCCCCCACAAGCGTGAGATGTGCTTCTACTCCAACAGATCCCTTAAAATACCTTGGGTCTATATCCATGTTTATGATATCCTAGAAAAGAAGATCATTAAGAATATATTCCGTTTGTCCATCATCCATATCTGTAAACATTAACATATAACATTATTTTTTGATCCCATTTGAATGCTGCTGGCAGCTTTCCAGATAAGTTATCTACAAAATATTTTCATCGTAACATTTTTAGTTTTTGTACATTTCACAAGTAAACTCTATATAAGTATATTCTTTATCAATCCAAATAAAATTCCTGTTCTAGGGTATCTAAAGTTTCGGACTACCGAGACCGAACATCTCTTCTAGTTTTGTGGAATGTTAATCGATAATGTATGTTCTTGGATGTGCTGAAAATATGTATATTTATCTTCAAAATTCATTGTAAATGTTAGATATGAAAAACCCAACAAAACTTAAACCAAACTCAATTTTGTGTGTGTATGCCTGAAATTAAAATAAAAGAAACTTAATCGAATTCCAAAACTCAATTTGATATGACTGGATATGGTTCTGATTGCTTGCCAATCTGATCTGCCTTGCGGTTAGTTACAGGTTATTACAGGGTATAGAAAGTGGTTGATTGGCCTAATCAACGTTTTTACAATTTACTTTTAAATTTAAAGATTGAAACAATAGGCAGTATACTAACGTTTATTTAAGTAGAGGTCTGAGGCTGTTTCTTAAAATAAATTTACACTCATTATGTCCCATGTTAGTAAACTTATACTCTATCAGACTGGATACTTGTAACTTGTAAGTAATCCTTTATGAGATATGTATCTAAACAACTACCCTTTCTAAGATTACTTTTTATGGGTTTTGATAAAACCTGCAATAGAAATGAAAAGTATTTTTTATCTCGCTGAGATACAGAATGGTCTTGAGGCTGATGCTAGTGACTGTATTAGATTACTCGCAAGAAACGTAGTGCTGGATTCCGGTATAATTTCAGCGATTTCACTAGCAGAATAGAGGTCTGAGGATGTTTCTTAAAATAAATTTACAACCATTATGTGCCATGTTAGTAAACTTATACTTTATCAGACTGGACAAATATTTACTTGTGGGAACCTTGTAAGTAATATTTCATGAGATATGTATCTAAACAACTACAATTTTGAAGATTACTTTTAATGGGTTTTGATAAAACCTTCAATAAAAATGAAAAGAATTTTTTATCTCGCTGAGATATGATCTTAAGGCTGATGCTAGTAGACTCTATTAGATTACTCGCTGGAAACAAGTAGGAATTCGCCCAGAAATGAGCGTTTTCAGCAATACACCCCTGTTCTGGAATTTAAATAAAATCTAACTTAATTATAGAAAATAATCACCTGATATTCCTTTAAGTGCTATTGATCGATCAGAGTCCCTAATCTTTTCTTACCATCCGTGGGGCCTGGTTAAGTATGAAACCATCTTGATTAACTTTATCACATTTTATTTATAAATCACCCACCATAAACCATTTAAAGAGATTATCGAGATTATATAGGTACATTAAAAACAATAACAACGCAGAGTTAATCTTCCATCTGGGGCTTCCACAAGTTTGGTATATTCACTTCATGGATCTCGCCTAGCTCCAGCATTAGAACAGCTCCGTTTTCGGCCGTTTCTATGGCCTTAATCAAATTCTTGGCGCAAACGTCGGCCGTCTGACGTTTTACCTTATTGTACAAGGCTAGCATGGGTGTCTCGAAAGTGAATGTCATTTTGCTGCCAATATTCTCGAGGAGTTCAGTATCCGTGAATCCCGGACAGATGGTAATGAAGCCCACGCCAGAGCGAGCGTAATAAAATGGGTTCTGAAATAGTTCAAATACCATTAAAATAAATCTGTTAACTTGGATTTGTTCAATTATCATAACATGTTTAAAAATAGCAATAAACATGTAAAACATTTTCTTAAAACAAATGTTTACCCAACAGAAATCCCATTAAAAAACGTGTGAAATGTAATTAAAGATTATATGGAGGCTGTTAAATTTCCCCTCTCATACTTACTGCCATGGCCCTGGTAAATGTGGTAACACCTGTCTTGGCCGCCGAGTAAATTGCCATTATAGCTGTGGGCTGAAGTCCAGCCACGGAGGATATGTTCACTATTACTCCACCCTTACCACCCTTGGCCTTGTCCATGTACTCCAAAGCAGTCAAAGTGCTGTTTATGACTCCCAGCTTACGGGAAAAATTCAAAATTTATTTATATTTTATTATTTTAAGTATACACCCTTCTCACTTACCAGATTTATTTCAATGGTCAGATCGATGAGACGATCGTTCATCAGTCCACTGCCATTGACCACCACATCGAAGTGACCAAATCTCTCTGCTGTTGCCTTATAAGCCGCTTCAATATCCGACTTTTTAGTGATGTCCATTTTTTGGTAGAAGATATCCGTGTTGGGATTTTTGTTTTTCCACTCAGCCAAGATATCGTCACTGGCGGCCAACTCAAAAATGGCCAGAGCCTAATGAAGGGAGCTAATTACAGTTTGTTGTAAGTTAAGTTTGGCTGCAAGCCTACCTTTACTTGCCGCTGCAGAAGTTCTTGCACACATTTTTGGCCTATGCCGCCGAATCCACCAAGGTAAACCACATTTTTGCCGCCCAAATCCATGCCGCACTGTTGTAACTTATTTGCTCTGTCGGATTCCGTGCAATTCAGTCGGTGGCAATTGACAAACTGATCATTGCCGGTGCTCGACCCCTGTGTTCCACACTATCAGAAAAGTGCTAAAAACCAAGTCGCGTTTGCTCTCCGTTCTCCGCTCTAACGGAGCTTTTGGGGCCTTCTGACTTTTGGAGAGCATCAAATATTCTTTCTATTATAACTTTTGAAGCTTAACTAGTGGTGACAATATAACTTTTTATTGGTTAGATTTTGATTTACCTCTATGATCTTTGCCCGCCAATATTATGAACACATCATCTCTGATATATTTTAAGCCTTTCAAATCTTTTTAATTCCTACAAAAGAGATGGTAAATTTACAAAAAATCATATTTAAGATACTGTGTTTATTGCTGTTTTGATTATAACTTAAAGCCCATCTCTGGTGTGAACTGCTAATTAATATATGTAGAATGATAATAGTTGGGATTACTGCGCATTTTAATATAGATATCACGAGCTGAAAGTTTCTATAGTCTGTGTTTTAAAATGAATGTGTCTTGTTATTTGCATTATCACTTAGGTGTTATTAAAGATAGTACTTTTCTTACTCTTGTATCACCAGCAATATTGGAAATAATATGGGGGCTTAAAGTAATGTTCGAGAATAAAACGGTATCAATATCGGAAACCAACTCAAAAGTTAATTAATTTGGAAATTTATTTTGTTTCACTTTTAGGTCTCTTCGATAAGATATTGATTTCAAAGAAATTGGTTAAACAAATATGAATAAATCATCGCTGCAAGGAGGTAGTTATTCACCCACTTCACATATATCTGTGTCAGCCAGCGGAACCATCAGACACTGAAGCCATCTAGTAATCGAATATGGATGTTTATCCCATTAAAGCGAACAAATCGACTTCCCCCATTTCTTTTCCGCCCGAATCCAGGTTGCGGTTGCCACATCCGTGGAGGCACAGATCTTTACTGGAAGTAGCGCCTAATTACGCAACCAATGGATCCGATGGATCAATATTAAGTTCACTATTGCAACATCCGTGCGGTAGCGAGTCGGAGGCCCCAAAAGGCAATCGACACCAATCGGATCGCGACGGATCGACTTGCGGATTTCGAGGTCATTGTGCAGACTGGGTGGTGGGTGGCGCCTCGAGTTACCCACAGGTGGTATAAAACACCCAACGAAGACTAACTACAGCATCAGTTCCACAAGAGCAATCAGAAGAAGAGGATGCACTGTTTTACTTGGACGATTCTGGCTGGCCTTTTGGCCCTAGCTTCAGCAGCAGGATTGCCTCAAAGGCCAAGTAATGGCTACCAGGAGCAAGACACGTCCAGAGCCTTCTACTCCTACGGTTATAGTGATGACAATGCTGCAAGGGCTGAGTATTCCTCCCGAGATGGTACCTCCCGGGGATTTTACTCCTACGTGGATGCCGATGGCAAACTCCAAACAGTTCGATATGAGGCAAACGGCATTCAGGGTTTCAAGGCCGAAGCTAGTAACCAACCCCAAGCTCCCGTGGATGAAGGCAAAGCTCCGTTGCCCGTGACTGATACGGAGGAAGTGCAGCAGGCTCGGCTGTCTCATCTGAATGCTCTGCGGGAGGCGCGGGAGAAGGCTTTGGCTGACAGTTTGCGTGAGGAGACAGACAGAAGATTGCAAGATCAGAGCAGGAACAATAACGAGGATCAGCTGTCGGGAGAGCAGAGTTTGACCGATGAGGATGCGGCGATTCTAGAGAGAGTTCGAGCTGAGCTGTCAGCAATGTTGGCCGATCGACAGCGAGCGCTCAATCTTCCCAGGAATAGGGAGGAGGATGAACAACGTAAGGACCAGGAAAGCCGACAGGAGCAGAGACAGGATCTCAGGCAGGATCTGAGACAGGACCAAAGGCAAAATCAGCGGGAGGACCGTCGACAAGATCAACGAGAGGATCGACGACAGGATCAGCGGGAAGATCGGCGACAGGATCAGCGCGACGATAGACGAGAGGATCAGCGAGAAGATCGACGACAAGATCAGCGAGAGGATCGACGACAAGATTTGCGAGAGGATAGGCGACAAGACCAGAGAGAAGATCGTCGACAGGATCAGCGAGACGACAGGCGACAAGATCAGCGAGACGACGGGCGACAAGATCAACGGGATGACCGACGAGAAAATCAGCGAGAGGATCGTCGACAGGAACAGGATCTCCGCCAAAATCAACGTCAAGATCAGTCCCGAACGCAAGAATCAAACAACAACCGACAGAATGATCGCCAAATTGATCGCCAAAGCTCCCAGCTACTCCAACTGCCGATCTCCTCCGATCGCGATGCCGATGATCTGCGCCTGCGCACTATTTACTCCCTGGCCGATCTCAGTTCCAGCAGTTATCTGAAGCTCGGTGACTTGGCCAGTACCGAGAAATTACTTGAGGATCGTTTGGACAATAGTGATGTCCGTGTGCCGATCAGTGCCTACTATACCCTGGTTTCCCCAAACACCAAGTACAGTGTTACCACACCCACGGAGCTGAGAACCCTTCGCCCAGTGGCCCTCAGTCGCAGTTTGTTGGTAAGCAAACGCACTTGATGGACAGATGTTACAGATCGTGGTGATGGATCAAGGCCGGCTGATGATCGTGGAACAGAATGCGGTGTACCTATGATGTGTTTCCTAAGAATAAATGCAAGACAGAGCACCATTGTGCCAAAATTTAACTTTTCTTCTTTTTCGATTACTGGGTATTGATGTGGGATGGTGTGTATGAAGGATGTTTGGCTACGTCCACAGACACTTTAAAAGAAAATATTAAATTAATGAATTACAAAAGATTTAATATATTTTTTTTTAATTTCGAATTTGCATCATTTATTGCTCAACAATTAACAGAATTTTTTGAAGAAGACAGATCTCAAAATTAGGCCACTGGCAGGTAGTTCCTAGAGGGAACTTGAGGCGTGGACTTGGAGTGGAAGTTGTAGACAAATCCTGTGGTTGGCTGATAGACATAAAGCGGCTGGGAACGAACGGCGATGGGAGATGGAGGTGCTATCACCAGGACCTTCTTCTCGGCGAGCAATTGATTGCGCAGCTTCTCGGCTTCGAAACGCTTGAAGAATGCAACTTTGGCGGAAGCTACCTCGGGGGTATCCTGAACAGGCTGTGGACCAACGGAAGTATCTCCGGCTAACCTCAACTTGGCCTGGTTATGAGCTTCCAGATGCTGAGCACGCAGAGCGGCCACCTCTGGGGTTTCCTGGTTGGGCTGCTGATTTGGCAAAGCGGAGGTAACGTGGAAGCCTTCGGCATCGGCCACATAGTCCACAGTCTGGGTTTCGCCATTGGCATCCACATGGGAAAAGGTGCCCCGGACTACTCCATCCAAGGTGCGTGTCTCGTGCTTGGAGTACAGAGGTGCCATATAACCATAAGCATACTGACCATGTTCATCCTGGGTGTGATACTGGCTGATCGTATCCGAACTAGGTGGGGCTCCGTACTCCAAGGTCGGTGATCCGGCAGCCATAGCAATGGTGATAAAAATCAGGCAAAGATTAAGGAACTGCATCTTCTCAAGCGTGTTTGATATATAAGTTTTGACTTTGGGAATCTTTTTAAGGCGCTGCTAGTGTGGTGGACTAGTACTCGCTCTAGAGAACTCTGTGCTGGGATCGGTTGGGGATTCTGCCTTTTATAAGCGGCGCCTCCTGCCAAAAATTTACAATTTCGTGCGTTCTCAGGAAGGTCGTCCGGTTGGGTTTTTACTTTCATATTCCACCGGCCTGGATTATTGTTCCTTTTTCCTCTTCCTCTGCTTCCTCTCATTTTCGTACATAAATATTTTGTCGATTTCGATTTCAACAAGTTCAGCATAAATTTGAGCACAAAAGCCGCAATTTGTTTTCATCTGCGGCAGGGCGAGCAACGCGTACCGCATTGTATCTTATTGTATCGGATGTGGACATGTTCAGAGACAACCAACAACGTTCCGCAATGCCACAAAGCAAGAACTTAATCAGGCTGCATTTCAGTGGGTCTGGATATCGACTGGAAGAAACTAGCCATGGATATATGCACAATATATAGGCTGAAAACATCTTAATCGCAAAGAATCGTCTATCATATTGAAATGTAAAAATTTTTGTATTATTTCTACGAGGAATGTTATAATGTTAAAATACCAGGAGGATATCCGAAACAACTTGACTTTCATCTTATATTCTTTAGTTACTTTTGTCTATATCTATCCTTTTATAAAATAATACCAAATACTTAAAAATATGTCAAATAGTTTCTCTCAGTGTGAGCATGAAATGGTTAAAGAGGGGTCAAGGAACCGGGTTTGGCTATAGGACACGCCGGCTACCTTTTCCAGTTTCAGTTATTTCGGTTGTTGCCTTTGCGGTTGTTTATGCTGCTATTAAATTTAATTGAAATCAAAATTTGCCGTACATTTATGAAGAGTTTATGCTGTATGTGGTATGCGATGGGTTGGACTGGGGCCAAAAGGTTGAGGTAGGACAGGGTCCGAGTGAACGGGTTCCGGTCTTGGGGTTAAGCTGTTGAAGGGTCAAACGGATATACTTTTTCATGAAAATTAAAAATGATCTTAAACTCATGATTCTAATGCTCGAGTCTGGTTTAAGATTAACTAAACATTGTAAAAAATATTATTTTCTTGTGGATCCAAGAAAACCATAAACCACCGAAATCGAAAAAACAACTACAATCTGATTGACAATTTTTATTATAAATTCGAAATTCTTTAATGATGAACCAAATCGGGTAAATACTCCTCCCCTTCAGTAGTAGAATCCAGGGGAGTAGTACCGGGGAACGGTGTAGCCGTAGACAGGCGCTGGAACCACGACATGATGACTACGAGCCAATGGTACAGAAACCTTGGCCAGCACCTGGTTGCGCACCGCTTCATCCTCGACACGTTTTAGGTGAAGAGACTTTACTGCTGCGACTTCTACAGTATCGGAGACGGGGTGAGGCAACTGGGAATGACCGGATACGGAAGAGTCAACGACTGAATGCTCGTGATGTTCCACCGGGTGGTGTCCTTCTGGGTGAGCACTTCGGCCGGTCTCCACAACGGTGGGATGATGTGGGGCTTCAACGGGATGATGACCAACAGGATGTGGGACCACAGGATGCGAGACCACTGCGGGATGCTCAACACTATGTTCCACGGGATGCGATGCACTCCTAGGACTAAATCCTAGAGATTCCTGGGGAACTACGGCCTTTGGCAGATTAGTGGCAGCAACATGGAAACCATTGGCATCGGCCACATAGTTAACCGTTTGCTTTTTTCCAAGTGCATCTCGGTAGCTATAGGTTCCTTGGGTGACTCCGTCAATGGTGCGGGTCTCCTGCTTGCTGGACAAAGGTTCCGCATAGCCATACGAGTACTGACCCAACTGATCCTGGGCGATATACTGCTGCTGAGTGGGCGTGAAAACGGCGGATCCCTCGGCGGTGTATACGTACGGATAGTACAAGGCCAGACCGTGGGCCAAGCTCAGGCTTCCTATTAACAGAAGTGGATACTTCATGGTTGGTCGATGAAAGATTCCTGCTGGAGATTCTTGTTTGTAAGTTCACAGGTAACTGTTGGTTCTGAGCTTAAGCCTTCATCCTTATATACCCAGCAGGTTCTTCGGCGAGTTCTAGTTCTGGTTTTGACTGGAGTTCTCGTTGTCCAGCGTCTGCTGTCCCTGGTAAATTTTACTATTCTTCTACACTCAGATAAATTCTATAGCAATCTGTTTAAGCTTATTATAGGGTTTCTATCTTATTAATTTTTAGTAATCTTCAAATAAATCCCTTGCACCTGAAGTTACATTTTAGAGGAGTTTATCATAGTCATAAGATTAATTAACTCTCTTATTTTCAAGTTGACAATGTTGACAAGTATTGTCTATAATTTATCGTTAAAATAATTTTCTTTAATCTTTAAAATATGTTTATAATATTTTCTCCGAATGTATCCATCAGATGCACTTCAATGCAAACGAGGAGAGGCGATCGCGATGCCTTGTCCACTTGTGTCGTTAACGGACATTGCAGCTCCACCTTTCACTCCCCCTTTTTGAGATCGCCTCCTCGTAAAGGCGGTGTCAATTTGGTTTAATTGTGGCCAAGGCTGGAGTGGGCACAAATGAGGGAGGTAGAGGCAGCTCCTTCGGTGGAGAAGCAATCGCTGCTTGCCATCTCCATCTGCATCTGCAACCGAATCAAGGGCCTTGGCTGGGTGGACCATCAAGGCCAAAGACCGCATCCAGCCCAGCGTGTAATTGATATGCAATTGTTGTTGCTGCCACAGCACTGTGGCATCTCAGCCTCCTTTTTGTCCGAACATTGCAACGGGGTTACGGCAACAACAACTGTGGCAACAACCGACGACGGCAACAACGGCATCTCAAGGTGAGTGAAGGCCAAGGGCCACATTTGGCCACAACTTCAGCACGGGAGTCATGCATTCCAGTGGCGAACCTAAAGGGGATTTTTGGGATCTTAAACTTACTTTAATTTATTGATTAAGAAAAATTGTTTATATTCTTTGAGTAATTAAAATCAGCAGAATTTCGATGCTTAATGTTTCTGGATATTTAAAAACCCTCTAAAAATATGTTTCGCAGCCGCCCCTGATGCATCTGCAGCTGCTTGGCTTGGTCCCTCCTGATCCTCCTTAGCTGGGGTTTTATTTTTAGCAGCATCTTTATCGGATGCCTCAGATCTGTGGTGCTTAAACTTCGCTCCCGATTAGGAGGAGGAGCAGCTGCAAGAACCGCATTGGCCTTGACGGCCTGGCTGATAAGTGCGTTTTAATGTTAGCCCCATTGGCACTTAGTTTCAATCAAAGCCAAATTCTTGCCAGCCATTCCTGCCAGCCTTAATGATCTCGTTAGTTCTGGGGCTGGAATTGAAGTTGGATTGGCTATTTGGTCTGGTTTGCTTGGTGCTATTCCATGTTCCCCCTTGGCGTGGGCTGTGCACTGATTTGTGAACCTTCATCGGGTCTTTGGTCTACCTCTCACTTTGCGGCTAATTAGAGGTGCACTAAAGATAGGCCAGGTGGCAAGACTCTTGTTTGTTTTTATCACTCATTGCTAGACTGTGTTTTTATTGGTTTAAAGAACAGGCGTACAATTTTATGGTATTTCTTTCATTAATTTTTAATGGTTTAAGAAAGTTAGTTTATATTTTTAAACAAATTCTTAGATTTAATTGCACAAATAAATTGCATTTTCAATTATAAGCTATTTACTGTCTTTAAAATTTCACATTTATTATTATAAACTTAATGAATCTGTTTCTAAGTGTTTCTAATGATTATTTTCTTAGGCCATAATCATTTTCAACGGACACCAAAAACTTTAATATTAATCAAGACTTTAAAATTTAAATTTAATTACTAGGCATAGTATTAAATATTTGTGTTAATTTATAAATAATCTTTGATCTTAATTAAAAGTCTCCTCAGGGTATTCCAAACTCCGTTAGCCAAGTTAGTTTTTCGACCAAGTTATATTTTACTTTTGGGCCAGGGCTATGACTTCATCGCTTTGTCGACGAAACTAACCAAATACTTCTGACAGTCAGTTCCCATAAATCAATGTCAAACCAACTTTTTTTCCTTTAAGGTTTGTTTTGGGATTTGGGGCTGGGGCTTGTTGTTTCAGATTGTGTTTAATCATTTTATTGTGTGCGAAGCAATTTCCTTATGATTTCCTTTTGACTTTTACTTTTTCCTGATTGCCCAAAATAGAAAAGTTCAAAGAACCCATTTACCTTTTACCTATTTTACCATATAAAGCGGCCACAAAATCTTAATCGCTTGGCATTCTCGAAACAAAAACTCATTTGCATACTTAAGCATGAGCTCACTAGTTAGTATAGCCCTAGTCACACCCCCAAAAAACACCTCCATGTAACCCCTCCTTAAAGACCCCCCTCGTTATTCCAATTGTCTGGCACTTGTTGTGCGTGTTTTTGTCAAAAAATTTCACGCATCGTTTTCTGTTTTAGCGTCGGACGCAGACAAATTGCCTGTTTTACTAGCTTAGACTATACACTTAACCCCTCCCTCATCTACCAAAAAAATCCAAGGAAAGCTTTAAGCTTATTTCCCAGAATTTTACTCAAAACAAACGAAATTTTGAGTCAAACTTGTTGGTTTGATAAGATTCCTATGCCTAACGTCACTTTTGTTATTCTGAGTTGTTTTTAGGTCTCGTTTGTTTTTTTGTTTGATAAATGGCTTCGTCGTGTGGCTTTCGCTCTTAGTTTTGGTGTATAAAAATTTGCGAAATGAAGTCATCGCTGAAAAAAAAAATAGGGGTCAGTATAAATGTGTATAAAATACTATCTATCTCTTTATCGGATTCAGAAAGTTAGGAATTTGTGTTTGCTCATATTTTGTTTGGCCATCATCAGTTTGGTAGACGATGTTCTTGCCTTTAAGTTGCAATTTCACTCAACGAAAGCTCACTCAAAACAATAATATCACTCATACGCCGCTTGTGCCTTTGCTAGCCAGTGGCTGCGCATTTGTCCAAACAGTTGAGTTTCGACATCGACAGTATTCGCGCGTTTGCCTTCAAATAGTTGGAAAATATCCAAGGAATCAAACTAAGTTTTTTTGGAAATAATTGGAGAATTTTGCTACATTTTTAAAAACACAAATGTAAGTTTGAAAAAGCTTAGGGCTAGTTTGTTTATTTTTAAAAATGTTTGTGTATCCTGGACCCTTGATAAGAGCTGAAAGAACAAGGTTTTCCTTTTTTCTAAGAGTTTTCTGTTAAGCATTTCAAGAGCAGATTATGACCCAGTTACCTCCAATCGCGTTCCCCTTTTTTTCCTATTGTTCCTGTGGCATCATTGTTTTCAATTTCCGTTTGAAGGTCTTGTATTAGGCGCAGTTTCCGCGCTTCCGTGTGTATATATGCGTGTGTTTAAATCATCAGTCTCAAATTCAAGCCACCCAAACCCCAGAAACCCCTTCTCTAAACTGGCGCTTGCGCGTTTCCCAGCTCCCAGTGATGTCATCTGGGCTAGTGGTGATGTAGGTATATATTACATACATATATTATGCCTACAGCATAAGTCCCCTAAGTCAATGATTTCTTTATTGCATTGCGTGTTCTATCAGAATCCCCTTTTGCTTCCTGTTTCAACTCCCCCTCTCTCCACCAACTCTCAAAAAGAATTCATTTTAATTTATGCATTCAGTCCGAGGCGCTAATATTTCAGAATGTTTACATACACACAGAGTATACTCATATCGGGAGCAGTATTTCATGTCGTTCCATTTATAAATACACAACAAGATGACCCAAATTTCCCCTTATTCATTTGTTCTCCAGTGATCCGATCCACTTGAGGTAGGTTGGGTTAATAATTATGGGCTGCCACTCGCCCTCCTCTCCAGGAAGTCCATTCTTCTCTACATATGGCTATCTATAACCCATTCATATTCCTATTCAAATTCTGACCATAAATATTACCAATTTGGTTAAAAAACTAATTAAAATGTTGGCAACGAATTCGCAATGCTCGACTGGAGCTGGATGAGAACTTGTTCCCTGCCGATCAGAAATACAGAGAAAGAAACCGAAACAGAGATGGGAAAATGAGAAGAAACAAATTATTTATGGTCTGACAGCAAAAGCGGATTATTTCTGATTTAGACTATCCACGCTCCCCATCAGACTGCCTGATTTTCTGCGGTCATGTTCGCGAGGGGTATGTTGACTTTCAGTTGTCAAAGTATATTAAAAAATTAGTTTTTTAAATATGTAGAAACCAAAAATGTTCAACACATCCTGTGTCGCGATTATCATGGCCAAATCTTAAGATTTGTTTTTCCGGTTTCGATTGTGTTGATGTATAACACCCGCTTTTTATATATTTAGAGTGATTCATCTTGAAAAAATACTAGCAAGTAAATATGTTTGAAGTTTTTAAAGTGTTTATTTTAAAAACATATCAACATCAAAAGGCTATTTCGCTCTTTGATCATCAAGTTATAGTGACTTTTATAGATCGATTTAAAAGCATAAAAGAGCATTCCTTCGTCGTTCTTCTTTAGGTTTTTAGACATCTTAAAGCTCTTCTTGCATATTCCAACTTCTTTTGTCGTGTAGTTTGTCAACTTTTCTTGTTTTCCAGTATTTATGGCTTCCAATTACAAGTAAGGGCGGAGTAAAGGGTTCCATTAGTCTTCTCCGGGGACGGGCTCGGTAATTTGTTTCGTCTTGAGCGGAGTTCAAGTTCAATAACCCTGGTCTTGAGACCAATAAGATGATTAATGGCAGGCAGATCTGGCGATGCATGCAATGCTCTCAATTAACCAGTTGGATTAAATAGATGATTCCGATGGATTATCTGGGGAAATATGGGCTATGAAATTGCCTCACCCCAAAGCTATTTAATGCTGATCCCAGAGCAACGCGTAATCATAGCCCGGCGTAATGAGGCGATGACATAAGCATTGACTCGACTCAGTCACTATTTGATTTGGATTGCGAATGGGGCTTGGGGGTGGTATATATAGCATTTGACATGCTCCATGGGCTGCATCAAGGTCATGGTTGCGAATCGGTTGCAAGCATACCCACCTCCATTTCGATTTGTTAACATCTGTCCGGGCACAAGCCACAGCATCATATCTCACAGATAGAGGACTCCAAACTGGTTACAGTCCCATCTTATCGCCGACTTAAATGGTTCCCCAAACAGCTTCCATCTCTCCTGGGGCTCCGTGTTCCAGCCTTAAGTGGTGCGTAATTAATGGCCCCGCCAATAAATGCTCACGTTTTATTTACTGTTTATGGAAGGATAGGGATTCGGTTGCCCTGCTGCCATACCTTTTCGACTTCGTGTTGGGTAGCCTGTAAACACGACGACAATTTATGCTACAAGCAATTTTAAAACTAAATTATCATCCAAATTTATGCCACGTTCGATGGCCAACAAATTAAGTAAGGTATTTTTGGGAAAGGGTAGGGCATGAGTAATTCTTATCTTTAAATAAATACGAAAAATCATTTAATTTATTTATTATAAAAATAATACCCTAGGGTTTTACTACTTTATTTTTTTACTAACTCAAGAGCACCTGATTGAATGTAAAAGACATGATTTATGTGGCTTGTGGTTATACCCCAGAGCAATCTAAACCTTTTGTAACTGTATGTTATAGACTAATCATAATAGATCTCGCAAGCTACCGCTAAGTTCTGACCCCCATAGAGAAACATGGGTGAGCCAAACCTGTTGACTATTTATTTTTGTTTATTTGGTCTTTGCAAAAAGACGATAATTGGCTTCGTTAGTAGATGGGGGAAACAAACCGATGACGCCATTTCATTATTAGATCTCTCCCAATTTTGCCTTTCGGTTTTCCATCTCTCGAAAAACATCTGAGAGAGCTTTGGGTGGGTATACCTTTGTTATTGTCCAGTATAAACTGTGATATCATTGCGATAGGGAACTGAACAAAATACAGATAAGCTTATTGTAACAGTGCATATGGGAATAGAAGCTCGTTGGTTGACGAAGACAGACGAGACCCACCGCAATGTTGGCCAGTGTTGTGGCCCACAGGTGAGATACTGCGTAGGTGCCTTACCAAACCCATTGCGCAGGAAAGGAAAAGTTGCGTGATAGCAATGGCCGCAACAAAGTAGAAAGTGGAAAACTGACCTATCAGGCTATGCATAATATGTATGACCATTAATTAGCCCCACTCCTTCTTAAAAATGTTATCCTCTTTAATCCATATTAAAGGATCCTAAAGGTTTCTACAGTTAGCAAAATTGTATAACGACTTTAATCTTGATTTTTTTTAGATCCAGCATGTCCGAGGCAGCAGCAGCTAATGGAAGCCCCTCTCCAGCTCCAACTCCTGAGGTGCCTGCGGCCGAGTTGGCCCAATTGGCTCTGGAGGATGAGCCCAAGGTTAGCTTTTCGGATCAGTTCAAGGCCTTCTCTAAGTTCGGGGACTCCAAGTCCGATGGAAAGCTGATCACGCTCTCGCAGAGTGACAAGTGGATGAAACAGGCCAAGGTTATCGACAAGAAGATCACCACCACGGACACGGGCATCCACTTCAAGAAGTTCAAGGCCATGAAGATCTCACTCACCGACTACAACAAATTCCTGGACGATTTGGCTAAGACGAAAAAGGTGGAGCTGTCAGAGATTAAGCAGAAGTTGGCCGGCTGTGGAGCTCCAGGAGTGGTTTCCGTTTCGGTGCGTTTGAAATATTTATAGTGAAAACTTAACAAGTTAGACCATCAAACTTTTCATTGACTCTCTTTGTGTATAATGAAGGACTTAAACTAATTTTGTTTTAACATTTTTTAGGCCGGAAAGGCAGCAGCAGCCGTGGATCGATTGACGGATACCAGCAAGTATACCGGTTCCCACAAGGAGCGCTTCGATGCCTCCGGAAAGGGCAAGGGTATAGCCGGCAGACGCAACGTAGTGGATGGTTCTGGATATGTGAGTGGCTACCAGCACAAGGACACCTACGATAACGCCCATTAAAGAGGGAATCCACCGTTTAATACCGCCCACACTCTCTTTAAACTGACTTTCTAACTTTTGTGTTTCCCTAGTTAATGTCTCCCATTTCGTTTGGTAGCTGCAATAATTTATCCTTGTGTACATAATCTAAGTTTGTGATAATTTAAGTGCTTACAAATAAATTTATATATTTTGATTATGTTTTCAGTTTTTGATTTACTTTATTATGATTTCCTTGCTTTCTCCTTCGATACGTAAAAAATCTGAAGCGGCCCAAAAAAAGTTCAAAAGCAAATCCCAATCAAATTTATATACATTTCATGGACTTGGAATCCGTGTTTGCTAGTCTTAAGATAACAGATAAACTTTTAATATTGAAATTTGTGAAAGAAATTTAAATATCATATACGGAAACCAAAGATATACGACATACATAGATATGTTATGTTCTCATAAGAATTTTGCTTGAATAAATAAACTTGAAAAAGATATTTAAAGTTAATATTTGGATTTAAAAATATGAATATTAGGAAAATAACCAAGCGATGCAGATTTATTTTAAGGTAATACTCTTTGAAGAATAACTCTAGATGTTTATTATAGGGAATTATTAGAAGGGTCTCCTTATATATATCGTATTGAGTTTAGAGAAGTTCTCATTGAAAGATGGTTATTAAGAGATCATTGTATTATCTCTATAATGACATTATCACTGATGCAAAGCTGACATCGCAAAAACCAGAGCGGTGTGAAGCAGACTGAACGCTAGAGCGACCAGATGACGATGGAAATCGATAGGGCGGCATGAGTTTGCATAATCCTAACCCAGAGCAGGTGGAAAACTAGCTATTGATTGCAGCCGAACCAAAGTCACTCAAAGATATATCATATAACCCCCGGAAAATTGCTATAAAAGCGGTGATCGGTGCTATTCCAAGTCAGCAGTGCAATTGAGGAGCTCTGAGCTTGATGAAGCCACAAGGAATACAACCGACTACTACAAATATCAGCCAGACCAAGATGTCCTTCCGCGGAAAGAATGCAGTGGTGACCGGCGGAGCTGGAGGTATTGGTCTGCAGGTGTCCAAGCAGCTGTTGGCCGCCGGTGCAGCGGTAGGTTAATTATATAAAGCTTTATATAAAGTCAATGTTCTAACCTTTGTTTCCCAGAAGTTGGCCATCATCGATCTGCAGGATAATCTGGAGGAATTTGTGAAGCTTCGAGCTGCCCATCCAACTCAAAGTGTAATGATCGTCAAGATGGATGTGGCCAATAAGAAGGGTGTGGAAGCGACCTACGAGGAGATAGCCAAGACCTTCGGCAACATCGACATTGTTGTGAATGTTGCTGGCATTTTCAATGACAAGGATGTGCAGAGAACTCTGCTGGTGAATCTTGGAGGGATCATCAACTCCACGCTGAGCGCTTTGCCCTACATGGGCAAGGATAATGGCGGAAAGGGTGGAATTGTGGTTAACATGAGCTCGGTTGTGGGTCTTGATCCGATGTTCATCATTCCCGTTTACGGAGCCACCAAGGCGGGCATTATCAACTTTACCAGATGCTTGGCGGTAAGAAAAATCTTCCTAATATCTCTTCAATCCAGTTTTTAAGTTTCTATCTTAATCCTTTAGAACGAAAAGTATTATCAACGTTCGGGCATCAAGTTTGTGACTGTCTGTCCTGGAGCTACGATGACGGACATGTTTACCAACTTCACGGAGAAGATCATCTTCCCGGAGACTAGTGACGAGACCTACAGGATTCTGGATAGGTTGAACAAGCAGAGTGCCGCTGATGTCTCTCGCTGCATTCTGAACGTTCTGGAGAAGGACAAGAACGGAGCTGTCTATGTCATCGAGGGAAAGCGCGTTTTTCCCTTGGAATTGAAGCCCCAGTGGACAGGCAAGGAGCAGGCCCTTTAATCGGAGACATTTTCTCCATATCCTAAACACACACATTTACAAATTTGATCATATTACAGGAAGTAGTTATTTAATAAACAAACGAAGCACACTAATTAGTCCTTTTGTGATTAGTCGTCCCGCCAGCTGACCAGCACTTCGTCCGTGCGGTATCGCTGTGTTACAAAAGCTTCTTCCAGGGGCATCCTGGTGCCAGAGCGGAACATCTCTGCTCCGGCATGGGCAATCATAAGACCATTGTCTATGCAATAACGTTCATCGGTGGCGAAGAGTTTGCCTCCACGCTCCTCGCACATAATACGCATCATTTCTTGGAGTCGCTCATTGCAGCCCACTCCTCCTACTATCAGAACCTGAAATGGGAATAAGTTAGATACTTATATTAAAGAAGGATAAGGAAGAACTCGCCTCATTAGAACCACAGTGAGCCATGGCCCGCTCAGTGATCTCTACCAGCATGGCGAAGATGGTCTCCTGTAGTGAGTAGCACAGATCCGCTTGGGTGTAATCTGTGACCTCTGCTTCCTGCGGCTTCTTCCTTTTATTTTGTCTCTTTCCCGGTTCAGCCAGATCCTCTATATACGAAAGAATTCCAGAAAAGCTTACATCCATTCCTTTGACTACATAGGGCAGTTTAATATATCGACTGCTATTCTTGGCCAGCTGCTCGATGTTGTATCCCGGACTGGGATCGTTAGACAGCTTGATGATGCGGGCAAATCGATCCAAACAATTGCCCACGGCGATGTCAATAGTTTCTCCAAAGATACGATATCTCTTATTGGAGTAAGCAATAACCTGGGTATTTCCACCGCTGACATAGAGAACGATGGGGTTCTGGGCACCGGTAATTAGGCGACCCATCTCGATGTGGCCAATGCAGTGATTCACACCCAGGAGTGGGATCTCCCACAAAAGTGACAACGTGCGGGCCACAATGGCTCCAACGAGCAGAGGAGGGGCCATTCCTGGACCTTTTGTATAGCAAATAACATCCAGATCGGAGTGCTTTAATTGGGCTTCCTTTAAACTGGCTTTCACCAAGCCCAGGATGGCTTCCCTATGATGTTTGGCCGTCTCCTTGGGAAGGAAACCTGTTGAGCAGATTTTTTTAATAACATCTCTATAAAACGCCGGTTGGTTAGAAAGTTGTTTTACCTTCTCCTGGTGGGGTTATATATGTTCTCCTTACATTGGCCAGTACTTCACCATCTTTAATTATGCCCACGCCAATTTTATTGGCACTGCCTTCAATGCCCAAAGCGCAAACCATGTTTTAAATTCTAATAAGAAATCTTAAACAAGCGATGTAAACAATAAACAGTGTGACCCTGGTTGATTACTCTATAAAAGCCGTGGTAAGAATGGTCAAAATAGGGCTGCCAACTCTTTTGACATATCAGCTGCTTTGCAAATATTTTATTTGTATATATGTATAGTATGTATATATATTTCAGTTGTATTGTATCGCAAAGTACGCGAATTCCTTTGTAAAATTTGAATAAATGATAGAATAACTAGATCAACAATGGAATCTGCGCAGGCAGAGCAGCCGGCTGAGGTTGAGAGCCCGGTGAAAATGGAAAATGGGGATACAGGCCGGGGTTTAAAAAATTCCGAAGAGAAAACAAGTGGAGACGTGGAACCGAAAGCGGATTTTATTAAACAGCAGATGGAAGAAAGCGATGGGAAATGTGAGCATCCGGAAGACCAACTAGCAGACCAGGATGTGCCCAAAATGGAGCAGGATCTTAAGGCAGCCGTCTTAGAGCAAGTGCCAATAGAAGGGGATGGAAGTAGCATGCGTTTCCAGGACTTGAAAGAAAAGGAGGAGGATGTGCAACAAAATACATCAAAGCCCCTGCAGAACGACATTCTATCCCATGTTCACTGTTTGGCCCAAATAGAGGAACAGCGGCGTAACTATGAACAGCAGTTAGAACAACTACGCACCTCTAACATCCAGAAGGATAACATGATCACCCTTATTCAGCGGGAGAACGCTATACTGGGTAAAGAGAAACAGGCCTGTCGAAAGGAAATGGACACGGCCAACAAGGAGAAAGAAGCCACAGTCATCAAGTTTGCTATGAAAGAGAAGCTACTCATCGATGCCAAGAAGGAAAAGGAGGTGGTGGAGAAGCAACTAGCTGAAGCCAAAAAAGAAGTCAAGAGTGTGTTTAGTAAATTCCAGTGTTTAAATGAGGAGAAGTCCCGCATGTCGTACGTTATCGAAGAGAAGGTGGGTGGAGATGTTTTATAAAAACTTTTATAACTGGAACCCATGCACCTATATTCACCAAATCATTGGCCGTACTTTGAGTTATAAAAGTTTCAATTATGGAAGTTCGACTACAGATAAATAACCTCTTATCATCACCATTTTATCTCCGTTTTATCAGTGTAACGAAGTCAGGAAGTATCAGCGCGAGTGCGAAAAGTACAAAACAGAATTGGGTCATCTGGAGTCCAAGCTAAAGTATCACATAAACAAACTCAACATCGAAACGGAAGCTAAGGCGGTAAGTAAAGTTTAAATAAGTGCTATATTCTATTATAATTAATTTATTTATATTCTCTATAAAGGTTGTAGAACGTAAACTGGAAGAGGAAAAGAATGCGCCCAACAAGCTGGAGGAAAAGGCCAATGGTTAGTGGTTTTTACCATTCATATAGATACAAAATAATTAATCTTTCTCTCTTTTTATTAGAAAAACTTAAAATGGAATTCGAAGCCAACACAATACTCTTGAAACATGAGATTACCAGCAAGACTGAGGCTCTGGATAAAGTCACCAAAGAGCAGCTAAGGCTTACCGAAGCTAACAAAGAACTGCAGCATCAGCTTCAGGAGATTACCTCAGAGGTATATTTCATTTGTAAAAATGAAACAGTGTTTTTCTGACTTTTTTGAGTTTCTTGATTATAGCATACTCAGCTTTCAGAGGAGTTTAACCGGTTAAGAGAGCTGCACAATTCGGTCGAAGCTTCCTACAGCGATGAGCTGCTCAACTCTGCAAAACTCAGAGGGCAACTAGAAGAGCTCCAGCTTTTACGTACTCAACATACCATGTAAGAGAAAATATACGTATATTGTTTTCAATAAAAATATAATATCTTTTAAATTTCCAGCAATGAGGAAAAGTTGGCGGAGGAGCAAAAACGAAGCAAACATCTGGAGGCATTGGCCCAAGACAACGAATCAGACCTGGAGCAACTGAAAGTAAAAAAACAGGAGTTACTTACTATTAACAAGGAGATGAGTGAACTGATTGTTCGGCTCCAGAATGATATTTGTTTGGCCGAGGCCAAGGTAAGCAATAATAAAAAGAATTTATACAAAAAAAATGTACATGCCCCGGGTGAGGCTCGAACTCACGACCTTAAGATTATGAGACTTACGCGCTGCCAACTGCGCCACCGAGGCCTTGAATAACCAAGGATTCTAAGAAGGCTGTATTAATGTTGATATAAGATACATTCCAAGAAATGCAGTTCAAGGATCTAATATCAGTGTTTTATTTTTTAGGCTCAAGGTCTCGATGCTGAAAACAACTTACTCAAGCAAGAGAAGCTCACGTACGACACTAGGTACAATCAACTAGAGCAGCAGCTTAATACGGAGGCATCAGAAAAGAACGAGGAGCGACTGCTGTTAGCCAAGCATTTATCTGAGAAGACCAAGCTGTACGAGCTGACCAAGCAGAAGCTGGAAAATGTTCAGGGGGATTTTGAGGCCACACAGCATAAACATGCCACCGTGCTGAAAGAGCTGCACCGAGAATTAAACAAGTACAAACGAGGGATTACAGAACCCAAAACTCCAATCAGCTACTGCAGCAATTGCCAGCAGGCAATCAATGGTTACCCAACGGAAAATCCTCAACAACGCAGTCATAGCCGTTCCAGTAGCCACGGAAGCCTGCATAGCGGCAGTCGGCGGGCTAGCGAGTCTTCCGAATCGGAAACAGTGGCAAGTAGTGCGACCACTGTGCAACAACCACCACAGCAGCAAGACCTTCAAGCAGTACCGTCCAAAAAAGTACTTGTTGAGCGTATACTCCGACTGCAGCAGGCTACTGCTCGGCAAACGGAACGCATCGAGTTTCTGGAGAACCACACGGCTGCTCTGGTAGCCGAGGTGCAAAAGAAATCTAAGGTGGTGCAGCACTATATGCTCAGAGATCAAACCGCCGGCGCGTTAACTACCTCTCGAAGCGATCAGAACAAGAGCGAGTTGGTTAAGTACGGAAATGGAATCATGGCGGCCATTTATGGAGGATCCTCAAAGGCGGCAGGGGAGAATAAAGCCATGTCTCTGGAACTCTCCTTAGAGATTAACAAGAAGCTGCAAACAGTGCTGGAGGACACGCTGCTGAAAAATATCACGCTGAAAGAAAACCTCGATGTGTTAGGGCTCGAAGTAGATAACCTCACAAGGAAGTTGCGCTCACTGGAGGTCAACAGCAAGTAAATGCCAGTCTTCTTGAACAATGTATTCCATTCCAGAGTCTATCCCGTGTATAGTTATTGTACAAATCGTATGCTTTTATGTTTAAGTGTATAATAGATGTATTTAATATTTTAACAAAGTCCCAGGCTTATAACAATCCATCGTAAAGCTTGGCGCTAACGGGTTTTGGCTGTCCAAGATCAACTCCAAAGTTAACAGTGGGTTTCTCGCCGTCCTTGGCAAATCTGGCTAGTTTGTTGTGGGTTAATTTGTAGTGCACCTTCATTTGGGGATTAGGATTACCCGTTTCCTCCGATACCAGCTCGCGGAGCAGTGGAGGAAGGTCAATCTTAGTGGGCAGAATCACTTCTTCAACTTTCTTTTTGTTGTTCAGGTACTTGGCCTCTTGATCTTGGGGCACCAGTTCGTAATCCGCTTTGTAGCTGGTGCTGTAGATCTCCACGGGCTTCGGTTGGGTTACTCCGCGCCAGGTCTTCTCTACTGTGACCCGCACTTTACGGACTTCTCCAGGTTGTTCGTCCACTGATTGGACCTTCAAAATCCGCATGTAGCAGGGCTCGGGATAGCGCTGGAACATGTTACGTATGAGCAGGCGACCTACTCCCCAGTTGGGCTGATTCGATACCAGCTCCCACAATGTGTTGCCGCGAAAGTCAGTGGTACGACCGAAGTATTTTATAACTTTTTGAGCCATTCTAGCGGATTATTTAACAAGTTTTAATTCAATTTATTAAATTTGATGTTAAAGGTAAAAATATTGCCATTCACAGGGAAAGTCGAACATATGTGCCGGCGGCATTAACAGCTCTGTTGGGAGGTAGCAGAGACTGTAAGTGATGCTATAAATTTGGGCTGGCAATACTGCGCGCCAAAAAAAGGTTTAAAAATTGAAATTATAAAAATTAAGTCAAAATTAATGAAAGAAAAGAATAAAATTCGTTCTAATGTTCTGACAACTCACAGCCACGTAGGACGGACTTGAATGCTTTTACTGTATTTACATAAATAATATTTTCAACTAAGTTTAGTTTGATATAATTGATGTGTTAACTACTTTTAATTCAGTGCTTTATGGAAGTTCTCGCTGATATGGAGTTCGAAGATGCTCGCCTAGCTCTTCTCCTCCAGCCGTGTGGCCCACGCCTACTCCACTGGGTTCAAGGTGCTCCTCGTAGGACTCTTCTTCTCCACCCAACTCCTGACCATCGTGTCCGTGAGCCGAGGGATTGGTACTCTCGTGTAATCCAATCGTGGCATGTTGGGCCGCCTTGGAAGCGTTTACCTGGGCTGCAGCTGCTGAATTGGCCGCCTTCAACGCGGATTCCTTGGTGGCCGCATAGTCTACTCGCGCCTGGTGCAACTGCTCTTCCACTTGTTCCAATCGATTCTTGGACTGACCCACCATCTGGGATTGAGAGGCCAGTTGATTACTTACCTCCGTGGAGGTCTGTTCCGCCTGCTCGGCTACGGATTTGGCATTATTTACTGCTGCTGTGAGCACAGAGATATGATGATGAGCAGCTTGAGCCGTTTGCTGGGCCAATCTGGAGGAGATTTTGGCCGCTTTTAGCTGCTCTAGTTCCCGGGAGAGGGATCTCTGGGCCTCGGCTGCCTGCTGCTCCAGCTCCTGGAGAACCACTTGTTTTCCCACCAGAGCCGCTTGCGCTGTGGCTGCTGCTTGGGATGCGGCTTGAGCCAGGGTGTTCTGTGCTATGTAAGCCGCCTGTTTGGCAGCCGCATGTTGGTTGGTCACCGCACTATGAGCTTGATCTGCTGATCCCTGGGCAATAGAACGTAGACCACTGCCGATACTATAGCCGCCAGAACCCTTACTCGAAGCTGACGATCCCCCACTTCCTCCCGACGGACCGTAGTAGCTTTTGGGGCTGTGTTGTGGCTTCTCTGGTTCTGGAGGATCCACTGCTGGGAGATGGGGCTCAAAATAGCCACCTTGGTGGATTGGTGGCGGCTGCTGAGGCCTGTAGTGATAGCCATTCCTTTTGTGAAGGCGTCCCATTACATGGGACAAGAGGATCACTATAAGGATTTGAATTATTTTTAGTTATGAGCATTTCTAAATGTGTGAAATATAGATGTCATGTAATTTACAAGTTTAAGCTGAGAAAACTATTCCTTTTTCTTTTATAGATATTATATTTACATTTTTAAAATATAATATGTGGAAATTTATGATTTAACACACAGCTATATAATGCACTTATTAAATATTTTAAAACATCCGTATGTTTCATTTTTTATATTGCTTATTGAATCTTTGGTTTGTTATTACTTTTAAATAAAGTTTTTATTTATAAAAATGTCCTTTTTGATCACTTTGCACTCTTGTAAAAGGGGTATCGCGGCTTACCCATAATAAGTTGTGCGAGAAGAAACCGTAATCCTTTGCCGTACATCTCGTTAACGCTGCTAAAACTGCATTGAACTTCAAATTGAATGGAAGTGTCCAATTTATAAGTCTCTCAGAGACGCCAGCCGAGCATAAAGTTTTTCAAGTTGCGGAAAGTCGGATGCGGTTTTTAAATTTAACTGATCACGGGCATGTTATGATTTTCATACTCCAGAGCTATTTGAATGGCTCTGCCCACTACATGGAGTTAGGGGTCCACACACATTGCACCTTTACACCCATTTTTACCGCCATTGAGGAAGCCCGGCGACCGCCTTTGGGCCCAAGATTCGTCGGCGTCTTTTAATGCTTCGCTAGCACGCTTGTTTTGACCAAACGGACAGTGTAAAGTGGTCGGTCTTCTCCGTTTGTTAATGTCTTAAATTTAATTTGCATTTTATGTGCTGCACTACTTTGTAATTGAACTTTAAGTGGCGCTTTTGCCGGGCAACTCGGCGGTGCAACGATGCAGGGAAAGTGATTTCGAGGGATTACGCTTTCAGGGAGATTAACTAGCTAGCGAAATTTCACCATTAACGGACATGGGAAGTCTGGGTAGAGTTTTCCAATCAAAATTTAAATATAATTTTAATTGGAAAATTATATAATAGAAGTATTTATTATAAAATATACTGTGGGAGTAACTCTCATTATATAGGTTTAAAAGCCGTTGAATAATAATTAGGTATATAAGTGCCGCCATGTAAATCTCTTTACCGAAAAGTATTTGTAAATCAACATTTCTAGAGATTTCTAGATACAACTTTCGGTCATGTTTGATAATACAATCTAGTTTTAAAATCTCTGTAAGTTAACCACTTCCAAAAATGTATATCAATACTTTATAATTTTTTAAGGCGATTCCAAAACTGGAGATCTAAAGATTTTAGAAAATCTGCCTATGTATTTCCTTTAAAGTAAATATTATTTTTATTATTTCGCTTTTTATCCAAAAATATAATAAACTCTCAAATTTTTTATATAAATTATTTTTTATTTAAATACATAATTATAAATTTATTACAAATATATAAATAAATTAATTATGACAAACACTATTTTACAAGACAAAATCGGAACTCAGATGTACAAGTTATAAGTTACAATTAATATCAACAAGTGGTGACGCGTCGGTTGTGCGTCTTCAATTAAGTAACATTTGTGGGCCGCTAATGAGTGGATCAACAGGTGAACTGAAGTGAAGTGAAGGGGCGCACTGTGGGCGCATAATATACAAATATAACAAAATATAACAGGTAATCAAAGAGACATTCGTAATAAATAAGAGTGATAAATACGATGACGAATGCCACAATCGAAACTATTCGTAATCGAGAGTGGCAAAAGTTTTGAGAGATGGCTTCGGTCAGAAGTGGAAAACGAACTCGTCGGAGGAGGATGTGTCATCTGGAATGGATCCATGATAGGCAGTAACCTCCTCCTTTTCATCCTGCTGCTCCGTTAATCATTGGTAGCTCTGGGTGATCTGTTGGATCCAGGGCAAGTAAGCGGACACCTTCACGTAGACTCCAGGAACATTAACCTGACCGCATCCGATACCCCAAGACACCACTCCGACCACGTGCATAGCTCCATTCCTGTCGCACACCAATGGACCGCCGCCATCACCCTTGCAGGCATCCTTTCCCTCTTCTCCGCCAGCGCACACAAATCCGGGATTCAGTTTGTAATTATAGCCCAGTCGGGTGTTCCTCAGCTGAGACTCGCACTGCTGGTGCGACAGGATTGGCACATCCACTTCCTTCAAGATGTTCTGGTACTTTCCGTGTTCGCCAAAGGCATCCTTGCCCCATCCAGTAGTCCAGCAACGAGCTCCAGTGAAATCAGAATATTTGTCGGGCAGACAGGCGGGACTGATGTGGGGGTTCTTCGTGAAGTCCACGGGCTGATCTAGTTTCAGGACGGCCAAATCGTTGTCCAAGGTGCCAGCATAGTACTCGGGATGGATGTGCACAGAAACCACATCGCGTTCGATGTAGGGGAAGAACTCCACATCATGGTTGACATCCCATTCACCCAGACGCACACGAAGATCAAAACCATTTTGACTGGAAAAGAAGAAATATCAAGTTAATCCACTGAAAGAAGATATTTCTAGAAGGGCAAAAACTTACGATTTAATGCAATGGGCTGCTGAGATGATGTGCTGGGCATCGATGAGGGTACCACCGCAGGCGTAGATCGACTCCTTGGGGTCCTTCTTCAAAATGGCCACATGCCATGGGTACTCGCCGAACTCACTGTCGCCGTCGACGTAAACGGGATTCTTGATACGACCGGTGATTCCAGCAGCGTTCCTCACACCACAACGACCAAATTGCTGAGGAGGAGCTTGTGGACGCAGGGGACGACGGCAGCAGACTTCGTTGATGCGGCAGGTCTTCTCCACGGGTCGGTTGCCATAATAAGCACGCTAAAAGATATTAAGAAAGGATGGAAAAGTTAGTTAAAGTTAAAAGGATGAGAAACTTGAAATCCAATCAGAAGGGCCAAGCTTCTGGGGAGTTGAGGAACTAAAATGCTTTATCAACACATGGTTACCTGCTCCTCAGGAGCTGCTCCCGCCCACACACTATCCTCAACGCTCCGGCGTCTGCGATCATTGGGGAAAGTGATTCGATCACTGCCAGCTGCCGCACCAGGTGCTGGAGTGGGAATGTTGTGAAGAGGTCCCAGGGCTAACTGCTTGCCACGACGTCCAGAATTTGATGGCCAAGAGGGTTCACCGCTGCTCACATTGGCACTTCGTTCCACATGCTGCGAGTACTCGCCAAAGCCCCCGAAATCAGGACTAGAGCCCGGATATATCGAGTTAAAGGAGTTGTCATAGGGAGACGACTCGTGGTGATGATGATACTGAGCAGGTGCCGATGGACCACTGTGGTACTCAAAGATCGGAGTACTTGGAACCATTTCCACGCTGAAATGGGGACCAGGACCAGATCCTCCATAGTAATGGGGATACGAGTGATGGTCATGATGATCGTGGTGTCCATGGTGATCGTAATCGTGATGCTCATAACCACTATAGTGATCGTGGTGGTGGTAGTGATGGCTATACGTTTCTGTGGGTTTCCGTTTAAAGAAATCTCCCACTTTCTGGATCAGATTTGCATTCGGTGTTACATGGAGATTGACCAGCGGCTTCACCACCTTCTCACCATAATCTGTTTTGGCAACCTGCACTGAAACCAGAGGATTCACATTCACCAGACCGAGATTAAGGCCATTCGGACCAACTGAACCAAAGTAAGGGTTCTGAGCGGGTACATGATCACCCAAGACATTCGAGGGATAACCTCCGTATGCGCCAGCAGGATAGGGTAGACCAAAGCTCACACCATAGGTGGGCAGCACTTTTCGTTGGATCAGCTCGATAGCCTGGAGAGCGGGCAATGCCAATGGAGATCCTGCGAGCGGCAACTGTCTCTATTTTTTGAATGGGAAAACATAAGAACGCTAGAGGTGGAGTTCCATTTCCGTTTGCCGGATGCAGGTTGCAGGTTGCAGGCGTGCGATCACAAAGGTCGTGCTTGGTTAGCTTTAGTTTAGTTCTGGGATTAGTGACTGGTCTAATCGGAACCGATATGCACTCTGGTAGTTTAGTTGAGCTTGGAGCGTTGAACGATGGGTGCAGTTGTCAGATTGGTTTGTTTGGTTGATTGATTGATTTATTGGTTGATTGGATGTGTGTGTGTGGGGGCGGAGGAGCTCTACTAGAACTCGATTAGTGGTCCATGTGAACCATGTGTGATTTGGCATTAGTCGGGCACTACCTAAACTAGGACTAGGGTCTTCTTTAGAGACTTCAATGAACTTACCCCTTGAGCATCGAGCGAGAGATCACTGGCTTCCTCATCCTTCTGGTCAGCATCAGCCTGGCGACGAGTACGCTTCTTGTCATCCTTGTCGGACTTCTCCTCAGCCTTCTTTCCCTCTACCGGGGTGGTAGCATTGGCGGACAGAGCATCGTCACTCAGAGCTTCAATATCCTTGCCCAGGTTACGGGGATCGATAGGCAGAATGAGGTCCTCCTTGCGTCCAATACGATCGGCTGCTGGGCACTGGGAAATGGGAACGCACTGGCAGTCCACGATCTGTTGACGAGAGGTGTCATAGCCACTCTGGTACTGTCCTTGTGCGCCAGAGTAACCACCGGAAATGCCATTGTACTGGTTGGAGGCTCCACCCTGCAGTTCCTTCTTGTAGTAGTCGGGGTTCTGGCTGTGATAACTAGAGCTGGGTGATCCACTGAATCCGCCAGAGGCACTATTGCCAAAGCTGCCAAGTCCAGAGTTAGGTTTGTACAGATCACCAGAGTTTGGTTTGTACAGATCTCCGGTGGGCTTCTGGGAAATTCCAAAGCCGTTTTGGGAAAGGAGTCCACCCTGAGAGGCGCCATTGAAGCCAGCATTGAAGGCATTCGACTGAGAGTAGCTGGATCCGGAAGTGGTCTGAATCGATGGTGTGTAGGTGGCAGAGGATTGGGCCAAGGCACTGAAGTCCGTGTTGATGGTCTGGCCAGCTCCAATGGGAATAGGCACACTGGGAACCTTGGCACCCTCGGCGCCCTCAACATGGTGATAATGATGGTGCACATGCTGCTGGAGAGCATCAACGGGAGCTCCAACCACCACTTTCGTGCTGGAAGAGGTGGCCGAGGAGGAGGAAGCTGACGATTGCTGCGAGTAGAAACCATTGGGAGCAGAGTTGGCACCCTGGATGCCACCTTCGGGGTTCTCAAAGTTATAAGGAGGGATTCCGTTTGAAGCACCAGTAAAAACGGGTCCGGCACCCAGGGAAGGTCCACCGGTGTAGATGGGGCCTGGTGGCTTGCTGTCGTAAATCAGAGCTCCGGGAGGTGGTTTCGTGTAGGTGATGCCATCGGATGAGCCATCAATGGCGGATGGTGGAGGATGCTCCAGGTAACCACCGGGTCCAGTTGGCCTGTAAGGTCCAGACATTGGCTTGTAGGGTCCCTCGTATCCCACCTTCCTGGGAGGTCCAAAGGAGTTCACGGAGCTGGGTGGAGGTCCGAAGGAGCCTGATGGTGGTCCGTAAGATCCGGGAGGTCCACCCATTGGTGGACGACCACTGAAGTAACTTGGTGGAGGCATGGGCTTAGCTGGACCGTAGGGACCACCACTGAATCCGGATGGTGGAGGAGGGCCCTGGGCGTAGATCGTCGAGTAAAATGGTCGCTTTTCTTCCACATCGCAGCTCATGAGTCCCAAGCCACACAGTTTATCCCGGATAAGATTACGGGCTTGCAGATCATTTCCCTGTTGTAGAGCCTGATCGATATTTCCATCAGCATAGACGGCATCGTACTCCCCGAGATTGCGACCCTCCCGGCGAGAGTTAATCAGCTGTTCAATGACCTCATCAATCTGGGTGGTGCTGTTGCTTTGAATGGCTTCGTGGACCAGGTATCGCCCCTGGATGTCGGCTTGTTCGGCGGGCTTTGTGTCTACAGATCGGCGGCTGGGCATGGCACTCTCCATGGGTGCCCACTCATTGCCCCAGCTGGATTCTTCGGCCAAGGAGGCGGTGGCCAGCAGTACAACTGCCAACAGGCTAGCTCTTATTCTCATTGTAAAGATCTGAAAGGATTAGATTGATATATAGACTTTAAGTAAAGATTTTTAAAAGAGTTAGTGGAATATAAAAATAATAGCAAAACTATTACAAATTATTAAGATCATGAACCTAACTCAAACTTTGCAGTTTATGAACTTTATTTAAATGTTTAACAATCATAAAAGATTGGTTTAAATCTGTTGACAAATCATAAAGTTAATGGTTTCCTTGCCTTTTATTTTTGAGTGGAAAATAAATGAAGAGGTTCAGTCATGATTGGTTATGACATAACTGGCAAGCTTGACACCATTACCCCAAGTCATTGTGCCAGTTTACATTTCTCCAACCATCTTTGGCTTAACCAATCCGTAACGAAACCGACTCCGAAGTCGAAACCGGTTAACATCACGAAATCTTCACCGTGACTCAGACTCTCGTATAAGACTTTTACTTTCGTTGGAGGTCGCAGACCGTCGCACTTAATTGCTTGATTTTGTACGTTACTTTTGCTCGAAATGCGAGACAGAGAGGCGGGATGACTTCAGGTCCCTGTGTAGTAATTTATGAGGTAATTTTCCTCCAGTTTTAGCAAGCCTACGAATGCAATCCCACTGGCGACCATCGCTCAAGTTGATCTCCCGCCCTGACAGCCACTTTCCGCTTCGTGTATCTTTTATTTTGTAAAATTCACTTTTCTTTTCAGCCTTTTTTTTATGGCCGTTTGCATTGCAGTTATGTCACCGGCTCACAGCGAGGGCGGATTTGTAAAAGATCGACTACACTTTGAGAAAATATAAGTCATAAAATTTTCTAAACTGGGTTGAACTGATTTTTAATGAGTCGATTTCATAATTGATTTTCCAAACCTTTCTTAAAACTTGCTAATTGCTAATAACAAGAGCACACTTTTAATTTTTAATAATTTCAGGAACTACGTCAATAATGGGTTAAAAAACGTCAAGATTCTTGTGAATAATTAATGTAGCGATTTTCATAAAGCAAATAATTTTCAAAGGAACTATATTTATGAATTTATCAAAATATATAATATAATTTAGACCAAAGATTTTCTAATTATAACCTTTCTCCATAAAATCTTCACCATTCATATATAATATAGCATTATTTTTAATTTTTTCAAGTGCTTTAAAAATACATTTTCAAGTTATGTAAATGTATCCCATGGATAGCTATCTTTAGGATTTCTCAAAGCTCTGCTCTTTTAACGGAAGTTGTGTTCAGCGTTGCATTGCAAATTACCGGCTCTTTTTCTTGGGTTTTCTTTGGCGAGAAATGCTCGTAAGCGACGCTAAATGCCGATTGGCGGAGTTTGGAAAATTTTTTTTTAGGTTTTTCCTTTGTATTCGCAGTGAAAGTTTTGCTTTTTGATTGGCTTAATGATGCAAAGTCTATTGGCCAAGAGATTTTATATTATATGTATATATGTGTGAAGTTATATTTTACATCCATAATTTTAACTGCTGGAGACTCACTAACTAGTTTGCTTTCGGTTCACTGGAGTTCACTGTGGTAAATTCGATCACTTCACTCACCTTTTTTTTGTCAAGTTTAATAATCCAGTTGGGTAATTATCACTGTTGTTTTGATAATCCTTATGCAATTTGTAATGTCTGTTATCCTTTCACTTCACTCACTTTCTGCACCGATTGTGCTTTTCGTTGGTCTGCAGATCGTTCACTGATTTCGCTTTCGTTGGCCGCGCACATTTTATACAAAAGCTGCGCATGCCCAGCGTCGACTTCAAGCTCCAACGTTTCTCTGTCTCTTTCTGGAGATATACATCTCTTTTCCACTTTCTGGCCGCTTAAGTTTTGCGAATCGGTAGCCCAAAACAAAAGATACAAAAGCGGCAGCAGCGACAATGTTTGGCAACCGCTCTTTCTCACTCTTGATGTTGATTTTGGTGGGCAATCATTTTTCGTCTGGGTTTTTTCTCAAATCCCCAATTCTGCTAAACTACTGGAGGTCACTAAACGAGGGTCTAGGCGGAAATATCACTTGGGTAGCATCATTATCAGTAAGAAAACTCAAAAACTCCAAAATAAAACTATCACTCACTAGTGCCTGTGTTAAAATATCCAAATTGGTCTTTGTTTTTTAACGATTTTAACCAAAATTTGTATAAACAAATTTAGTTTCCCGGAAAGGCGTTGCTTGAGAAACCGGGATTATGCAATTCTGCAATTATGAATTGGGTCAGAGAGGAGCAACAGCCGAATAATAAAAACATCATGAAAAGGGGCAAAATTGGGCATTGCCTCAAACCGGATCTTTTGGCATACATTCATCTTTCCCCGTCTCTTTTCTCCGTATATATCTGCCTCACTTTTCGGGTGCAGTTCAGTTAATACCGTCTGGTTTTTAACCCATGGTCAATGCAAACGTCATCAGTCGGTCATTCGTTTCGTTTTCGTTTTGCTTAAGTTTTTTTTTTCAAAACCCTAGCCCATAGTGATTCAAAAGTGCTTTGCGGAATTACCCGAAGTTCATAAAAATTAGAGACATTCCCCCCTAAACTTATTCACGATGATCACGTTCGCGTGCCACTACCTCAAATCCCAAATCCCGAACATTATCATGTCGTTGTGTTGTGTGTGGTCAGTGCTGTTCGAAGTGACTCTCATTGTGATTCAGTGGACCCAGTGGCTTCGTCTTGTGTTACTGACCTTGGTTCGATGAGCTAGGAGTCGTTTATCTAGCCCCCCCTCTACTTAAGTGGCGTTTTATGTTAAACATTCCAAGAAAGTTGATAATGAGCAGATCTTCGAAAATTATGCTAATCACTTCGATTTGCCGGAGTTGTTAGTGTCGCCACTCTCTGGGTTGTTTGGCAAACACCTCTCGCGGCTATTTGTTCGTGATTAATTCGTGGAGTTTTTATCAATCAGCGTAGCGTGTGGCGTAGTTTTTGACCATCGGGTTTTTTGTGACTCATCCGTTGAGCACTTTGGGCTTTTCGAGCATTGTTTGAAGGAGGTGCGTCGAACCTGAATGGCATAGATTTTTAATTCCGTTAATGATAGTTTGGTTTACTCTTTATAATGGGTATGTGGGTATTATAGAGTGTGTTAATATATTATATAGTGATAGATTTTTGAAGTAGTATTAGTTCTTAAGCTTCAGACTATGCTCAAGATAGAAAAATTTCTACTTAAAATAATACTTTAATAGAAACGCAGGAAAATAATTTGTAAGGCCTTTTACTGACATATACAAGAGTGGAAATTTATAAAAATATTTAAAAAATCTTAATATTTTATATGTGGTTCTATGACCTGTTAATCTATTATGATTTATTTTAAGTGAAGGAATATATCAATGTAAGGTATAAAACAATAAATCTATTAATAAATATATTTAAGATTGGTTTTATAATCTATATATTAATCGTATTAATCCAATGGCTTAATAGTAATTAAAAGTAATAAAGGGTATCTAATACTTCGGCTTGCTGTAATTTTAAATGATTTTCCTGATAAAACAATTTTTGGTAGTGAGCTCAAACTTAGCTATTGGTAAATCCCAGTAGTTGATGAACTGAACTTGAACTTGGACCTCGACGGCGACATTAAATGCCAGGTGGAGAGGTGTAATCCGATGGGGTTACAGGTTCAGGGGCTCGTTATTGGAACTTCATTCGAGATTTGGCATATATATTCATTTCTATTTAAGGAGCGCTCCAACTTTTTGCACATTTCTTGGGCCGCAGTGTTACAACATAGTTTATGTTAATTATGGCCAGCTTGTTAATTGTTTGGCCAAATGGATTTGTGTGGGAATCGTGTTTGCTCCACTTTGTTAGCTTCCTCTGGTTGAATCACTCTCTCCCTCTCTCTCTCCCTCTCTCTTGGTAAACCTTTCTGTCTTCCTTCTTCTCACACACATTGTCGCAGTTCAAGACCAAAAAAAGCAAAAACAAAAATATTGTCACTAGCTCAAGGCTGGACTGTCGACTCCCCGACTTAGATTTGTGTCAATTGCTCAACAAGTTGAGGTCTTCCACCCCACGCACAACAATTTGGCAATCTCTTTAAGCCAACCATTATTTATTGGCTTTGGATTTGCAGCTTAATTTTTGCTGAGATACAAAATCTACCCACCCATAAAGAGTACATCAATGGTTATTAACCGATTGTAATTTAATTAAATTATGTAAAGATGTTTACTGAGCTTAAACAGTATTGTTGTGTTTATTATTATTAAGTTAGTTCTACTTATATTTTATTAAAGCACATATAGGTTTGATTTTAATTTACATTTTAAATAGAAACTATTAGGGTTCTAATTAAAAATTTTTACGTCACTTTTTCCAGTAAGCATATAGGGTTTATATTAAACGGAAGACACTTTGCTGTTTTCATATTTAATATTTTTTTCACAAATTAAAATAAATTTATTCCTGTTGTGAATAAAAAACTGCTAATTGTAGAAAAATATATTCAAATTTAAAGTGTAGTTTGTTTAAAATCATTTATTTATAACTTTTATTAATTTGTATTATTTTTAGAAACTGTTTTCCAGCACCAAAGGTAATACTTTCCTTAAATTCACCATCACACCTTTTTCATACCCTCTCAAAGAGTCTCTACTTGAACAACATTCGGCCGTTCTGATTTACAAACCTGACCTATTCGATATACTTACTTACTAAATGAAATCCATTTTATCTCCAAAACATAAATTTTTCCTCAGTGCCTGCAATTGCATTAAGCCTCTTTACAACCAACTGCAATTGTGCCATGGATTTGCCCAAAAAAAAATCGCCAATGCTGGAAAAGCCCAAGAAAACGAAGTGAAGTTTTTTCGGTTTCGCATTGTTGGCCTATTCAATTCTTGATTGCTTGCCGGCTTTAAGAGCTTGTGGGCCTTGGGGAAACCCCAGTCAAGTTTGTGGCTATCACCGCTTGGCTGGATTTGCTTTGGCGGGGCTTGCATAATAATGCATTCGAGTGCGGTGCAGTGAGCCAGGCATATGATTCATATTCGGAGTCGATTTGTGGCAGCTTCGATTTGGTTTTGTTTGACTGGTTCGTGCGCCTGGCATTCGAATTAGTTTTTCGCTTTTGTTTTCATCTTCTCTTCGTGTTGTTTTTTGCGAAATGGCTTGTAATAAAATCAATGCGTATGTTAAGGTTTTTATTGTTGTATTATTGTAATCATTATAGTTGGCCAAAACCGTCAAGGTCGTTCACCCACATTGTGTGCTATGCATACGGATGGATGATAATCAGTTTTAAGGGCGGAGTGAGTCACGTCGTTAGCAGACAGCTGTTGCTCCCACTTATTCCCCCTTTTGGTTATTACATAATATCCCCAATTATTTCACCCGCATCAAAATGCTTTTGCTCTGGCGGCTGCTGCCCTTTCACTGCTCTTTTACTGCCTGGCTCATTTAACACGGCTTATTGTCTTCATCTCGGCTCAAACAAATTTACCTACGAGCTCTGAGCATTTGTAAATTAATTTGAAAACCGTTGTTTGCCACACCGTAAAGTTGGGTTTTTGTTGTTCTCCCCTCCTCCTCCTCCCAAAAAAAAAAAACAAATTTCAGCTTTAAGTGAAAGCTTTTCCAAAAGGTGGCTAAAAATTGCGCTTTAAGCTGAAACTTCTGGATTACATCAAATATTTAATATGTTTTTTGGGCCGAGTTCTGGGAAAAGTTGATTTTTGTGGCTGGCTACTTATGCTAAGTGGCTAGCCCCTTTTGATTTGAACAGACGGAATTCAATTTGCCCGCTTTTGGAATTTAAGTTATTAAATTCCCTGTAGACCCCCAGGGTGGCTGGTCCTTTTAGTGCGTTGAGTCGCCAAGATGACAGCATAACGATGCATTCAAATGGCGGTTGTGATAGACAAACAAACCGATTACACAGCAGTCGAGCACCCAAATCACCCACTGTGCCAATTGAGAGTAGCCATATAACCCCCAATCAAAGGCCCAGAGCCAGGGAGATGCAATGAACCCAGCTCGATGAGAAGGAGCACCACAGCCCCGTTGGGGGCCTTTCATTGTCCGATTTTGCGAAGCAGCCTTTTAGGAGGCCGTTCGGCTTTAAGTGGTGTGAGCTCAAAAGGCTGCTATGCCTTTGCCGGACCGGGAACCAAAACCCCTGCTTGATGACGATTGCAATGCTGATGATACGGATATATCAAAGGGGAAATGGGGCAGAGGAAACTGCTCCTCTTTGGAATTGCATCATTGGGTCGGTTAGGTTTCCTGCAAATGACAGGTATTGAGTGCACCGCAAAGACAATGCACCTGTGCATCAATCGATAAGCAAACTGTTCTGCTCATCTTGATGCTTTGACCTTAATGCAGGTAGTTATACATCCGCCGTCTTGTGTAATCCGATAAAGCCAAGCAATATACTATATAGTAAGCATATATAAGCCAGGGTATTACTTACCCCCTCTTTAAGCTTTCTGCGTCATTATGAATTGCTTGTTGCTCACACGGTTAATTGGCATCAATAAATCCTTTGGCGATTGCATAACCTGTTTTTCAGTCTCTCATCCATGAGTTAACCTTTGACCTTCTCTAGAGTTCAGGGTTTTCAATTTCATTATTTGCATTGTGTCATTTGAAACTCCATTATATCTGTCTTTAAAAGGGAATGGTAGATACATCCCAGGGCTTCCAATTGTTGCCTTTTGATCAGACACGAAGCCAGGACAATTTCACATACTGGGTGAAAGTCCTGACTCAATACATCTCCGCTCACCTCCTCTGCTGTTCAGGCAAACATAGCTAGGTTTTCGGCTACTGACCCGGGGTCATTCCTATGGAAATCGGAAAGAGAACAACGGCCTCCAAGGCTCTGGAAATAATGCCGAAACATTTGCGTACGGCACGTCAATCATCCTTGCACCAATGCACCCGAAAATAAACTGGCTTAGGTGGACGTTTGCTATGAGATACCCATGGTTATTTTGATTCTTTAACTCTGGTGAATTGTTTAATTTAGAAAGTGAAGTAATATTGTAATATTTATTAACTATGATTTAATATGGCTAGAAACTAATTTTCAATAAAGAATTAGTCCTTGTGATGCATATTTTCCTTTTGATCTAAAGTGTCTGTTAACGTTTTTAATCAAAATTTAATGAAATATTCAAAAACATATTCAACGTTTAAAATTCAACAGAAATATGTTAAACTACATACCAATATAATATAATATATAAAATATTTAAAAAATATTAATAAAGAAATCAAACATTCCCATTTAAATATAAACCATCGCAGCCAGCTTCCTATGATTCAATAACCCCCTAAAACATCCTTGAGAACAGGATACCAAAGCAATGCTTATTCTGTGCGTTTGTTTGCTCATCTGGTGACGTCAGTTGAGTCATATTCTGCCACCCAACACTCAATCAGAAGTGCAGCGTAGCGCAAAATTTAATTGGCAGCCGTCTCCCCTCAATCCAGTTGGGATTAGCCTACACAGCATTCCCTAATCCAATACGAAACAAAGTTCTTTTAGGGGTTTTTGAATTTGTTTTTTTTTTTTATTGTTTAAGCCAAAAGTTTGATAGTCCAATTATTTGAATTGAATCCACTTTAAGGATGCTTGCGCAGAGCAGAAGTCTACTTTCTGTACAGGGTGTTGGCTCCATCGAAGAGGGGATAACTCCAGGTGGGATAGTGCAGATAGGTGGTCCTCAATGCAGGGGTCAGCAGTGGTGTAATCCTTGGGACACTACGATGCACGATGGTGGAGCTCTGGTGGGATACGGCTGTTGGTACATGATCCACCAGATGACCCACCTTGGCCAATGTTGGTTGGTGGTGCAGGGTCATCAAAGGATGGTATATTTGCAGATCAGCTTGTCCAAGTGCCAAGAGGCAAAGGATAAGAGCAAAAGATACATTCTAAAAGTACAAATAAAATATTATAGTTAGTAGTTGTTGAGATATGAGTAAATATTCTTTTACACTTACCAATCTCTGTGACATCTTCTTGGTTCAGTTCACTTCACTTGACTGTTGTTCGTTGGCCAGCCAATCCTCCGCTTTTATAGTCCAGCTAAGAACGCAAGATTGGAGAATGGACTAACCATTCTAAATGAGTGGTCCCCAGCCCTTGAACATGAGAAGAGCTTGGGCGTTAACCCAGACCCTGTGTCTGCCTAATCCTCCAGAGATCTTGATTGCACACAATCGGAGAGTTATTCCCTGGGCATAAGGGGGCGGATGTGGCATATTTATTGTGGTCGTGGGCCGGTCTCTGTGTTAACTTTATTGATTTCCTGTCACACCAACAACGCCCAGAGAAGCGAAAATGCATTGCGTTTTCATAATACGCAAAATGCAGGACAATAATTTTACATAAGATGGGCTAAGATATGGATTTGTATGGGCTGTGCAGTAAAGAGATTAAGAGTAGAGGATGTCCTTAAGGGGAAGTCTTAAAATTACTGCACTTTTTCTTTTGTCTTTTAGGGACTTCTTTAAAACATTTATTGACCCCAAAAAAAATAGATAGTTAAATGCAATTGCGAAATCTTTATTAAAAGCATACTACAGAAGAATTCTACAGAAAATGGCAGAAGAAAGAAGACAGAGAAGAGACAGAGTTTTTTGGGTTATTAAGTCCAGAAAGGGAATTAAGAGTAGAAGTATCATAGATTTGGCGAGTTCATCTTGTTGATCTTTGGCAGGTAAACTTAGTTACGGATCAGGACCACGCGAGGATCGGAGGCGACGGTCCACAAGAGTGGTGGCTGCTGGCGCACCACTTGGGTAGTGCGTACAGCAGGAGCCACAATGGGAGTGACCAATCGACGGTGGTCGTGCACCACCGTTTGGCTCTGATGTGAAATGGCAGTGGGCACATGCTGCACCACTTCACCAACCTTGGCCACAGCAGGCTCCTGGATAGTCAATACGGTTCGCAGTCCATTACGGGCAGCCAGAATAAGAGGAAGTGGGACGGAGACGGGAATTCCGGAAGAAACGAGACGGGCATCGATGGGATCTGAACTGCCACTGGATGACTGGGACAGCTGTTCCTCCTCCTCTTCGGATTGCTCCTCCGGTTGAGCTCCGGATGAGATAACCGAACCCGAATTAGTCTCAGCCAACTCGACGGAATCCTCGCTGGCGATGGGCAGCAGTTGCGAGGACTTGGCCGAGCTGAGAGCCACCAAATTCGAGGGCCATTCCAGGCTGGCTGCCTGCGAAGCTCCAGCAAAGACGAGCACAATGGCCACGACGGTCAGGAACTGAAAAATACAGGTTGGTAAAAGATCCAACTTTTGGGATTGTATTCTGTTTTCTAAGAACAGATAATAGTTCTCACCAATCTAGACATGATTATAGAAGTCTCCTTCAGATCCGTAAGCTAACGAATGAATGATGCAGTTTAAGATTAGAACATCTGCTTTTATAGCCCTAGAATCTAGACTCAATCTCCTCGGCTCACTGCCCACAGAAATGCATCGTTGACTAGCTAAACGCCAAACCAGAAACATTTAATCAGCTGATAATTTAAAATTTTATTGGGTTGCACTGATAATAATAAATCAAAGCAAATTCTGCGGCAATTCGATGTCGCACTTGTGCTTGTCCTGAAGCCAGAACTTCTCCAAGTAACCAAGGGGATCGCGGGGCATTTCGCGAGCTAATCCCAGCATACCTTCCATCAGAATGGGCACCACTGCTTGTTCTAGGTACGTCCGCTTATCGGCCGGGGGCTTATAACCTTGAGTTCGGGGACATTCCTTGGCCTCTCCTGTCGTGGGCTTGGTTTCTTTCTTCGCTTTCTCGATATCAGGGCAGAGGACGGAAATTATGGCGGAAGGATTTTTCTTGGCCTTAACCACGTTTGGCATTTTCTTCTCGTGGCGAGATACTTTCTGCTTGCTCGCCATTTTTAAAAGTCACTAGGTCAGGAAATGAGAATAATATCTATGAACTTTGGAAGGATTAAGCAAAGGTACATTTGAAAAGGCAAATGTATCTATATCTTTCCATTGATAAAATTGGCATCTTTAGAGTTCAACTTAGAAAAGCTTCTTCTCAGGGAAATATACAAATAAATGCCACGATTTTTTTAATGTTCTTAATTTTCGTTTAATTATATGAATTTATTCTCAAACAGAAATTTCACGGTACAGCTTGACGAGCACTCTTGAGCATCTGCTAACCCGTGGCCGTAACCCAGCACCTCCTCCCTGGCTGCTCCATTGCTCCATGTCCACTCGCGGGTGCTTCTAAGCTGATTAGCATACGTAACCCGATCAAGCGAGACATCTGCTGCAGTTCTTCAATCGCTTGGCTGGACGGGCGGTAACTTAAGCCGCTTAAACCGCCCGCACCCCATACTCGCCCTCTCAATCAGGAGGGAAAGTGAGAGGGGGCGTACGATTGCGCAATCCACACGAGAGCTTCAATCGAATTCTGAAAACGCCCACGCTCGCCGCAATTTAGGCTCCTGCTGGCGTTGGAAGAACTCGTTTAAGTCCCTCGAGAGGCCACCAAAAAAGGTGTATCGTATCTGATGCTCGAAATTCCAAATAAAATGGTCCGTTCGATAGGTTAGCGATAGGAACTTAAAGGCAGTGGTCATTACCAGCATGTAGACTAGAAGTTGATGATGGGTCAAACCCACAATGAGGGGACTTTCGTAGATTTCGAGCATGAAGATGACGGAAAGGAATAGAGCCAGTTTCGAGTTGCTATAGGAAAGAGAGGTATTTCATTTCTATTTAATATTTATTTAACTTTTCTCACTTGCTTAGCTTGAGGTATGCCATCTGATTGCGTTGACATCTGTTTATTAAAAGACTCGCCACCGGCTTAAGTACCTCTGCTCCACTGCCCATAACAGTACCAACGATCAGCATCGGAACTGGAGCATTTCCGTAGACCTGTCCTGCCAAATGAACTCCTCGATCTATAAGCTGAACCTGACTGATTGTCGACATGGCGGTGGCTAGGATGCGGAAGGCCATTGTGTCGGCCACGGCGTGCCCCAAGTCAAAGGGGCAGTAAAATATGCAGTACCTACTTGAGTAAAAATGCTTCTTTATTTAAAATTATTACAAATTATTAATAACCTTACCAGATTAATGAACTTAGAAAGATATCTGCAGTATTGCAGAGAGGTTCCAGTGGGAGACTACCCAATAGCATATTTCCCAGGATATCACCGGAATAATTCAGTAAAAGGTTGGCCAGCCACAGGACGAAGGGCTGCCACTCCAAGGCTTTGTTTTCGGACCTTTTTAACCTTGAGGATCCTGCAGAGACTCCTAGTTCGTCCCGTAGTTGCTGGGAGATCAGGGAATAGTGCAGGATGCGAAAGATCAAATGGTTCGGAAGCTGCCTTAGGATCAGCCGGGCATTCATCCCTCGTACAACTTTGCTTTTTGGGATACCTCAGGTTGACTCTGAATTTTGGCTTCAGGAATCAATTTTATTATTTTCAATAAAAACCACTTTCACTTAAAAAAGTAATAATTGTGAAGAGAATTTGCTTAAACGAAAATATTGACAAGCGAATCTCAGGTGTCTACATTTGTGTGGGTGTGTAGAATGCAAATAATTTTTAATGATCTAGTTGGCAAAAACCAATGGCTAATAAAAAGTTAAAGTTATCTATTAACATACTTGAAGGCCAAACTGAAAAGTTTGAAATGTGTACTAGTTTATCTCAAACGTGAGTCGAGTTTGACTTCTAAATGATCTAGAAATTCGTTAAATTCGAATTTAGTGCTTATTAACTGGTGAGAATGTCTTACTTTCTCATTATTGGCCGTATAATACTGAACAAATCGATATTTTTGATGATTTAACAAAGTTTATGGATGTTATGTTATTAAATTCGAAATGACTTAGGTTAAATTCCTCAATTCGGCACTCTAAACGGGTGACAAGTTGCGCTGGGCATTGCTGGATAGGCTACGAGGTCCTGGGACCAGAGAGGCAAAGCTAATGTTCCGCACGGGCTTAATCCTTGGCAGCATTTGGTGCACCACCGGATGGGCGGCGTAAGTAAGGTGGGCTGGTGTCTGACTAGAGATGGGATTCAAAATCGCCTCTTCCTCCTCCTTCGCCTGGAAAAACCTTTGGACCTGCTGCTCCCTGGCATTGTGATGGCTGACAATCCTTGCTGATGGGACGGCCAACTGATGAGAGTGCTTTGGGGACTGGAGGATTAGTGGCTCCGCTGAGGACAATCTGGTGAAGCTCTGATGGGAAACGGCACTGGCCACCTGTCCGTTGCCATGCAGGATTGTTGTGGCTGCGTGACTGTAGCTTAGACCCCAAATGAATACGAGACAAACAACCTGTTGGGATTCGAAATAGAGGAGGAACTTGGACCAAACTTTGAAGATTACTTACGGTGATGTGCATGATGGTCACTTGAGTGGGCAACTAATTACCGTTAGACATGTGCCTCTGCCATTTATAGCTGGACTTGGCCAAGAGGACTCCTTGACCAAGAGGTCGCCCTGTCTTGTCGCTGAAAAGATTTATGGGCCATTTGTTGTATGCACCTAATTAATTAATCAAAAACTACTTCAATCCGACAGCCTCTCATGAGCTGCGTGCACTTAGAGCTTCCATTACGCGCCTCCGGCTAATCGCCAAATCATATGGCCGGCTAAACTGACTGACTCAACATTGCCGTATTGCCGGAGACGGCGGCGGCGACTGTGCGAAGCCACGACGGCAACTTTAACTATTGAAATCTCTCAAATGGTAAATTAATTATTTCTGAATCGCAACTTTAAATACTCTATTTATTCAGTAGTTTAAAATATGTATATAGGCGTCTCTTCCGTGGTGTTCTTTACTCCTTTATATTATTCTATCTTATCCTAATTTGTGGATGTATTGGTAACATTTGCTGATCGTGCGAACAGGACATACATAGTGCTCGTTAGCATGGTCTTTAAGCAAAAGTAAGAGAGAGGAATACATTGTGCTTACAACTGTAGATAAGTTAGTGTGACTGTTTGTTACACATATTAATGTTACCGATTGCTACAAATATATTTAGAAATAACAGTTTTTGAAAAAGGTAAATGTCTGACATAAGTTTTAGCTCCTTATATACATAGGTTATATGAATCCGAGTGAAAATGAATCTTATAAAAGATAACACCTGATCCACACAGTATAAGGAATTATATTTACGTTTTCTAGTAATCTAAGCATATATATTTTAGTCCAAAAACATCTAATTAAAAGTAAATACCCTCCATAGGGTATTATAGCAGTCACAGCAAACAAGCTTAGTAACCACCAAAGTTGGTGGTGCGGTGGGTGAGTGGCGGAGGTGCGAAGTGGAGTGGATCAACCTTCAGCGAGTTGCGCAGACGCCGTCGCATGTTGTAGGCTTTTGTTGTTGCGTTCGCTATTACTACAATATTTGCGGCGTTCGGTATTTATTTATTTATATTTGATTTTTTTTTCGGTTTATTTCTTTACGTAAAGCTGCGTCCAAGTTGAGACACTCCCACAATTGCAAGATAACCGCGACTGCGCGCGTGTTTCCAACGCTTCGATCGCAGATCGAGCACTTTTCCAGGGGCTGTGTGAGTGAGGGTATATCGTTGTTGCCACCCCCTTGGCATGCTCCACGGACGCCACTGTTCGGGACAGCAACTGCTCCACCGTGATTTCATGGCACAGCAATTCACACAGCACTTCAGTTTGACTTTGCCACTCGCTCCGCTTTGTGTTTGTTTCTTGAAAGGGGAACCTCCAGTGTTCGATTCGATCCGCCCACCTCTCAATTCGACGGCGGAGTTCTCAGTGGTCTCAGTGTCTTCATAATCGCCCCATTAGACTTGGATCGTTACCATGCGGCATCTGGTGAGTGGGATGATCGTACTTTATTAGGGTGGGTCGATTTGAGGGGGTACAAAAGAGCATATGTACGGCGGGTAATACAAATCAGCTTGAAGTTTTTACATAACCAATTCACAAGCCAAATAATTTATGTAAGAATAGTAAGAAATTTAAAATATATTTTAAGCAAACAATCAAATCGACCTACCCAATTCATTATTTAATCTTTGCTAAACTCTACTTGCCTTTTACCACCCAAATGTCAGTCTGCCCGAACGTATGAATGCTGAGATGTCGGAAACTTTAAGATATGGAATCTAGAATGTTTGTATTAACCATACAGTTTCTTATATACATAGCTTTTTCCTCAAAAAGGTATATCGTACAAAAATAGCAAAGTTCTCTAGTTCTCAGCTTTAAGGAAGGGGTTGGTTTTAGAAAAAGCAGATAGTTTTTAGTAATTTTTCAGTAAAATTGATCTAGAATAGCCTTTAACTTAGGCTCTAGCTTTCTTTCAAGCTAACAAATTCAGATTTTGTTTAAACAATTTAAGTGAGCGAAATATAAAATAATATTTTTATTCACCCAGTTGGCAGCGATTTAGCCGATAAAAACTAAGTCTGTTTATAAAACAAAGTTACTCTATAGAAACCATAACCATGTCAAACAGCAGTCGTCACGACATTTGGGTGCCCAGTCCGGCAATGATGCTACACCAGTTGCAATCCTTGGAGGAGGATATTGATGAGTCCGTAATGGATTTCCATGAGAGCTGCAACCGTGCATGGCGCTCTCAGTTCAGTCACCCAGCGATGGCTAGATTGGGAGTCGGGTTTGAGTTCGTCACAATTCCCAGTCGCTACATAAGCTCCTCGATGAGCACCCAGGAAGACGATACGGAGAACCGATTCATGGGTAATTCTTCTTCCAGGACCAGTCGACTGTGGTCCACTACTCGAATTCCCGACCTGGAAATTCAACCCTATACTTTTGGGTCAGATGACGAGAACCTGATGCAGCATCTGGCTTAAACTAATGACTACTTTCTACTAAATTCTAAGTGATATGAAAAATCTGATTTGGTTTCCCCCCTCTACCAGGATACTCCCGTGTAAATAGTCGCTGTCGCATCTGAGATCTGATGAATCCGGACTGGAAACGCGATCCCCTAGCAGAGGGTCTTTTATAGCAGCTCATTTGTTACTCTGTGCTTTGAATTAAATTGCATTTCATCTTTTTTTCGCTGACACGAATCGAAAGACCTTCGCATGGGCTCTGAACCTGAACAAACAATAAGTTTTTGTTATTAATCTTTGGGTTGTTGTTTGAGCTTTTTTAAAATAAACCTTTTTCAGCCTAACGACAATTGATTGTCGGCTGATTTGCAAGTGAGGGTTCGCAGATGCTTAGTTTAGCTTTAGGTTCAAGTTCAATGTAAAGCCAAACGAGTTTGCCAATTGCTCGTTAGATGAATTTGCTGAAGGACAATCTGGCTGGCAAAAATTTTCGGGCATATAAAGCCGTAGACTTGGCATCGAATCAGCAACAGTCACTCGTCGACTTCAAAGCACCAAGCAAACCAAAATCCCAAATCCAACCATGTTCCGCTTCGTAAGTAGTCGAGGAAGTCCCTCAAGGATCTCTATCAGAATCTAAATTGCTCTTCTACCCCAGATTGCCATCTGTGCCCTGGCCACCATCGCCGCCGCTGCTCCGGGATTCGTTGAGGAGCACCATGTGGCCGTCGCCCCTGTTGTGGCTAAGGTTGGTGCTGTCGTCCACAGTGCTCCGGTGGCTACTTCCCACCAGAGCTTCACCCAGTTCCACAACCAGGCTGTGCTCACTCCCGTGGTCAAGCATGTGGTGCCTGCTGTTCCTGTGATCAAGACTGTGGCTCCAGTGGTTCCCGTGGTCAAGACTGTGGCTCCCGTTTACTCCGTGGCTCCCGTTGTCAAGCATGTTGCCCCCATCGTGCCCGTTGTCAAGCATGTGGCTCCAGTGGTTCCCGTCATCAAGACTGTTCCCGTGGTCCAGCACCAGACCTATGTCGCTCCCGCTGTGCACCATGTGGCTGCCGTTCCCGTCGTGAAGGCTCTGCCCCATGCCGTCTCCCACCAGAGCCACACCCAGGTGCACCACCAGAAGACCATCATCACCCCAGTGGTTGCTCCCCTGCCGGTGGTTAAGACTGTCGCCGTGGCCCCTGCCCCTCTGGCCCATGTCTACCATCATTAAGAAACTATTTCGTTGAACAAATTGTTATGGTTGCTTCTTTGAATAAATTGATTTGTTGATATTAGAAATTGTGAAATTTAACTATTTAAGGGAGGGAAATCGATCCAGTTTTCGGCAAAATCCGAGCTGATCGATTTGATCCAATCCAATTAACATCCAAATAATCAATTTGAATGACTTTTATTTGAGTGTTATTCATTAGTATTCATAGTCATTTATAAATCGGTAGCTCAGTGCCAAAAATTCAAAATAAAAGAAAAAATAACAAAAAACGCAAGCACCCCAGAGGCAACTTCAAAAATAAATTATGCAAAGCCATTTTGATTTAAATTTTATTTGTTTAAAAATGAAATGAGGTTTGGTGTGTACTTTTTCTGTAAAATGTAAGATTATTACAATAGTTTAACAATCCCTTGCCCTTATCCCTCTTAATACTTTTTTCGGATGTGGTTCTAAAATGCTTATAATGTTAAAAAATGTTATATGAGGAAATGTAGAAATATGCCAGTACATGTGCTACATAGGTTAAGCCTATACAAGCCATAATCTAATTTTAGCCGATCAAAAGGCCCTAGCTGCTATTGCTCCTATCCAAATGTTAGCTCTTAGTTTTAACTAATTGTTAGCCTTAGATAAATAAATAAATATATAAATATGCAGTTATAGTCTGAAATAATACAAAGATGCATGTTTTTTTAAGTTGAAATAATTTCAAGTTCCTATCTTTTAATAATTTATGCTTTTAATAGGCAAACTGTATATTGTTATCGTTTTATCATATCACCTTTTAAATTATAATAAAAATTAAAGTTAAAATTATATTATTTTATTAAACTTAAGTTAAGGCTTACTCGCAAAATCATCTCCTTTCGTTTTTCCTTTAAAATTTTGAACCTTTTTTATATTAATCACCAATGTTAATAAAAAATTAAATCCTATAAAAGAATTCTTAAAAACAGTTTTCCATTTCAATGTTTTTTTATTCGTTGTGACTTTTTCATTTAACAATTATTTGATAACCATATCAGCACGCTTTCAATCGATTTACTTGTGGTAGGCGGAGTAGACCACTGGGGCGCTGTGCACGGTGTGGACCAGAGGGGCAGCTGGGATCACGGTCTTGACCAGAGGAGCAGCTGGGATCACAGTGTGGACCAGGGGAGCAGCAGGCACCACAGTCTTGATGAGGGGAGCGGCAGGGATGACAGTCTTGACCAGAGGAGCAGCTGGGATCACAGTCTTGACCAGAGGAGCGGCATGAACCACGGGAGCAGCATGAACGACTGGGGCAGCATGGACCACAGGGGCGGCATGAACCACGGGGGCGGAGTAGACCACTGGAACTTTGCGCACCAAGTTCACGTTGCTCTGGTGGGTGATGGCCGAGGAGGCGCTGGTGTCCACGTAGGCGGTCTTGGCCAGAATAGCTGGCTGGACAATCGAGTGGGTCTCGGCAATCAGACCAGGAGCAGCGGCGGCCACAGCCAGGCATGCGAGGAAGGCGACCTATTGACGGGATAATTGGTTAAAGGACACGTCTCAACATCCATCTCCTTGACAACTTACGAATTTGAACATTTTTGGAGGTTTGGTTTTTGGGGGTTTGCTTGGATTGCTGAATCGATTGCAACTGCTGATGATGACAGGCCAAACACCGGGCTTTTATAGTGGTCCAAACCTCAATTGTTTGTCGCTAAGTACTTGGCTGAACTTGAGCCGCTAACCGGTTTGGGTTTCAAATCAAACACTTTTCTGGTTTTCAGTTGGCTTTCTGGCTTCTAAGCGCTTATCAAAGACGCAGTTCGTTAACTGACCTAGGTTCCAGCAGCTCCGTTTTCTGTGTGTGGGTGATTGTGAGGAAGTCGAGTAGGGACAACAAGCCAGGCCAATCAATCGACAATGGGCCAAGTAATTGGCCTTAGATGCGGTCGCTTACGCAAATGAGGCTGCTTGACGATGGAGCTCATAGAGTGCGTGGGTTATCCTTGCACTTCACCCGGGTATACTACATAGTCATCCTTCTCCTTCTTCTTCTCCACAATCTCTTGATCTGGGCGTAATTGAGTTGCATTCTCGTCTTGGGTATACATCCCTTTGAGGGAGTCTATCTAATGGATGTGTGTATGTTCGTGGGGATGCATCTCCTAGCGCTCGTTATGTGACCTTTAACCACATAACGCTAATGAATGAATGTGCCAATGTGCAAAAGTGTAAATACAATCGATGAGAATTTGATAAGGGCTGTTCATATAACATCAGTTACAGTGACAGGAGATGTGGAGATAATCAAAGGTTATGTCTGTGCAGTGAGGTGTGTACTTGCGGCTTTGTCAGAGGAACTCAGAGAACGCTTAAAAACCTTGACTTGGCATTGAAGTGAGCACAGGAGCTAAGAATAGATAACCTTTTAAAATCAATTGTACTCGTATTTCCAGGAAACAGAGACACAGGATGTATCTAAATTATGCAATATTTTGGTTTGTTAGCTGGACATAGGCATAGGAGCTAACTTGATTTATTTAGGGAAATTGAGTAAGGAATTCTAAGCATGAAAAAGCAAACAAGCTGCTTAGCCATATAAAGCTTAAAAGCTGGTCTAATAATATCACTAATACTTTTTTCAGTGTTTATAAATAGACGAAGAAGCAAATGCCAACTCATTGTTATGAACTATATTAGGAATCAAAGAATAAGTCAAGCAGAAAGAAAAACTAAGTTTATTGAAGAACTAATTAGAAAGTAAGTCAAGGAAGAGCTTATTTCGTTATATGAATTTGATGAAAGAACCACTTTTATATATCAAACATAGCATACAGTAAGGAACCCTTTAATCCACCTGAACCCCGAACTTGACCCAGATCAGAACCCTTAAAAACCCCCTGTCTTTGCCCTTCATTAAACGGGTCAAAAACAAAAGCGCAATAAATAATAAGCGTACCGCTGCATTCAAATTGAAGCTGGAGTCGGAATCGGATTGCAACATCGACAACGTCCAGTTGATGGCTGCGGCTTCTCAAGTGATTCATGGCCAGGCCATAAAGACCAACAAACCAACGGCTACCAACTGCAGCAGCAGCTGTTAAGTGCCTGGTCGAGTGACAGATAAAGACCCCCGATTCGGTGCCAGACTCGGTCCCTCAGTCCCTGTCCCTATGTCAAGGTTATGCGCCGGACAAGCCCCACGCGCACTTAACCCACAATTTCAAGCTGGATATGTTGTTGTCTCGGCCTGGGTCTGTGTCATTGTTTTTTCGGGGCTCGGCTTTGGATCGAGCGACAGTTACACGTACTTAAGATAATCATCTCGAGTTGGTAATGTGGAAAATGAATACCCAGAAAATTATGCACACATCTCGATTGAGTTTCAGTCTCGCTCTCGTAAATCCTAATTTGCGATGTCTGTAATTTTATGGAGTGATGCTTGTCGATTATTTTTTTTATGGTCTGTTTTTCGTACAATTCAATCAGTCAATCGGCAGGATAAAAAATAAACAAGTTGTTGCTCTTTTTTATTTGTTTTTACTTTTTATTGGCTTGTGGAAGCTATAACTTATGGGTTGGGAAACAAGCTATCGTTTAACATATGTTAATTCAAGTTATTAATTTGCTACATCCCAACCCTTTTGGCTTACTAAGCTTATAAATGTGTGTTTTAGTGGAAGGATGTGTTTTTTATTATTGCGAATTTCAAAATGTTACATTTTATATATAAAAATTTGAATGAATTTATCTCTCTGAAAGTCAATGCACTACTTTATTAATGTGGATACGAAAGTTCATTTTATTTCATATGTTTTATTTTAGCTTTTTCATTAGTTGCTTGATTTTCTTCCAGATATTAAAATATTCCTTTAAATACAATATTTTTCTACATGTTTACTTTAATTGCTGACTTCTATTTCCTCATTATTTTAGCAGATTTTGCCATATACTTCATTGTTATATTTTAGGGATCAGTGATCTGATCACAACTGTCAACAGCTCTTTACTGGTCTATTCAATCGTTTTGGTAAGTAGACCCGTTGTAAGACCTTCATTAAATTCGGCGTGTCATTTGTCATTTTGGCAAATCTATTGACAATTTGGCTATATAAACGTTGTGTAGGCCTCAGTGGGTCATGAGTTCTTACTGGAGTTTCGCAGAGCCAAATTCAAACTAAGACTAGATCCAATTTCAGCTGCCTCAACATGCATAGAATGGTAAGTAAAGACTTTATTTGATTTTTTGTTAATTATTTTAAAAAATTGATCAATTTTATTTGAAGTTGCTCTACACCTTGGTAATCGTTGCCCTTGCTTTGGTTCAGGCCTGCCAAATCCATCATAATCTGACATTTCCTGCTGCGTGCCAAGTTTCCGATTGTTCTGGCCACCACCACCACCGCCTCACCTTTCCTAATCGGAGTTTGACATGGGATCTGCCCACATTAACCTCAGGCAATCCGATGTCTCCTCGGCCTGAACTTTGTTATTACGGCAAACCTTTTACGCTGGGCCACTAGCTATGCTTTGTTGTTGCTTTTGTTGTTGCTTAAATAAATTGTTGTAAATTATTTATCATAAAAAAAGTTGTGGAAGCTATTTTTGGTTCAGCAAGGGTCTTCTATATTTAGATATTGGATTTGCAATTTAATTCGAAGTTTTCTGTTGGTGATTTAAAGTTCGTATTAGATTTTGCTTTGATGTAACTTTGTTTTAATAATTTCAATATAAGAATTAATTGATGTTTAGATGTGAATTATTTGTATTGTTTGAAGTTTAATTTGAGTTTACAGGTTTAATAAAGTTACTTAACTATTATTTAATAAACCTAAAAGTATGACAAAATGTCAACAATAAAACATTCATCACTCAAATTCGATTTTATAATTTACAATTTTTTAGTATGTTGAAGCATTCCAAATCCTTTTCTCATATTTTAATTCATATCCCCTCCCTTTCTTCCTTTATATATTTAGAACTTTAATAAATAGTCATGGTTGTTTAAGGATCAATAATACTTTTGAGAATTTTATTTAGTTTTCATATAATTGGTTAACAAAAAAACAAATTTTGGGATTTTAGTGATGCAGGGTGTAGGCCAGGGGAGCGGAGTGCACCACCGACTTGACGAGGGGAGCAGAGTGGACCAGAGGCACGGAGTGGACCACAGGAGCAGAGTGGACGACAGGCACGGAGTGGACAACTGGAGCAGCATGGACAGCCACGGCGGGTTGGGTGTAGGTGGTGGTCTTCACAATGGGAGCAATCACGGGCTGCACCACAGCCTTGCTGTGCACCTGGGTGATGCTCTGGTGGGAAACTGCAGAGGGAGCAGAGTGCACCACTGATCCAACCTTGGCCAGGACAGGCTCATGCACCACATGGTGGGTCTCGATCAGACCAGCGTTGGCAGTGGCAACCAGGAGAGCGACGACGGCGATCTATATTGAAAAGGCTTTAGTTATTTCAATTCTAGAGTATAATATTTCTTATTTTACTCACGAATTTGAACATTTTGGTAATTGTTTGCTTTTAGCGAATGCTGCTTGTTGGCTTGAGAAGATTCGTTGAATAACTGATGATGTTTGGGAACAGCAAACCTAGCTTATATAGAACCTCGAAAGCGCAGCCAATGCTTCAAGCCCAACCGCTGACCTTCACTACGCCCCTGCATGACCCGACTTTGTTCAGATTCGAGAGCCGAAATCGAGTCGAAGTCAGCTCATTATGATTTCTCGATGCTGCAGCGGCAGCTGCCGACTGCCAAAAGCTCAGATCGTTGGAGCACGAAGTTTGAAGTATCTCGGGTGTCTTATCAAAAGCCCCTCAAGGTGGACAACTTCGGATGCCGAAGTCTCTGGCTGTTTGAGCCCTTAGCCTGCGTTGGTTATTTGCTATATAAGCCTCATCTGCAGGTTCCAACAGCATCAGTCATCTCTCTGAGCTTATCCCAAAAACAACCAACCAACCAAAAACCCAATCAAGATGTTCAAATTCGTAAGTCTAAAGGATTTTGGAAAATAAAATGGTCTGCGAACTAATGTGTTCCTCTTCCAGGTTGCTGTCATCGCTCTCCTGGTCGCCACCGCCAGCGCTGGTCTGATCGAGACCCACCATGTGGTGCATGAGCCCGTCCTGGCCAAGGTTGGATCAGTGGTGCACTCTGCTCCCTCTGCAGTTTCCCACCAGAGCATCACCCAGGTGCACAGCAAGGCTGTGGTGCAGCCCGTGATTGCTCCCATTGTGAAGACCACCACCTACACCCAACCCGCCGTGGCTGTCCATGCTGCTCCAGTGGTCCACTCTGTGCCCGTTGTGCATGCCGCCCCAGTTGTCCACTCCGTGCCTGTCGTCCACTCTGCTCCTGTGGTCCACTCCGTGCCTCTGGTCCACTCTGCTCCCCTCGTCAAGTCGGTGGTGCACTCCGCTCCCCTGGCCTACACCCTCCACCATTAAGGATTTAAATGTGATACAAATTTTACGATTTTTTGTTTAAATAAATGTTTTTCGTTTTGTCATAACAAGTTAATTGCTAGTATTTTTATTTAAAAAAATGGATTGCAATGATGCCAGACCTGACAAAAACTACTCAAATGTTGGTCAGTTTAAGAAAAAGCCGTTTAATTTGATTCATATTATTAATATTAGAAATTTAACTTATACTGTTTCAAACATACGAGTATGTTTGTAATAATAACCTTACCAAGCATATGGCTTTAATCAAATCATTTGCTTTTTTACTCCCTCTTCTTATAAAAGTCTTATACTGACTCACCTTGTTTTTGCTTTTTTAAGGCATACTTTTAGGCAGCGACAAAAAATAAAGTTGAATAAATAAAAATTAAAATTCATTTTCGCTCGCTATAACAAGTATGGTAGGTAATTTATTGCTTGGAATGTATTTTAGTGTCTAAACATTTTTTTGTGATTTTTTTTATTCGCATTGCTGGATTTGCTTGCTTTATAAACAGGGCACAGGATTCGTGATTTAAGTAATCCGCAGGAATTTGCTGAAGTTGAACAGGAGCTGAATGGTTGGCGTGTGGGTGAGATATATGGGTGGTTCGATCTCCGGTGGGTTACTAGATTAACCGATTACAACGGGTCCCAGACCATGGATGCTCTTGACCAGCAGAGGAGAAGGATGGACCTGGGTGATAGCAGCATGGGAAATGGCACCGGGCACAACGCTCACAACATGGGGAGCAACAAGGGGAGCTCCGACAACAGTGGGACCCCAGATTCCAGGTGCCACGATGCCAGGGGCAATCAGTCCAGGAGCAGGAGCAGGAGCTGGGGCAGCAGCAGCCAGGCTAAGGAGAGCAACGAAGACGCACTGCAAAAGAAAGGATTACATTTATTAGAATTAAGTTTGTTTTTAAATCCTTTTTTCTAATAATCCTTCTATAGATCGATCAACTCACCAGCTTGAACATTTTGTTTTGTCGATGGTTTGAAACGATTTGACATAGAATTGCACTCTTGACTGGCCTATTTATACAGATTAATCAGAGCTGCAGTCGGTGCTCTCTAAATGGGTCGCCAACACGCCTCTGCACTCTGCACCCATTTGGCCCGGCAACAAACACATTTTCCACATCGTTCAAGCCAAGCTAAGCCACATAGAACCAAACTGCTTCGAGCCAAATGCAAACCCTTCCGGGGGCAGGTTCTCGTCTTACACAGATACACATTAAATAAGTGATGTTTCTCATAAGAAATTTAATTATATTAAAAATAAATAAAAAAAATAAATAAAAAAAAATAAAATACATTATTATTGTTTCCCTCCAAAATGTAAAGATTTTCTATGCATGTGTTATTCCATTTTATATTTTAAGTAGGTTTTCTTAAACATTTCTTTAATACCAACATACTGCCATGAATTTTTTAACATACTTCTGGATCATAATACTTACATACCTTGAAATCTTTTCTCTCAGTGCACTCGTTCTACCTCAGTTGACTGGCCACTTCAAAGCGATCTGATTCGAATCGATTTCGCCGCCGCCTTATGATTTATGCAATGCGAGACATGTTCTAAGTGAGCTCAGTCCCCTTCCTGCAAATCTCACTTGTTACTGGGACTATGCGGCGTATACTTGACACTGTTGCATGCGTCGCTCAATTAAGCAAACAAATAAATAGAATCATGTCAGGAGAAAAATTTGTATGTAATGTGAGCCCAAGAAAAGAATTAACTCAAGCGGCTTAGTTTGAGGGGGGCGAAAGGGTGGTTAGAAAAGAGCTGCTTGCTCTTTGCACTTTTGGCTTGCATAAATTAAGTCCCCAACTTGGCGAAACGTTGATTAATGTGACTTGCCAATAACGCCATCGGGCAGTTGGTAGCTTAGTTGGTCAGCCAACTTGCCCCGGGGCTCGGCCAATCGACAGTTAGTGTCTGAAAAGCGATTTTGTCTTGTGCAATACTGCGACACTGGCACATCAGACACATTTTATGATCGCTGTCGGGGGCAGTGAGTTATTACAATGGCGTCATAGAGCTGAGATCAAGAAAGGTTTTGCCATTTCAAAGGAGCTTTTATTTAAGGACTTTACTACATTACATAATATAAATTATGTTATCCTTACTGATTTATTTATATTTATAAAACAAAATAAGTAAAAAAATCTCCAATGTTATTCCGAACCAAAATTATACCTCACCTCTTTATCTACGAACTCACATCTTTCCCCTTTAGCTTTTTGCTCGTTTGTTTACCTTTAATGAGCTACCGAATCACGTGTCTCTAAAATAATACAAAAACCGCAGTTACCTTGCCAAATCTATTTATTTGTTATTTTATTTTATTTGCCTCGTTTGCCGGTCAGCGAACCAACTACGAAATGTTGGCTTAAACCATAACCGATTTGCGGCTAATTTCGGCGATGAAAAGACAGGCCAAAACAAAAAGCGAAAAGTTTTCAGGGTTAGTTGGTGATTGATATTGATTTTGATTTGTTTTTAATGCACCGCCAAACAAGGAAGTACTGTGTGTAAACAGAGGCGTACTAGAGGGAACCCCAGTTAATAAACCCCCCCTGCGGAACACCACTGCTTTTGACCGAACCCAGTGCTTAAAGTTATTGCAAATGGGCAATATCTAATTGATGTTTATGTCACATTAAATGTTTGAATATCCCATTTGACTGGCTTTATGGCAATGTTTGCCGATTAAGATAATTCTGAATGCGAATGTATATCGTTGGGTGAGTGTTAAGTGTGGGTATCATACTCGGGCAATTTGCATTGGCTTATGCAAAACGACGAGGCAATTGCAAAAGCCAAATAGACTTGAACTTGAAATAGATCTGGATCCCTTCTGGCTGTGTTTTCAGACCCTGTTCACAATGGAAAATTCGCTTGCAGCAGTGGCAACTAAAACTATTTATCACCTCTCTTGGCCAATACCATAGGCATTCCGCCCTGCGTCCCGCTTGCATAGACATTCATCATCTGCTTATGCACTGATTTGCATAACACAGAAAAAGCATTTGGTTGCCACATGTAGTGGCAACGTGTGTTGTCACCATGGGAAATGTGCCATCCCTTCAAACGTATCGAATGGTTTTTCTCTTTTTTTTTTGGTTAATTACGATGGCAGGCTAATTATGTCACCTCGATATGTGGAAGCGATTTTCGTGCGGTTTTGCGACTCAGATCGGATGTACTTTCATTATTTATTTCATAATGAAAGAAAAAGAGGATTCAATTTAATTGGTAATGCATCGTGATATTAAGTTAAGAATGATAGTATATACCATATCTCTCAGATTTTCATTATATTGACTGAAAAGATTTTCCAGTTCATCTTCAAAATATAATATATCTTCTCAAAAGATATATTATCCTTAGGATTTGAAATAAATTTGGAGTTCTGTGGGGTTTTCTGAAACCGTTGACCGTAAAAAGAACTTTCTTCAAGTTAATTTTAATATTAACTCATCCTGCCCACTTCCTTAACCCAAAACATAACCACTCTTTTAGATATTGTATCTTTTATGTACAGTATTTAAGATAGATGGAATAGCATATTCAGCAGCTTACAGCGAAACTTCCTGTTGGACTTCTAATTTAAACAATCGACACACGCAAACATACACAGCATACAAAGGTTGCATTATCCTCGTTATCGTCGAAAATTGGTAATCAGTTATCGTTATCGATCATCAGTCATCATTGTCAATAGTCGATTAGTGCAGGTGGTAATCATGGAAGTCATGATGGTGGTGCAGATGGAAAGGATCGAAGGGATGGTAGGCCTTGATGATGGGTGCAGGATGATAGGCCTTGATGATCGGAGGATGCACTACAGTCTTCACCACTGTGGGCAACAGCACCGGCTTGATGATGTGGTGCGGCACGCTGTGCACTACGGTGGAGCTCTGGTGGGAGACGGCAGCGGGCAGATGGTAGTGCAGTGGCTCGACATGGTGGTGGTGTGGATAGTAAGGAATCTCCGGATAGTGATGATGGTGACCGTGCAGGAAACCAGGACGAGCAGCCGCCAAGGCGCAGATGGAGAGTAACGATACTATCTGTGGGTTGATGAGGTAATATCCTTAGACTGGTTCTTGGCTAGAGTTAATCCATGTTATCCTTACCAGTTTCATCATGTTGTGGGTGGCTTAATCTTGGTAGCTGACTGCTTGCAACTGATGCCACTCAATGGAGTGGAGGTGGCTTTTATTCACTTGCCACCTAGCCATTTGGCCACCAACAACAGCTGCAGATTCCGATGCAGATGCAGATGCTCTCGTTGCCATATCCGCTGCCGCCACCGCCGTTGCCGCTGAGAGGCTTCAATGTTGTGGAACTTTGCGTTTGCATCCGCAGTTTGCAGTCGGCAGTCTGCAGCCTGAAGTTGTTGCCGTTGTAATTGCAGCTCGTTTTCTTTTTCATTTCAATTGTTGTTTTTGCGATGTCTGGCTTTTTCGCACACAGTTTTGTCAAGCGCCGCATTGTTTACCCGTAGCCATCGCTTCGTGTCTGAGACGTTCCATCCATCGACCCCTTCCAATCCCAAAGCGCTGAACTCTGCCACGGTTGGGTTCAATGAGGTGCCAGACGTGGCAGGTTATGTGGCTATGGGGATGCTCTTACTTCAGCTTCAATGGGATCTGAAAAATAAACACCCCATTTATTAGATACTAGAACCAATTAGAACCTAAAGTTCCTGACCCTATTATCATACTTAAGTATGCTAAAGTGCTGTTGAAATGAATACCGTACAAGCTTATGATAATGATTAACGATAAACGATAAAAATATACATGTGTTCGTAGAATGGCTTTAGGTATCCTATATTTATCGAGTTATATAGGTATTTATATACTAAATCTAGTATATCGAATATACTTAATCTAGTCTTAACTACTCCCAACTGAAATCCAAAAAAGAGTAGCTGCTTATGGATTCATTTTTGTTAACTTATTTTAACCTCTTTCCCAACATTTTCCCATTGCTGATGTACCTAAACTTATTGAAGAGCAACTGCTTATGTGTTCATTCAGAAAGCTTATCTTAAGGTTGTCTATGTGTTTTTTTTTTGATAATTCTTAAAGCAAGTTTTATACTAGAATATCCCAGCGATTGTCGCCGTTCTTTTCTCGATGCTTGTCTGCTGCAATTGGCAGTGGTAATTGTAATGTTGCAGCTTCTGCCGGCAATAATGCTGCTGCTGCAACTTCGTTGCAATTTGCGCTTGCAATACCCTCGTACCGTTAGACCAATAGCAGTTGCAAATTGTCTCTGTATTTGTACTGGTATATATATATATATATATATATATAGTTAGTAGCATAATTTATGCCAGTGTTACATTTGCCCGCTGCGACCTTGACTACTCGCAGTTTTGGCCCGCAAATTGCTGTTGGTTTTACAGCATCGCATTTCTGCATTTTTTTCTTGTTTGTTTTTTGGCCTCCTCTGTTTTTGTTTCTTGGTCAACGGAAATTCACACTTGCCAATTTAATTGTTGCAGATTTTTTTCTGTCGTGGAAATTAGTTGACTCTGGCTATGTCTATGTTATCTTTAGCTCTGAGAATGTGCCAACATAAAAACTAGCTTGTTTTTTTGAGTGTGAGAGAATCAAGATCTATAGATTGCTGTCGTATAGCATAAGGCTGCAATCGAAAACTAAACTATAAAAATTTGTAAAGAATTTTTGATAATATTTTAAAGTCTGGGGGTTTGAAATAGATGAAATTGAAAGTTTATCTTAGATATGGGTTAGTTTTCGTTATAAAATACATTTAATTTTCTGGAGATTTTACCAATAAAAATTAAATGTATTTTATAACGAAAAAATTATAATTTTTGTTGGTAAAATCTCCAGAAAATTAAATGTATAAATGGTTGTTTACATTGTTATTTATTGTAGAAGTTATTGGCTAAACATTTTTAGAAAAATAGAGTTCGAATTATGGTACAAACCTTTACAATGCTGAAAACTAATGTAGAACTATAAATATATTTTGTTTAAATTTATTCTGTTATTTACGACAACTACAAAAAATCTTAATACAAAAATACTCAAAAATTAATGAAATCACGACTGTGGCTTACTTTTTATATATTTAAGTTACAAAATCCAAGAAAATCGAACTCGAAGCTCATCTTTACTGCTATTATTTTGAGTGCAGTTGCTGAGCTTCGATTCTGTCTGGCATCGATTGTGATATTTAAGGCTTCCATTTGGGCCCTGTCATCGCAACAGTTGGAAAAGTTCATGAACAGCAGCAGATTCAGATCCATGGCAAACTAGAACACTCGAGCCGAGAGCACGAGCTCATTAGAATGTCGTTTGGTATTTTGACAGGCAACACGGACGGCGAAGTGCTGAAATGTCAGCCTTAGGAGGGGAAATCGGGGGAGTCTCGTAAATTAATCATGATTTGCATTTAGTGGGGTAAATATTTACACAACATTTCGCTGGGGTCCCTGGTCAGCACTCCCAAAAAAAAGTTAGAGCACAAAATGTATTCAATTGCTTGGCTTATCGCGACCAGGAAGCATTGCATCTGAGGCATAAACGGGTTGCAACTAGTGACTGGGCATGTTGCAACCGTAGAGTGCTGCACTCCACCCAAAATGTTCGATTCAGTTCAGTGGGTTAGTGGGAGCCCCGGCGCAGACCATATTATCTCTAGCTTGGAATCTCGAGTTATTTTCAATGTTATTGCAATTAAATTGTGAACCAAGTCAGGCATCCGCTGACGCAGCACTTCCATTTCTGTGCCGAGAATGCCGATTGATGGACACATCTGACCTTAGCGAGTGGCCAATGGCCGATGGCCAATTGGTTTGCTTGGCCACCTGTTGGGCGCTCGTCGAGTATCCGCCAGAGTGGCAGTGGCAGCAGGCACCTCGAGCTGCGAGTAAGTTGAACGTAATTACTCAGGGAGAGAGGAGGGGAAGCAAGCAAATGAAAATGAATTTTATATGCCGCTCTACTTGCCGCAGCTGCAGCACATTTCTCACCGGTTGCCATTTGCGTAATGCTCCTTCTGGCCAGAGTTTCCGACTCTATCTAAGTTTCTGAGTGTCTAGCGGTCTGACACCTGAGTGAACTGTGCCAACAGGACAGGTCGGATCATTTGCGAGCCGGGAGTGTTTGGCAACTACACCGTTGAGCCGACAGATCGGGCTTGGCCAACCCAACAACGCAAAAATATTCAATTTCACGTAAAATAATGGTCAACTAATTTTGAGACTTTTGCTAGGTGTTTTGAGCTCAACGCGGAATGCTTTTGTACTTAAAGTTTATGGACAAGTTAATGTGCTTAGTTTTGAATTGCATTCGAAGGCGGCTAAAAAGGTAGGCAGACCAGTTTTGTACAAAAGCCATGGAGGCTTTTTGTTCTCCAAACATTTATTAACTTGTAAATCTGCTTAAAGATATTTTAATTATAACTAGGTTTGTTGGTCTGTCAAGTGAAACTATCTCATTAATTCATTTTGGAATTTGAAAATCTTTATTCACTATTGAAAATCTTTATTCACTATCATTATCATTGCATTTGTATGTAAATAGTCTAATTATGATCTTAGGTTTGTTTTAAGCAAAGGATATTTTAATAATAATAATAAACTACTGATAAAAAAGAAAGAAAAAGTTTTCAAATTAAACTTCGCGGGCTTTACATTTCGCGGAAGTTCTTTTTTCTTAAGTTGGCAGGACTGTCAATAACATCTGGGCGGAATTTCATGCCAATGTCATAAAGTATTTTTTTATAAATACAATTTAAATCATATAACATTAATATCTTAATTCACTTTTCCTTTTCGTGATTTTCCAACTGTACTGACACTTCAGTAAATCCTATTTTTCAATTGACTTCCAACAAATACTTCCTCATTTATGAATTCCTAACACTACTTACATCACATATTCTTCCGTCTGATCTGCGCCGACCTTCCAGCCAATTACCTGTATAAAAATCACAATAGCAGCACAATGGCAGATCAGAAGCTAATATTGAATGACTGGGAAACACTGAAAAGATAAAGGTAATTAAGGAAAGAACAAGACGGAGAAGTAATGACGTCTAAAATACTGTCAACAAGTGTGGCTTTACCTCTGGGTAATTGATCTTTAAGCACTGCTTAATTGTTGTTCATTACGCTTAGTCTGAGATCAACTCGAATGTCTCTAATTAAAAGCGAAATTGAGTTTGGTGCTAAACGGCGGCGATAACAGGCGATCGAAATAGAGTTTGCCTGGGGAACTGGTTCCCTGCATGATAATTGCCTGGCAATTTCTTAATGTGGTTAGTGCTCTTGTAGCCAGTCTTATGCAATGCACTGTCAGAAACAGAAAAAGAAACCAAAACACCAGCAGAACTGTCACTTGCCTGCCGGCCATAAGGCGTACATTACCCCCAGAGCGGTACAACTCGAGATCCCATGAGAGATATGTACCACAGATGCTGGGGCACAACATGTTGTTCGGTTAAGAAAAACAGCCCGGATATTGCCTAGGAATTCACCAGAAATAGTCTCAAATCTATTAAAAGTCAGTCAAGAATTTTGGCTAACAAAGCCAGGGAGGAGGAGATAGAGGGGGGTTATGTCGCCAGATCGAAACATTCATTAATCATGCTAAAAATTGCTGACAAATCACCATAACGGCGGCAAATACAACTCGAGTTGAACACTATTGAAAGTACAGTTGTGTTTGTTTCTTAGGGGCAGGGGCGTAGGCAGAAAATATAAAAGGGGACCCTAATACCTGCTTGCTTTCCTAGTAGATTGCTTACATAATAAACGGTACTTTAGCCTACATTTAGTTTTTTTGATATTATAATAATATTACATTTTAGTATATAAAACTAAAAAACAAATTTAAAAAAGACACAAGGATTTATAAAAACATTTACTGGAAATAAAAGTGTAAGCTTAAACTTGATATTCGATTATAATTCAAATCCTTATTAAACCCCTTTTACTCCACCTCTGTCCACCTCTGTGTATGTGTGATCTGTGCGCCTGCGCAATCGCAATCGATGTTTGCTTATTACACAAAAGCGGAACTCCAGACCAGTCCCGAGTGCGATTCTATGTGGGATGTGGCTGTGGATATGGCTGGCTCGGTGCCTTCTGGTGCTTTATCGCTGGCCCGTCTAGCTGGCCATTGTTATGCCAGACAATTGCAGGCCGAGATTAGCATAACCTGAAAAATACAAAACGAAAAAAAGAGGCGGAGAAAGGAAGGGAGTGCTGGACTTGCCCAGTGATATATGAGATAAAGATATAGAAATTTGAAGATGGATTTTATTTGATAGGTTAAGTATTTTTAATTTACTTTTAAAGTGCAAACCTGAATAGTATTCAGCTTTTAACAGAGCCTAAAAAATATCTGAATCTGGAAACATTACGGTTCTGAGTTGATTTCTAAAAGTCTTTATTGCTGTATAATCTTACACATTCAGTCTAAGTTCGGGGACTAAAAATTAAAATGGAACATGAGTAAAACCCATTAAATTGAATCTACAAAAAAATAAGAGCATAAATTTCTTATTTATTTACCCATTTTTCACACTAACTTTAGTATTAAACTACACATTCTTCCATTTCTTGTTCACCAATTTAAATTCTATATCTTCTGAACCAGTTCCCTAAAATCTTTTTGAGTTCCTATCAAATTTTTCAGCAAACTCATCTCTAAACAGAAAGCGAAAAGAAGTAAACAAAAAAAACTGTATGGCTTGCTAAAAATATGAAGAAATTCATTTCCATTTTATTTCGCGTCCGTGAACCGACGTGATGGGCACACAAATTGGCCAGCGAGTTTGCGCACATTCCTTTGCCAACCTGATGACGATACCCATTACCACTGCCGCCTCCATTGGCCTTCTCCCGCAGACGCAACGACCGGAGACGCCAAGCCCCTTGCCCCGCACATTAGAGCCAGTTATGTGTTTTGGCCATGAAAGATACACGCAAGTGCGTTTACATTGAACTTGGGCTAGTTTGGGCGGGTTTTTGAGCCTGATGTGGCTGCTGTGCGTGTTGCAGGCACGGTGGAAATTTTCACGGTCAACTTCGAGGAGGAAAATGACAAGTGTGAACCACATTTTTAGCGACGCTTGAGATTGGCCTGAAGTGATGCAAGTGGTGGCTGCTGGCCAACTGCCCGAGTGGGCCAAAAGCCCAACGTCTTGCGAGCTCAACTAAGTCAGACAGACATTTCATTTTGACTGGTTTCGTTTTGTTTTTGTTTTTGTCTTTTTTTTGCAACCTAATGGGGTACGATGTCTTAGGTGGGCAGTGGCCACCGGCCAGCACTCGGTCAGTTGGCCAGTCAGTTGGGAGGGGTTGTCAAGAGGGGCCATTTGGCCAAAACGCTGGCCGAAGACAAAGCGAATCAGCTGCTGCTGCTGCTGCTGCACATGCAAACTTTGGCAGTTCTCCCCTTTTCGTGTGCCGCTGCCACTGCCGTTGGCGTTATTTTTCAGCTTTTCTTAACGATGCTTGAAGGAGGAAAAAAGCAACAAAATTATTATTATTGTATTTTCTGCATTTAAGATTCGGTTGCACATGGGCCATGCTCGGTTTTTGGCAGTATAAAAGCTGCTGCAAATTTGGAGCTGGCAACACAATTCGGCGAGGCGTCAACACAGACCCACAGTTCAGTAGTTCAGCCAATAGCTAGCGCACCAGGATCGCAAGGATTAGCAAAATGTACAAGTTGGTGAGTCTATCTTTGGTTGGAAAAGTTATATTTTCCAGATTTAATATCACTGTTTTCCCCTTAAAGGTGGTGTTCTTCGCTCTTCTCGCCATTGTGGCTGCCCGTCCGGGTTACCTGGAGTCTGCTCCGTTGCTCCACAGCTATGCTGGCCCTGCCATTATCCATGAGCCAGCCTTGGCCAAGGTGGGCGCCATCATCAAGACCGTTCCCAGTGCCGTTTCCCATCAGAGCATCAGCCAGGTGCACAGTTCGGCCCACATTATCCAGCCGATTGTGGCTCCTGTCCTGAAGACCTATGCCGCTCCCATCATCAAGACCTATGCGGCTCCGGCACTCCACACGACCCTCCTGTCATCTCCTTGGGGCGGAAATGCTTGGGCTGGACATGGCTGGGCTCCATCCTGGTAAATTAAAGGAATTAGGGACTGACGTCCGAGGTCCTGGAAGGCATTGCGTGGGCTAGCAACTTCAGCTTACCCCCATCCCGATCCCATGCTTACACTCTCTACCCTGCTGTTTTGTTTTTCTTCTTACACATTTCGACTGATGTAAATAAATCCATGTTTCATGCTCAACATAATCCGCTGTTTACTGAAAATGGAAAATACTTTTTGTGCGAGGCTACTATTTACGGCTTCATGTCTACTATTTGGCCTAAATTCGAGAGCATTGGACGAGAACTTAAATTAAGGTCTAAAGAACTTAAACTTTATTAAAGTTGAATGAAGCTTTGTTAAAGCTAATATGGTTGACTTTTATATGATTATCATCTGCATAAGAAATATCTGAAACTGAGATACTTTAAAAATGTTCAAGTATTTAACATTTTTCAAATTTGCAATTAAACCTAAACCTTTGGAAACTATTCACTAATATTATTATTATAAAAACAAGAGGAAACGCTATAGTCGAGTGCCACGACTATAAGATACCCGTTACTGCTTTACACAATTTTAAAATATTCATTTTGATAGTGGAAATTACCCAAGCGCCGCCTATTGTCAGAGGAAGCATGTTAAGTAACTTATAGAGTCGTCACTGCCCATGTGACGCCTTATAACCTTAAACAAAATCTTTGGTAAATCGATAGATATTAACAGAAATAAGTTATACAAGATCAATATTAATATTTTTTAAGACGCCACAGTTTTCCGCGGTTCGTGGGCGTTACAGTGGGCGTGGCCAGATGAAAACTCGTGGAAAGTTGCAGTGGCATCTGTTAAATACATATTCCTAAGCCTAACTTTCTAGCTCTTTTAGGCGAAAAAAAAGCAATTCGCATTTGGGGCATCATAAAAACCTACATTCGTAATCCGAACTTTCTATCATTTAGAGTTACCGAGATATCACGTTTTCTTGAAAATGCGAAAACCGTCTTTTGAGCTTGGTGGTCGTTTGGGTGGGTGTGGCCGGAAAATAGTACCACTAAAAGATGCGCTGGCACCCAAAGTTTGTACATCGATTTTAGTTTTTCGTAATTTGTGGGCGTTAGAGTAGGCGTGGCAGGATGCTGAAATAAACTTACGCTGTCCCGGGACCTCGAGAACCTTCATGGTTAATCTCAACTTTGTATCTGTTATAGTTCCTGAGATCTCAGCGTTCATACGGACGGATGGACGGACGGACAAACGGACGGACATGGCTCAATCAACTTCGCTATTGATCCTGATCAAGAATATATATACTTTATAGGGTCGGAAACGCTTCCTTCTATCTGTTACATACTTTTAACGAATCTAGTATACCCTTTTACTCTACGAGTAACGGGTATAATAACACATTAGTTACCCAAAATGTTTCATTTTTACGTAGTGTTACTAATTTTATTATTTAACACCTAAATGTTTAAAACCAGTTTGTTTTATATTCTTTTTATTTTGAGTTTTGAGTTATGGGTTTTCCAGAAAGCAGTATTTTTTATAAGGTACAACGACTTAAGATTAAGCTCTTTATAGAACTTTACTTTGAAGTTTCTAGTCATAACATTTTATTCAGGATTCTCAGAAGTGTCTTCTTTAGAAAAACCCGAATAATTTCCAAATTTATAGTTTTCCTTGTTATATCGTTTCCTTAAGTTAGCCTCAGCCCAGCTTTAGTAAAAGCAATAAAAAACAAATATAATTTTCTTTAACAATCACATTTTACTCGCAATTAAACTCGTTTATATACAAAAAGAATCGCTATTTTCTAACCATCCAGATCGCTCGCATGAGCCCCCAAAAGTCCAGAACTCCTGATTACCAGCTGGAATTGTAGACAATAGGAGATGCTGCAGCGTAGGAGGTGTGCACCACAGGGGCAGCAGCGGCATAGGTTTGGACAACAGGAGCAGCAGCGGCATAGCTGGTGTGGACCACTGGAGCAGCAGCAGCATAGCTGACCACTGGAGTGGACTTCACCACAGGGGCAACGATGTCCTCGACAACATGGGCTGAGCTATGGACCACTGACTGGCTTTGGTGGGACACCGAAGTGGGAACACTGTTCACCACGGCACCCACTTTGGCCAGGACTGGCTCCTGGACAATGGTTGTGGCAGCTGGAGCGGCATACACCAAAGGAGACTCATAAAGATGACCGGGACGAGCGACAGCTACGGCGAGGAGAGCAGACAACACCACCTGAAAGATGATAACATATAAAGGAGTAAGATAAGTGGTAATAATAACAGTCACTGTTTAAGTTAACTTACCAATTTGAACATGTTTAAGGATTTTTGTTTGTTGGTCTGTGTTGTGCTGCTGAAGCGAACAAAGTTGACTGATAATTTGACAACCGAAATAGCCGCCTTATATATGGTTAAAAATTATTGTTCATCGTCGCCCCAACTCCGCTGCAAAGCGAGAAAAAAGAGCGGTTTAATTAAAACATTTACGAGTCGAGCAGAGGGCAGTCAAAACCAAATGAGTTGTATAAATCTGCCCTCGCTGGTACAATAAAACATGAGACTTGCAATTGGTCACTTCAGAGCATGAAATCCCCGACCCACGGGTCTACAACACAGACCCAAAAAGTACTCACGCACTGCAGGTTGACCATGACTCACGCCCTCAAAATGCAAGTAATGCAGTCGCAAGAGGAATCACTGTCTTTAATGGCAGTCAAGGGGGCCTAATGGCTGTGTTTGGTTTTGATTTTACACAGAGAAAATAGTGGTGATACTCTTTTGATGATCACTTGAATGATGTTTCGTTATTAAAATGATATAGCCCCGTTCTCTATGAAAAGTGAAGTAGTGCTTTAGTCAGAAAAATGGTCAACCATAAACCAGATATTATAAAGACATAATTTTTGATATGTTTTGATCTAATAATAAACTTTTCTATTACCAGTTTTCCGTGTACTCAAACACGTAGCTGTGTTGTCTCCAGCGAGCCGTCCACCGACGCTAATTGCTTATTGATCGTTGGCCAGAATCTGATATGGGTTTAATTTCGGCTCGAATTGTGACGCACTTTTGTGGTCAGGAGGAAGGTCAAAGCCAAGTGGCTGCTGTATAAAAAGATAACTGCAGCCCGGCAATCAGCAACAGTTCTCGCAAGAAACTCAAACCGATCACTCGCATTCCCATCAGTCAATACAGACCTAACCCATTTACAAAAATGTTCAAGTTGGTGGTATTGTCTGCTCTGCTCGCCGTAGCCGCTGCCCGTCCCGGTCACCTGTTGGAGTCCTCCCCGCTGGTCTATGCCGCACCAGCTGCCACGACCATTGTCCAGGAGCCAGTTCTGGCCAAGGTAGGAGCCGTTGTCAAGAGCGTGCCCACTGCTGTGAGCCACCAGAGCCAGTCGGTGGTCCATAGCTCAGCCCATGTTGTCGAGGACATCGTTGCCCCAGTGGTGAAGTCCACTCCTGTGGTCAGCTATGCCGCTCCTGCTCCCGTGGTCCACACCTCCTATGCTGCTGCTGCTCCCGTTGTCCAGACCTATGCAGCTCCTGCTCCAGTTGTCCATACCAGCTATGCCGCTGCTGCTCCCGTTCTGGCCACATCCTACGCCCAGGTTGCCGCCTCCTCGCCGCTGACCTACACCGCCACAGGTGTGTGGTAAAACAGCTACCAGCCCCTCTCCGATTCCCACTCCTCCAACCGCTGCCAGGTGACCAGGATGCGTGTGCATCGCTGGACGGTTATGTGATACGAATTTAAAATAAATAAATGTTTTGCTTTGAAATGGTGCAAGGTGTTTTCTACTCTATCCAGGTCATTACTCTTGTTGTAGTTTTCAGTTTCAAGAGTTTACACAGTGAAAAAGAGATCTGAGTAGTATTAAAGGATATGCCTTACATGGTCTTTTATACTTTCAATATATCTTTTTGGTTTAAAAATAACAGATTTCTACCTTTTCTATAATGTAAATTGGTTTAAGTTAAAGGTACCCTGTAAAGTGGCTTCACATTTGACATTTCCCGGTGTGAGCTTGGTCTTAGCTTGTTTTCCATTCTACATGTGTCCCAGTTCATTGCCCTCTGTCACGTACCTATATCCTGCTGCACCTATTCCTTCGGTAAATATTGGACATACATATGTCGGGAAACACGCCTCGCAGGTGGGTGAGAATTAGTTGAGTGACAGCATTGGCATCCCGCTGGTTCTGAAATTGCTAGCATTCCCGGCCAGTGAACTCGGCATTCTAATAGCCATTTCGTTTAACCAAGACGTCATGGCAAATCCTTTGTTCCTGATTAGATTATTATAAGGTTTAAAAATATATTTAATCAAATGAATACACTGAGGCCTTAATTAACATTAATCTCTCCTTCATTTTAATTTTCCTTAGGGCGGAAATTTGATATAACGGGTATATCAAGGTTAGCCCTTTCAGCCAACTTCGCAATGGGGCTGAGGATTAGACTCAATGCTCCTCCCAGTCCGCGATCCACCTCGGTTAGGTTTACAAACCGCTTGACTATCTCGTGACGATCATGAACATATCCGCTGGTACAGTGGGATATCACGAGAAGGGAAAACAATATCTATACGGGAATTAGGTAGTTTCCAAAGAAGGTTCCATGTCTCCTTACCGCTTTCACCGGGTAATCCATTTGTGCTGTCAGCGGAGGCGTTGGAAATGCAATAACTGTTGCAATATTGTAACTTCTCACTTTTATAGACAAAGTTCTCAAGATTTAGGTGCAAGTGTTCTTGCTACACAGGTGCAGACTTGATTTACTAAATTGAAATATAAACACAAACATAGGTTTCTCGGTAAAATTCTCTACTTCAGTGCGAGGGTTTTCTTACTGATATTTTATTTCATATGAGGCATATCAGACTAAATGGAAATTGAAACACTTTTTAGTATTCTTCGATTTCCTCAGTTTAGTTTAAATCAAAGAGAACAAGTTGGTGAACCAATTTTGCATTTTTCAAATCATTAAAGTTAGATTTAGACCTTTTTTTAACAGAAGTCTTTTTAGGAACTTTTTGAACTAAGGTGTACAGTGTAAAAATAACTTATTTTTCTGTTTCAGATTTTCGCCTTTATTAGCCTAACAATTGGTTTTAAACTAAGACTTAAATATGGCTACTTGCAGCATTAAACTTAAGAAAATGACTTTCATTCGTGGTAACTAAAAATAAATCAAATAAATTAAGTCTCAGTATATTTTTTATTCCATACCACAGTACAAACTACACATTTTAATTAGATTTTAGTTTATACACATTTCGTTTCATGGTGATTAGGATTTACGTACAGTATCATTCGGTTTTATTTCGTTCGAAGATGGAATTGGTATGAGATTTGGATATGTGAGGTTTCCTGCATTTTGTAAAGAATCTGCGTTTCCATTCAAGAAGATCAAATTGGAAAGTGAGATGGTAGTAAAATTATAGTTTCTTTTAAAAACTTCATGGGGCCTCTGAAACTAATCCAAAAACACAGTGAAATAATCTGAAAATAAGAATTTACAAACTGTTTTAACTATTTCCCCATATTTTATCTAATATCAATGGCCAAATGCCAAATGCAATTCAATAATATACATTCTGATAGGCCCCACTTTTATACGGATTATCTTTTTTTTAGCAAAGTTTTTACTTAGCAAAATGCATATTAAATCTATTCCCCGAATTAAAGTAAAAGCTTCTTGAATGAAAGTTTGTTTCTGTCGTCATATGACTGGCCTTGACTCGAGTCGGAAGTAAACATTTCGATTGTCCCGCAATTAGAAGTAATCTCGGATGGAGTAATTCTCCCTACTCACCAGAAATCGATCTTCGGGCGAGTACGTGAGACTAATGAGCCAGCAGCAGTGGCTGTGTGTTGTGAAATGAAACCAAGAGTGGGTATGGCAACAAGTGCGAGGCCGAAAATAAGTGAAGTAATGAGTAGCAGAGGTGGAGAAGGAGAAGGCGAGCCGAACAGAAATTGGCCACGAATAATAATCTGGTTTATGGCCAAGACACGGGACAAGCGGCCAGAATCCGTTCAGGCACGTTCGACTTATGGCTTTTTGTATCCGCCTCAATGGACAAAAGCCGGCTAAATGCGTGCGTGAGTGTGGGAGCCACGAAAGTGAAGTTCAAGTATAAAAGACGTTGACAGTCCCTCAACTCAACACATTCGAAGTCTGTCTCCCTTTCCAGCGACACAAGTCGAAGAAGCCAACTCCCAAACCAAAATGTTCAAATTGGTAAGGATCTGGCCGTGCCAGGAGGATCACCCTCTCGCTTGGATTACTAACCATTGTTCTCCCTTACAGTTCGTTCTCGCTGCTCTCTTGGCCGTGGCTGCCGCCAAGCCCGGACACCTGGCTGCTGCTCCTGTGGTCTACAGTGCACCTGCCACCACCACCGTCGTCCAGGAGCCCGTCCTGGCTAAAGTTGGTGCCGTCGTAAAGAGTGTGCCCACTGCCGTTTCCCACCAGAGTGTGACCCAGGTGCACAGCACCCCAGTGGTTGAGGATGTGGTTGCCCCTGTGGTCAGGACCACTGCTGTTCACTCTGCTCCCGTCGTGGCTGCCGCCCCCATTGTCAAGACTGTGGCTCCCGTTGCCTACTCTGCTCCTGTGGCCTACTCCGCCCCGGTAGCCTACTCCTCTTACTCCGCCCCTCTGACCTACTCCGCGCCGGTGGCCTACTCCGCGCCCCTCTCCTACGCCGCCCCTGCACCCCTGCTGCACCACGCCCCTCTGACCTATGCCGCCAGCGCCTGGTAAATGTGTTGAAGAGAACGAAAGATTTTGAACTGTGCCTTGTTAAGTAATTTGAAAAAAGTCAAAAACGAAAATATAATAAATTAAATGTGAAAAATAAACAAACGGTGTGTTTTTTTAAAATTAAGGTGTTATATAAAGAAGCTTTAAAAAGAAGGGCTGAAGTTGTATTTAGTATTAATAATCAGTGATTGTACTTTTTGGTAAAATCTTAAAACGTGTGTAAGAATAGCAGTGGAAATTCCTCAATATATTAACTATTAAAAATCATTTATTTTTAAAGAAATTTGTGCTGTTTCCCAATCAAAAATTTATAAAAGTATACTTTCACCTCATATTTTTATAAGTTCTTCCTAATTCTTATCAAAGCGATTAATTTTTTTGTCATAATTAACTTAATGCTGTGAATCGTTTAGTTTTGTTAAAATATTAAATAAAGTTATTGAAATAAAACCATGTGTGAGATATATTTTACATTGAGTTGAACTTTTATTTATCGAATTCGGTGAAAATTAAAATTTTGAAAAATAAAGAAAATAATTAAACGCAAATATGCATCATGAGATTCGTTGTTCCTTTAGCGTGTGCTGATCTACTTGAGGTAAATGCTGGGATAACTAGCTCCACCCCAGATTCCGGGCTCATACCATCCCGCACTGCTGCCAGCATAGCCCAGAGGGGCATATGATATCGAGGTGGCAGGAGCATAGGCTGTCTTCAGAATCGGAGTGTGATTCACAATGGGACGCCAGTAGGGACGCTTCTCATGAACGACCGTGGAACTCTGGTGGGAAACTGCTGCAGGCAGGGCATAGCTCTCATAGCCCACGACACTGGGAGCATACTCCACGTGCTCGTAGCTGGGCAGGTAACTAGGACGAGCCTGGATTAGGGCCACCAGCAGTCCGCAGAAAATAAAAGCCTAAGGAAAATAAATATTGCTAATGTTATATATGGTTAATAATATATATATTTGGGGCAACTCACAACTTTGAACATCTTCGCTGGGTGAACTCTGCAACAATGGTTGGCAGTTGAAGAAGTCACTCGAGTTTTATACAACCTCGACCAAGGGAATTGGCTTCTTTACGTTAGAATTGGCACAAACAATCGAGCCATCATCTAAAATTTGTATGTTTTTTCTTTTGGCTGTGTTTTTTGCGTTTTTCCTCAAGCATATTCCCAGGCCCAGATGGCTCATTAGTGACCCATTTGGGCGTAACTGAGCGAGCGGCTTGGACCGAGGCGAGGCTGAATCAGACGCTGAAAGCCAAATAGGCAAATAAACAAGCCCAAGTCAGCCACCCACCAATGATACCTGCTGCAGCTCAATCCACACCCACCAATCCACTTCGGGTTCCTGTTCACTTCTTCTACTTGACTGGCTCCCAGATGTGGGCCACAGCATTCCAGGCACAGCATTAGCATAACCAACTCTATGCTCTCTGCCTGGCAAAGTTTTCCCGACTATTTTTGGGTGCCACCAACGCAAATCGCAGGCCAAACGGCAAACACCATATGTCGTATATGGCCTATTTTCCCAACTTTGATTTTAATTAACCATACATGCCAAGATTCCCAGCCCATTTGAGGCGACCTTGGCTCTAATTTAATTAAGAAGAAAAACCGAAGCAGAAATCCAAACATAAAAAAGCAGCCGAAAGAAACCAACAATGAGCTTGTTCAGAAGCGAAAGACATAACAAGAAGCTGACAGGCCCCGAAACGATTTAATCATTGGCCAAGTTGCTCTTATTGTTGGCAGTAGCCACTGCAGAATGCCATTGTTATTGGATTCGGTATACTTTGGTCTTTATGCCCCCAAGACTTGGCCAGCATCAAAGTGTAAATCACAGAAATGTTTAGCAGTAGTTGGCATAAATCTTTGACTTGCACTTACCGCCGGGTGTAATATTTCTAGCTGCATATATACAAAAGCCACAAAACCAAAAAACAAACAAATAAATAAGTTAACAAAGCTATAAGCTGACTTTTTGCTTTTTCAAACCATTTAATTGTTTTTAGTCAGAAAAGTTGGGAATAATAATTGCATACTTTTCAGCTGCTGCTCAAATTAAGCTTGAGCTTCAAGCTTTCATTAGTTTAACTAAGCTTTGTCTTTCCATTTAACCCTCTAAGGCCTCTGAGTGGTTAATTAACCAATTATTTTTGGCCAAAGCCAGCCAACGTGGAATTCACTAAATATTTAAATCAATTTATTTAATCTCTTTAATTTGGCCTGAGATGGTAAGGTCTTGCGGCTTAATTCCACGGAGAACTTGAGCTTCTGGTAATCCACTTTTCTAACGCAATTCCTTAAACAATCTCTCAGTAATTGGAGTATTGACAAATGGACTAGCATTTTTAATAGTCTGGCTAATAGAAGTTGACTGTGTCCACTGGGACTCAGCTCGAACTCAACTCGAGTCTGCATTTGTATCTGTATCTTTGAGGTTGTCAGCATGAAACATGCAACTTAATTAGCTGCAGTAACCAAAGCTCAAGTCTTAGATTTTTGTTGTAATTATTGCTGCAAAGTAGCAAGACACTTAGCTTGCCTTATCTGTACTTTATCGGTGTGACTCAGTTTTAACCTGGCCGAAACAGCATTGAAAATCGCTCATACGCCATGTAATTAGATCTGTAATAGCCACATCCGCCTGCAGGCCTAAACGTTTGGGAAATGCCTAGTTTGGCCAGTTCTTGACGGGTTTTCTGTCTGCGCGTTTTTGTGGGGCGTGTGATCTGCATTGTCTTATTAATTTTAATGACTGAATTATACAAAACTCGACGCAGAGGCAACTTTTTTGCCGGTTGCAACTTGCCAGCAACTTCCTTGATTACACACAGAATTCGAAGTTGAATGGAGTTTGTCTATCTAACTCGAGTTGTTGTTCTCGAATCGAATTCGTTTTGGTTTTGTTTTCTTGTAGCTATTTCGTTTTTTTTATGTAATCTACGTACATGAATTTAATGTTTAGCTGCGGCTATCATTAAGTCTAATTGACTTTTTATCGCTTATGGTGTTCCCAGCTTATTTCTGCTTTTGTCTGTGAGAAATCCGAGGCGGAGTGAACTTGATCAGCAGATTTGTAGTTCATAGAGCGCGACCTAGGGATGGCAATCTGTCTATCTATATCTACCTATTTGTATCTTTATTTATCTATATGTATCTTTTTGCATCTATCTATATGTACCTATATCTATCTATATCTATAAAAGCTATCTAAAAGTTAAGAGAAAGTACTCAAAAGAATCTATGTTTTGATTAACTGCCCCTTGATACAGCGCCAGAACAGTCTAAGAATGATTCGTGATTGATTGCTTTGCCACCTCTAATTTAGATACAGATACTGCCCTCACAGGTGTGCAATCATGCTTGGATCTCGCCCAGTAATTTGATTTCAGCACAAGTTCAGGGTGAGTAACCACACAAGTAACCGAATTGCTCTAGAACAATCTCAGATCAGCAGCAAAAAGTGAAAGTCAAATTGGATGCATTAGAATCTACTCGATATCTACAACAATGGGAATAAAAAACACTTCGAGGAAAAGGGGAATGGGGCACCCACACGATAACTAAATTCAATTAAAAAGCACTAATCGAGTAACGAATTATTTCGGACAGCCCCTCGCATAAATCTCAGCAACTGGGAGTCAACCGATTTGCATACAATTTGGCGACACACAACTTTAATTTACGAGCTCCAAAAGGGGCGTGACTTGTTCAACAGTTTTGTTGTTGGTTGTTTTTTTGTTATTGTTGCAACTCAACTGGAGCTGCGATTTAACTACTTAATTATGAAGCAGATTTCGGTTTATTTGCATTGGCAGCCAGAGAGCGAACGCAGTCAGTCAGTGAAGCTGTCAAATGATCTGTGACCAAAATAGTTTTAACATGCAGCAGGTTGATCAAAACAACACATTTCTGCCACAAAAACAAATGCCTGACGTGCCATGAGCCGCATTGCGCAATGTCCCAATGTACAAAAAGAACTTCAAAGCGAAATGAACTTTGCAAATGATAATTGTTGGCCCAACCTCGGGGCTTTGGCTGAAGGTAAAACAGAGCTCTGGCCCAATGCAGTAGCCAAAGAGGAAGGGTGGAAAAAGGGGGGTGTAAGGGGTTAATCCACCTTAGCTCACTTTAATTCCATTAATGAAAACTTTGCTCTCTGCTGGCTAGTATGTGTGTTTCTAGAGCTTTTCACAGCCGGTGCCTGCCTGACATTTGCTTTATGGAAGGTGGAAAAACAGAGCGTTGATTGGTACCCTAGAAACATAATCACGGAATGATATTTCAGGCTCATTAAAAAACAGCTCGAACTAATTTGGGTACAAAGCGATTATATGGGATTACCAATAGGTATGTATGTATATAGATTTTTAACTCGATCCTTATGGCTGTTACCCAACAAGATAGTTAGTTAGTATCTTGGTATTAGAAAGTCTAACCATACATTTTCTCAAGTTAATTGAGTTACTTACTGGTACTTCGTTTTTCATGACAATTATAAATAAACATATTTGCTAAGTAGCCCATGAAGCTTAAGGTTGTCTCGTAGTTGGATCTCATATTTAAAAGGTTTCCAGGGTAATTAACTAATCACAAATTGGATTTGTTTTTTCTGCTGGCCATTGTTACAGTTTCGCACTTGGCTGTTGTCGCTATTTCTCTTGGTATTAATCATTATAAAACGAGTAATTGTCGGGGCTATTCTGCTGTACACATTGTAATGTGCACGACATTGTGACAAAGGCTGGGGTAAGCACGACCTTGACCGAGTGGCGTCCAACATGTGGTATACTTAATACTTAATTGGCCACACTCGAGAGTCACAGCCAACGTTCCGCAGATGGGAGTCAGCTATGCAAATTGCCATCCACCCAACCGACAATTATGTAAAACTATAACAAATTAAATAATAACCTTTTGCGGTCACCAGCTGGCCTAATCAAATGCAAGTAAGCCGAACTAATCACCTTTCGCTCTATTTTTCCAAATTCCAGACTCCGCTGACTTGTGAAATTTCCTTAGCCAGAATTCGCCCAGACAAATTTCAGGTCCGACTATTTTTCCCCAGAAAAAAATCACATAAATCACGAAAGGAAAAATATTGAGTTGAGTTGGCCCGAGTTGAGTTGGAAAATTGACGGCTTTTAATTTCGACTTTTGAATGATTTGTTGGCAATCAAAGTATTTTGGGCGTCGCTTGGGAAATGCGAATCTGAATGAGAGTATTGAGTATATGGATGTTGCCCAATGGACCAACAGACACACACAGAATGCAATTGGGAGGCCATTAAAATGCAATTACAGGCCACCGGAGCTAGGTGGTCAGCTGCAATCGGAACCAGCACCACAAAACCCAAAACCGAACTAGAGAGTGGGTGGATATTTTGGTTTTGCTAGTCCGAGTTCGATCGATAGCCACGCAATTTGGCATCCTGTTTGGTGTCAATCAAGCCAGCTCCGATTTAGATTTATGCGACAGTTTGGTTAGCATTTGCATAACGCCCCGGGTCCAAGTCACAAGGTGTTGACTTTGGTGAAGGGTTCGTTTTAGTTTGAGATTTGACTTGCTCTAAGCCCCGTTGATATGCAGATTGTTCAATCAGCAACGATGCCCAGGGTCAAAGCCAAAGAATTGTCGCCATCGTAAGTGTTTATTGATTTATGAACCATAAACTTTAAGTCGGGCTTTGTTTCGCCCTGTGAGAACTCTGACTTTGATACAAGTCTTCGATACAAAACACACACTGATTCCAAGGCCCGAATCAAGCGTTTTGCAATTCTTTTCACGCCTCGTGTTCTGGCTTTTGATTTTTCGATATGATTTCAAAAGTTGGCCAGGAATTAAGCATGGCTATTAGGAAATCTGGCAGGCCATTCGAAATGCGGCGAATATGATTTACTTGTGTTTCCAATTGATTCCGCTCCTTCCACCCCAAGTTACGCATACGCCATGTGCCCGATAACAAATCAGTTTAAAATTAATGCATGCAAAATATAGGCGAACCAGCTGGCAGCCATTGGCCACCACCGACTGACCAACTGCATCCAATCTCCACTTTGTGTTTGTCAGTTATTAAAGTGAGTAATTTTTCATGGACCACTTGAGTTTATTTGGTGCGTGGATAGGCAGTTCCGATTGATCATTTGCATGCGAGCAGCAGCATTTTCCACACCTACGGATCGCTGTATCTGTAATGAGCTGTCAGTCAGTCAGTCAGTCAATCAGCTGATTGATAATCAAGTGCGTGTTTTTGGTTTTAGAAAGGATTTACAAAACCGGCGATCGTAAAACAGATATGCTTAATAGGCTTACAGGATTTTCGTAAAGGAAAATGGTTAGTGATTTGACGGGAAAACATATTTTAGTTGGATTTAAGAGACTAAAAAGTAGATTTATTATTATAGGTGATATTAAGGCATATATTAATCCGAATATATATATATATATATATTTATATTGTTTTCTCAAAAGAAATGTAACTAAACAGCCAATTTAGAGCTCAAGAATAATTCCAAACCGCTAACCGCATTTAGCAGTAGAATTTTCTCAGCTGGAAGTCGCTAGAAAAGAATTGTTGATTTCCACGCCAAAATGAGTGGAAATATTAAAATTTCCGTTAGAGCAAGAGCCGCCAACAATAGCTGACAAAAAATGTATACAAATTGAATTAAATGCCCATAGAGGTTTTCCATGAAAATCTGCGATTCGGGGGCTCAAGTTGGCGGTGGGTCTACGAGCCAAAGTCGCCGCATGACTGATCTCTTTCGCGATCTGCTGCTGGTCGGCAAATGCACAAAGCTTCGGCTCTCGGCCGCTGCTGAAAGGGGCGTGTTTGCTCTCCCTCTCCGTCGCTCTTTGGGCCAAGATTTGTCAGAATATTTCTCATGTTGCGGGTATAAATATCAGGGCAACTTGAGACGTCTAAGCATAACACATTCAGCTCTTCAGTCAAGAAGTACAAGCAACCCAAAAACCAGCAAAATGTTCAAACTGGTAAGGCCAGGATCAAAGGATAATCACGATTATGGAGATAATTAGAGGAACTTACTTACAGATTGCCCTCATCTCTGCCCTCTGCGCCGTGGCCAACGCTGGAGTGATCTCGCCCTACAGCCATGGCTATGGATTGGGATATGGTGCCGCTCTGGCTCCGGCTTATGCCGCTCCTGCCGTGATCTCCCACGCTCCGATCATCAAGAGCTACGCTGCCCCCATTGTTGCCCACCCAGTGGCCACTTCCTATGCCAACACCTACAAGGTGGCCACCAAGGCCTACCCTGTGGTCCATGCTGCTCCTCTGGTGCACGCCGCTCCTCTGGTCCATGCCGTCCCTGCCGTGCACTCCACCTCCACCTACCACGGATCCTATGGCGGTTACGGTAGCTACGGTCTGGGATACTCCGGCTACGGACACGGAGCTTACCTGCACTAAGGATCTAATACTGAAGATCGATCCTAGCCCCCGTTGACGACCCCATTTAAGTGAGATAATCCAGCGGATAATTCGCATTTTGCTGCCGTCAAAGTGTTGAATTTGCATTTCGTAGTCAGAGGCAGAAATTATCGGGTCAATCCCCAAATTGTGTACAAAAACCCTCAAACATCCAGATAAAAACTTAGAGACAGAGACACTTAGAGATGTAAGGACCACTAACGGGAGGCGGCGAGAGCGAGAGATTGAAGGAAGGATCAAGTTTCGTTGATTTTGTTAAAATGGTGCAACTCCATGCATTGTGGCTTCAACACTTTCTGTAAATAAACGATAAATGACTCTAAAAACAAATATTATTGAGGTTTTATCTTATGATTTATGGGGTTTAAAAATCAAAAATCTTATGGGGATTCATACCTTTAGTAAAAATATTTACCAGAACATCATTCAGTTCAATGTTTAACGTACCTTTATTACAAAAAAGTAAGTAAAAATGTAAAATATTATTCTGATATTATTACTCTAATGTTACTAAGTTTAAGTAACGGGCGAATAATATTTGCGCTTGAAAAGTGTTTAAATTTGTTATTTCGATTTTTTAGCTTACTCTTAGCAATCGATTTTGTCTGTGTATTAAAACATATTGGAAAGTGTACACTTCTTTTTACTTTTTAGTTGTTATTAGTCATATTTTCTTTTAATTTAAAACATAAAAAATAACATATTAACCATGTGAAGAGAAAAAACATGAATTCTTATTAATCTGTTATAATAATTAATAATATTACGCAGCAACACAATTCTCTTAGTATTTATAAGGATTCCAGATCGAATTGCTAATTGTGGCATCACAAATATTTCTCACCGAACTGCTTGTTTGTTTTTCAATTAGACAACTACAAAATCACCCCTCACCAATCCCCTTCGCTTTCGACTCCCATTCAGCATTCAATTGCACTTCAAATTAATTTTACTTGAGCAACTCGCTCGATTCAAATCGAATCCCGTCGAGTGTTTTGAAATTTCGAAGGAAAAAACAAAATTCCTCAAAAAATTGTTTTATTGCAACGCCTTGCCATGCCCACCTGCCCCCCAACCCCCTGGCAATTATCATTGCAGAGAGACGAAAGACTCAAGCGACAAACGCGTGCGCCTGTCGACAGGTTGACCAGTGAAAAGTGCGTTGAAATATCTTTTTATTAATAAACCTGGCCAACTGTCGCGGCTAAATGCTTTTTGCCTAGTTTCGTAAGTGAAAAATTGGAGCACCTCAAGTGCTGTTGAGAAGTGAATTGAGTCACTTAATTACCTTTTTAGCCGTCCAGCTGATCCTGAAACAAAAAAACTAAAATATACCCACTCAAATTCATGCGAAAATTGAAAAGTCGTGTATTTATATTTTGCCTGGCGGCTTAATGGAAATCGATTTACTATTTTATCTAATAAATGTTATTTCGCCGAGTGAAAATCTTATGGTGATGGGTGGGTTTACTAAATATAATTCATATTGCCCGTAACAATAAGCCATTGTTGGCGGCTCTTCGACCTTGACAACCATACAACTCAATTGTGCCCAGCTATAAATTTAATTTGTCTCAGTTCAGTTGGGCATAAATTATGTCTCCTGATCATAAACCATGTCGTAGTTATGGCTTTATAAGACCAACCGTACCGTTAGCTAGTCAAGCGATAATTTGGCAACAGCCTTGAGGGATTCGCAGACAAAAGTGGGCAAGAACTTCTGCTTCCTACATCTCCCAGGCCATTGAATATTCATTCGAGCTCGTCGGTTGACACTAAGTGGATGCATTTTGTGGCAGGTGCTCTCATGGCACAGTTGCAACTCTCAGCTGTTTTCCCACAACCTCGCCAATGCAACACACCTTTTGTTTATCCGTCGCTCTTCAGTTTGAGTGGAAGTCTCATGTACCGAAATTCTACGTTTCTACGTTTGAGTTTTTCTGGTTAGCCTGAAAGTATGCTAAGCTTAATTGAATTATTCAAGCGGAATCGGATTTGCATTTTGTGCTGCTGCTGCTCTGCATTATTAACAAGTCAGTGATTCCAGAAAGGGCAAGGACCTTTCGCAGGATACGAGTCCCATCCCTACAGGTCCCTGCAATTAAAACCTGCATTGAAACCACAATCTCTGGAAAGGGGAAACTGGACTCCGGACGAGGAAAATTAATTTCAAAGGGTCAAGCCCTTTCCCAGGACACATCTGATCCATGGCCGCAGGAACTGCACGTACTGGGGAAATGCACACGTTTTCAGCTGACCTTGACCAGGGCATTGACATGAACCGGGCTGAAACCACCAACCCACACTTATCCATCGCTTGTAATTACTTAGTTGTTATTTGTAAGATGGATTTGCAACCGATTTAATTTTATTAATGCAGCTGGGTCCTCGGATGTCCTTGCAGTGAGTTCAACGACTGCGTAAGAGCAATATGGTTGAAAGGATTACACAATGTAAAAATAATTATGAGAGGTTGAAGGAAAATTGAAAATGAAAAGGCAAGCTAATGCATAAATTCATTTTCCTAATAAAGGAAATGATTCCTAACATTTTCAATGCTAAAATAATTGTAGCATATTTTCCAGTCAATATACAACCAATTGAGTGAACCAAATCAGTTGAAACTCTTCAAGAGCTTGCAAGCAAGTTTTCCGAGGGGGGAAAACTCGCTTTTGTCGCTGGCAAACACGTGCAGCGATTTACCACGCATTACATTACAATGCGACTTCAAGTTGAGAGCACCTGTTGCCAGCGGTGGTGGTGGCAAATCGCTGGAAAATGGGTGGAAATCGCGGGGCAACCGTTCGAGGGGCTCGAGCTCAAGAGCTGGGCGTGTGCTCCACTCAGTATGGCATAAGAGAAAATCTTTTGTGGAAATTCATGCTTTTTAGTACGCGCTTTCGGTTCAGTGAAGGTGAACATATCGATTTCTGATTTAGCCACTTTGTTATGGTAATTTCACAGGCTTCCCTGCCTTCGGTTTTCCCTTGTTTTCCTCTTTTTTGTTGACAATTTCGATGAGCGCGTGTCGCGCATTTGGCAGCCAATTTAATTGGCCACCCGTGCGGGAATTTCGGCTGTTTATGACAGATTCTGGAGCAGATTTTATGGGAGCAGTACCAAGCACGCGTTTGCCCACTTTCGGGCAGCTTCGAGGCAATGAAAATGACGATGCCAACTTTCAGGCTTTTCTCGACTAATTGAGAGCTTCGAACCTGGCTTTGTTGGCGGCGGTAATAAATCGACTTTTAACTGGCGTGTGATATTTTGGCATTTATATTTCGGCAACGGCCATCAATCAGAGTCATAAGGCATAAAAAGGTGCCTGGAACGTGATCGCAATGGGTTTCTTGCAGCTTTTGCTACTTGCTTGCTTTTTTTCTCAGGTTTTTTATTTTTTGCAGCTGGTGGCGGCAGTAAAAGTTGCTGCAGTCCAGCGCGTGCATTCATAAATGTTATCCACGGATTTTGGCAAATGAAGTGCACATGCTAATCGCTTTTCAAGTGGGCTGGCTTAAGCCGTTGATATCATTAGAGGGGTGTATTAAGATAATACACATTGAGTGGGTTGTTTTAGGCGTTAGATGAATCATGCATGATCAACATGAAATTCGACAGTCTGAAAGGGGTTTTTAAAAAGAATGATAGCGGAGGGGATCATATATGAAAGATTATCTTTAAGGACTTTACTTTTGTGTAAACTGTGTCGGATTTTATTAGGTCAGCGCCTTAGAAAAGAGAATTTGAAACATCTAAAAAATTACCTTTAAAATATAAAAATATTCTATATAACAGTAACAGACTTAAACAGTATGCACTCACCTTAATCACCCGATTTGAAGTTTTGACCACCGACGATGATTCGTACCCTCCTCCGAATTTCCCTTGAGGATGGGGCATTGCAAAACTTGTCGCATGCATTTGCCGCACGATTTGCTTGTCGATTGCACGTCGTGCGCAGATCCCTTAATGGAGTTTTTACTTTTCGCCTCCTCTAGTTTCCAGACCTCCCACCCCTACTCCTCCTCATACTCCCTCAGAAATCAGCATAATGTGATCGACGCAACTCGGATCGAGGTATATAAACCTGCAATGGTCAACAAAAATCGATTCATTACGTGTGAAAGTGTCGACGAGAAGTGACTTAATACGGAAATCGAAAACGGAAGAAAGCATAAAGTGAAAAAATGTTGAAGATTTCAAAAGCAAGTGATTGAAAAGTGATTTTAAACTAGGAAGTAACAAATTATTTTCTTATATTTAGAGTGCTTTGATATGTGTTCTGATGTGTCTCATTACTCCTGCCCTTGGAAGTTTTCTTCATGGTCCATCACATGTGGGTGTTCCCGTGGGAGTTCCAGTTCCAGTGCCAGTTCCGGTTCCATCGCCAGTTGCTGTTCCTACTCCAGTGGCTGTTCCCACTCCTGTAGCTGTTCCCACTCCTGTGGCAGTTCCTGCTCCAGTAGCTGTTCCCGTTTCTGATACTATTACTGTTCCAGCGGTTTATAATGCTCATCATGGATTTACCTATGGAGCTTCAGATCATTATGCTCCTGCTCCTCCAGCGATCTACAAATATGCAACATCATATGCCGCCCCTCAGCCAGTTATCAAATACTCCTTGGGTCCTCCAGTGACCACCACTACTACTACCTACACAGGATTTGCTGCACCACCACCACCAGTTCAATATGCAGCAGCAGCACCTGTTCAGTTTGCCGCACCACCGCCACCACAGTTTATAGCCAGATATGCTGCCCCGCCCACTGCTTACCAGTTTGCAGCCGCCCCCTCCTACGGAAGATATAAGCTCCACTTTGGATCACCACCACCATCTCATCACACTCCGGCTGCTGTCTATGGAGCTCCCCCGACGACATTTAACACTCAGGGCTGGTAACTCATGAAGTCAGCAGATGGGCCCCTACTCATTATGCATAACTATGAATGATAATTTCCTCAAATTAGCAATTAATTAAATCTAAATAATGTTGTTATGTTTTGTATTAACCGCGACTCGTAAATTTATGCGAAGAACTCGGAGCGTAGCGATTAAATTATGCTTAAATCGAAACCCATAAATAATTCAGATGTTTTCATGGTTCCAAGCAATTTTTTTTTTCGGCTTCGCCAATTTTGGTCAAAGGCGAGGCTTGACTTTGAGAGGGCCAAAGAAAAAGACAAAAAAACCGTCAGATTTGCCGCTACTAACTCTAATTTCTGGCCAACTGACCTAACTCAATGAATGGGAGAGGAGTTCTCCGTCAATTGGGTCAACAGTTTAAACTTTAAAGAGCTTTCGAGTGGCAAGACAGACGACTTGATTACACTGCAAATATTGGTTTTGAATAAATAAATCAAGTAAATCGACGATTTCCGTGTTTGGCGATTGAATATTCAAGCAAGTGTCATATTTAACAGTTATCAAAAAAAATGTAAAACATACTAAATAACAATATAAATAAACATATAAAAACTCACCTTGAGTCAATAAAAGTTTAAAAGTAAGAAACTCCAAAACATTTTAAATAATAATGTAAAGGAAAAGATATATTTTAATTTTGCTAATTAAAAGATACTTTAGGTTAAAATAAAATTCAATTTTATATCTATTTCTCCGCAAAAGTTTCTCCCCCTTTCTTTCAGTGCACATTCAAATTAGATGCGCATAGATTTCGATTAAGTCCCACCATCTGAGGTCAATCTTTGACGAGAGACCCACACAGTAAGAGCGGCAATCAAACACCGAGATATGGACAACAATCGGGTCTTTAGCATGCAAATCTCGCACCGCTCCGCCAAAGTCCTCCGTTTTGGTTGGGGGCTAATGGCTTTTATGTTTGTGCGGCATTTCTGGCTCCTGTCACATGACGCTCGATTCCGATTTGTGTTTAATAAGCTCAAATGTTGTCGACATGCCTGAGGTATGCAAAAAGAACAGTGGTGTGGTAACAGGGGTTTGCAAAAAAGAGACAACTTTTGGTAACAAATAAGCCTTTCCTGTTTAACACACTCAGCCACTGCTAATCAGTGTAGTTGCATAGTCTGGATGCCAATAAAAATGACCAACATTGATTTATATGCAAGGCAGCCAAATATCAATATTATCAATAGACAAAACTGCCCCGGCAACAGCTTTGTTAAGCCACAACAAATAAATAAAGTAAATAAACAAAGGCAATGGCAACAAAATGCCAAAAAGCTTCGTCTCTTGGCCTGCACTTAAGTGTTGGCTTCAAGCCATTCACGATGAGCCCGAGGAAGACCTGAAAAGAGTGACTGAGTGGGTAAGAGAGAGAGAGATTCAGAGGTCTGAGAACCGATCGCAGCTCCTCCATACGCATATAAAAAGCATCTTCAGCTGGCTCACAAATTTTAATCAGCTGCCAAAGCTGCGCCAGCAAACATCAACGAACTTAAGACCCGGCCTAAAGAAAGCCGAGAATAATTAAACTTAGTTAAGAACTAGAACTGTGTGAAGTGTTTAGAGTGAAATGGCGACCAAAGTGAGTGTATAATCGAGAGAGTGAAGTTCAGAGAAAGTTTAATCTTAGTAAATCACTTTCAGTTGACCTGTGTGTGCATTGTACTCCTGCAATTTATGAACTTGGCACTTGCTGATGTCTCTCACTTGGATTACTCTATTACACCCAGCTCCCAGCTGGCCTATTACCATTATCCCGCTCCCAACAGGCCAGCTGTTCAGCGATCCCAGAGAACCCAGTACCAACAGGTCCAGCAGTATCCTCATGTGGCTCGTCAGTTCGCCGAGCCGGCTTTGGAGCAGGCTGCCTTTACCCAGGCCTTGACCAGTCAAGGTTATGTATTTGGAGCACCCTCGGCGCCTCTTCAGGTGGCTCCCTCGGCACCAAAACCCCAGCAGGTGGCAAGGCCTGCCGCTGCTTCGGGATCTGCCACAGGTCGCTCTATAGCCTCGGCGGCAGTGGATGCCAACTCTCTGAATCTCAAGCTGCCAGTGCCATTTGGAATTGCTCCTCTGAATGTGGCGCAACTACCGCTGCAAGCTGGAGCCCCCTATGCCAGTGTGCCACGGACTACAGGCCTCACTTCCTATGGAACACCCCAGATCCAGAGGCGCTAATCTACTAATCCCAACACCTAAATAGAATAATAATAAATTTAACAGAGCCAGAGCCATCCCGACTGATCATCAAACTGCGATGACTTCTGCTCTTAGTGAATACACATTGATAATAAACTTGCCATCTAAGCTTAGTCTTTCGGTCGAGTCTCTTTTTATTGGCCATTTTTTTGTCTCATTGCCATCGATGGAGACTGCATTTGCATAATGTTTTGAAGGTTGAGACTCAAACACAACAAAAAGAGGTCTTCGTCCATTGGATTTACACCTTTCACTCTCCTCCGATAGGTTAATGGTTGTTATTTACATACACACAAATCGGGCCAAGAGATCTCCATCAGCCATCCGCTCCTCATAATGAGACCTTAAACTTGGCATTGGGAAGTGGCATTCTCGTGTGAAAACAAAAGAAATAAAGACAGCGACTAAGTTTTGACGTATATTTATGAAAGCCAATTAAAGTCAAGTGTCATTGATCAGGGTATGGGAACGGAACTGGGAACTCCGATCTGGATGTGGATCTATCTATATATATTTCTTTTTTTATGGCAAAGGGGATAGAACCTGCTTTCCCGCGAAAATAAAAAACAGGAATTCGAATGTGATCTGCATAAATTTGGCTTTCGAAAATCCATTAAAGCAAACGGTACTGACGACACTCAAACAATTCTTAAGGGGGATAAGGCTTCCGAAGCGTCTCTAAATCAGCTTGCAATCCAATTAAAAAGGTTAACTAGGAAGTGAACGGATCGCACAGCTGTGAAGTGGAGTGCTGAAGACGAGAAGGTGATGGCGATGGCGATGGCGCTGATGATGGGTAATGATATATTTCCGTGCTTGAATCACCGGAAAATTGGCGTGTCATCGGTGAAGAATTCCAGTCCAGAAATTGTCTTAACAAGTTAGTGAGAGGTCACCCTTGGCGTTGGACTGTACCACCTGTGGTGGCTGCCAAGATTGGATCAGAAGTGGCGGCAATGCGGATGCAGAATACAGACTACAGTTACATGCGTGGGGCAACTTGATAACCAGACACCATCATCTCGGTCTCGTCATCGGTATAACCTTGAGATCAGCGTCATCAACGGATTGGATTCCAGAAGCAGATATATGTAAAACGAAGACTATCAAGATGCTCTTTCCATGCTTTTCATAAGTGTCATGACTTTACAGGAGCTTAATATGTTCACCTTAAACTTTTGTAAAGAAGATAAAGAATGATAAATTTAGAAACTTAAAGATGATTAAAACTTATAAATACCATACATTTAGTATAACAAGAATATGTTAATATATTTCTGCTTTAAAAAATATCATCGTTCATAATTATGTGATTATATTTTTGAAAGCCTAATTTTCAAAGACAAATCATGGTCATCAATCTGCCTCCAATAAGCGGTCATCATTTCCGAAAACGCCTTCTATTAATATCGAAATTAACATCTTTGATCACTAATTTTACTATCAGAGATTTTACATATTTGTTAGTTATTTAAATATATCTAAAAATTATATCTAGACAGATACTTTAAAGAGTATCTGGAAATGTATCTTAGAGTATTCTCTACTTCTTCCGTTACTTTGTAAAAGCAGTTTCGCAAACATCTATATATAGGAAAAGTACCCCTATCATAAAGAGCACAACAATGCAAAACGGAGATCCACCAGCCATCAGATGACGGCGATGCTACTGACCAGGCCAGCACGTGACCGAGAGATCTGCGATGGCTTATAGGGAACGCAATCCGGTTTTGATTGCTCGATCACTCGGCCCCTCAACTCGCTGGCCAATTAAGCAGCTTCGAAATTATTACCAGTGCCAGTGGACGGGCAACCATCCTACTTACATCCTGTGGCCAGATGGCGCCAAGGTCAGGTCAACGAGAAAACAAATGAAGAAACGGAGCGGCAAGGATGAGAGGGAAATTTACGACCGCCTTTTATTGGCAACTCGGCGAGCCATTAAAAAGTGAACTAATGAGACGTTTAGTGGGGCGGAATCGAGGCTTGGAGAGGGGGCAACCATTTTTATAGCCAATTTGACTTAGATTGCGGCCAATTCATTGCAAGGCGGCGTACATTGATGGCCCAAACAGACTGCAAATTACCAGCAGACAGCTCGGCCACCGAGGAAGTCTTCAACTGCATACAAATGTCGATCAGTGCACTGGAAAAAATACACAATTTTTAGTTGAATTTCAAAAGACATATCTTTAAATTTCTGGTAATTCATTTTTAAAAACTTCATAATCTTAATGCTAAAAGAAGCTATAATATGCCAGATTAAATGGCAAATAGCTTACAGATTAGCTTTCAGATTTAGATTAGTATAAAGTTTATGAAATTTCTCAAAGTGTACACAAAACATTCCAAGCGACAACTTGGACAACTTCCGACAATACATTGGGCAATTGAAGGCGGAGCACGTCTTGGCCAAATGGCTATCATGTATGCTACTTGGCACTCGACCAGGTGGGCCAGCTAAAGAAGCGACCAAAAATCGGCTCAGACAGAATGTCCCTCAAAGAGTACGGATATGGGCACGAGCTATATAAGCTACTGAGCCAGCTCCAAATTAAACATTATCGCTCAAGAGCTTTAGACAAACCCAACTAACCAGCAAAATGTACAAGTTTGTAAGTTAATCTAAAGGGACTTGTACTTAGAAAGAAGGATTACATTAATTCCTATTTTCAGTTGGTTCTCGCTGCCCTCATCGCCTGCTCTGCGGCTAAGCCAGGAGTTGTTGCCCCGTTAGCTGCTCCTCTAGCTGCCCCTCTGGCCTACGCCAATGCTCCTCTGTACGCCGCAGGCGGCAGCAGCCAGGTGGATGTCCGCAACAACTACGACGGAACTCTGTCCTCCTACACCACTGCTCCCTTCGAGTTCACTGCCCCCTACTCCAGCCGCTATGTGTCCGGAATCCCAGCTGCTCCCGCCGTAGTTGCCAAGTACGCTGCTGCTCCCCTGGCTGCTCCCGTTGCTGCTCCTCTAGCTGCTCCAGTCGCTGCTCCTTTGGCAGCTGCTCCTCTGGCCGCTGCTCCTTATGCCGCCGCCGCTTACTCCGCCTACCCCTACGCCTCGCCCTACGCCGCCCCCTACCTGGCATCTCCTTACGCCGCTCCCTACGCCGCTCCCTACGCTGCTCCTATCGCCGCTGCTGCCCCAGCTCCAGTGGTGGTCTAAGGACACCCGTTAACCAAACCAAACTTTAGACAATTTTTGTAAAAATAAAACTTGATATTAAATTTCGAACAAAAAACTATAATTGTATTTTATTTAGACAAACTATAACCTATGAACTAACTAAATTACTAAAAGCAAACTAACCATATCTATGCGTAGAATGTATAAAACTACTTAGATCGATTTAAAAGAAACATATTTATAGGATCTTTCCTATCGAGCTATATGATATGGAAAGAGAATCTTTATAACCCCTTAAAATTATCACTGAATTTCCTTGGTCTTAATCAAGAACTAAATCGGATAAGTAAACTATTCAAAAATTGGTTTAGTAGATTACATACTATATACTATTAAGATACACAGTATATACTACTAATATCTTTGTATAGCTTAACATCGGAATTAAGCTTTGTTCCAATAAAAGTAAAAAAGTGCAAAATATATGAATATTCACTTATGTTTTTGCATTTATTATTGCAAAATTTAAAACATAAATCAATATTTTGAAAAGAATATTTATGACAGCAATATGGCCCACATTTTTTGATAAAATTTTTAAGAGATGTTTGAAATTGGGATTATTAACAAAAGTCAACATACATTTGAATTTCTGAAGTTCAAGTCACAGAAGTTGGTCACTCTGGAAACGGCATTTGTTGTGATTGTGTTGTCACCTAAGGCGCAATATCGATTGTTATTTATGGTCAAAGCAATATTTATGGGTTATCATAATCATATGCCACTTATGGGAAACTGTCAATGCCGGGGCTTGGTTTGGCCCCATGTTATATAATCTTGGGCCGTGCTTTCGAATCGCCCAAGAAGTTATTGGCCTCTCAATCGAAGGCAGTCGCAACAGTCACGACTTGCTGACCAACTAAAGCCGCTTGGGTTACCTCACCTCCAACTATTATGTTCAGTGGGCCAAATCGACGACGAAAGTGAAGAAATGCAAGTGCAAGTCGTTTGATTGGTGACCGCCTCAATTTCCCTATAAATTTTAATCGAATTTGACAATGGCAAGACATTAACAGCCGAACCAACAGGTCGAGCACATCGATCGATAAGCTACTCCCCCAAAGAAACCAAATCCCTTAAGTAAGATGTGGCAACTGACATGGGTGAGGATTCAAGGAAATCTATTCGTTTGGGATTCTTTCTAATTAATCAAGTATTTCTTTAGGCCTTCGCCTTGGCTTTCGTTCTGGTGGGTGCTGACGCCAAACCCTCCCAACTCTTCAATCATCACTTTAACCACTTTGATCCTCATCACCTGAACCACTTCGATGGACACCATCTGAATCACTTGGAGTCCCTGCATGCTCTGCCGCACCACTTGGATTACGCGGTGCAGGAATCAGTTCTCCCTCCGCCAGCAACTTTGCTTCCTGCTGCTGCTCCACCACCAGTCTTTGCTCCTCCATCACCTATTTACGGTCCTGCAGCACCCGTTTATGGACCAGCACCACCGGCACCTGTATTCGCTCAACCGGCACCTGTATTTGCTCCTGCTCCCCTTCTTCCAGCTCAAGCACCACTTCTGCCTGCACCTGCTCCTTTGCTTCCAGCTCCAGCTCCACTTCTGCCAGCTCCTGCACCACTTCTGCCTGCACCTGCTCCATTGCTGCCAGCTCCAGCTCCACTTCTACCAGCTCCTGCACCACTTCTACCTGCTCCTCAATTCCTGCCAGAGTTTCACGTACCGAGTGTCACCCACCAGGTCCTGCCTCCCCTACTGGAGGCGATTCCTTTTGCACCAACCTACCGAGCTATCCCTGGACCCAAAACCACCACCCATCGTGTGTCCATCGGCTACGCCTTCCCCAAACTGCTGGCCGCTCCACATGCCCACCTGAAAGCCCTGCCCCTGAAGTTAGCCCATCATCGCCATCACTCGTTGTGGTGACGAGGAAAAGTATCAAAAGGATGATGGAAACCTCACCAAAGAGTCATTAAAGTCAGCTAGTTAATGTTTATCTACAAGTATACCTGCAAAATATAATAATTTATCGAATAAATATAGTACAATAAAGCGAAACTTAAAGATATATTTTGAACTTTTTTTAATGGAGTTACAAGCCTTAGAATCTTTGATTTCTAACAACTCAAGCATATAAAATGGTTAACAACGAATGGAAATTTCCAAAACATTCTTACCAATAGTACCAAAAATAGAAAACCCATAGAATGTAACTAAGGAAGATAAAATCATAGACACACCAAAAATTAGCCGAAAGGAAAATATTTGATATCTGATTCAGACTCTCATTACGAACCAGACGCCTCGTAATGTCGCCAAATGTGGTTTCATTTATTCGGCCAACACTTGCACAGAAACTATTACCAATATATTGGTAACACACATACACTGGCTTTTTGCGAGCGACAGAAATGTTGTTAGTGAATTTCCAACTGCACGCAACAAGAAATCAAATCAGAAATTCCAGGCACAAAACCCGGCCCAAACACGCGACAATTGTTGCAACAAAAAATGTAAAGTAAAAAAAGTGGTAATTCAATTAAATGATTTAGCCAAGTGGCGGGTGGGTAACACGTATTTTGGGTAAATAATTGCAGCTCATTTCGTTCACCACCCACCCAAAACTGTCATAAACCAAACAAGAAAGAAAAAAAAAACGAAATCTTGCCCAATATTAGCCTAGGTTATGGTCGGGAATTGCGTGCAATTATGAAAGTTTTCGGGGGCGATCGACGTAAGAGGCGACCGATTGATTATTAAGTACATATAGCAGCGCCCTTCATCAGGTCCCAATATAGAAAGTCTTCCAAGGTGTTTTCGTATGCTTGGACACGCATTATCCGTGGGTTACAGAATTATAAAAGCGTTGCCCTGTGGTCAGTTGGGTATCACAGTTCAGTCTGCCTTCCTGCTAATCACACCTAGCCAACCATCCTCAAACCAAGCAATATGTTCGCCAAGATTGTGGTGAGTTTGGGAGGATCTCGGGATTTATATCAAAGTGGATTTATACTAACATATATTTGTATTTCCAGCTCGTTGCCCTCTGCGTGGCCTCTGCCCAGGCTGGTCTCCTGCCCTTCCATGCTCCTGCTCCCCTAGCTGCTCCTTTGGGAACTCCTTTCGCTGCTCCTCTGGCAGCTCCATTGGCTGCTCCTCTGGCTGCTCCTGTGGCCACTGCTGGCGTGGTGGCTCCCTATGCCTCCAGCTTCAATGCCCACCGCATCAACCACGCCGTTGCCTACCCAGTGGCTCCTGCACCCGTTGCCTTCGCTGCTCCCGTTCCCGCTCCCCTTCCCGTCCCTGTGGCTGCTCCCGCTCCAGTGGCCTTTGCTGCTCCCGCTCCTCTGCCAGTGGCTGCTGCTCCTGCTCCTGTTGCCTTTGCTGCTCCCGCTAAGGTTGGATTCGGTGTGCCCGCCTTCGCCGCTCCTGCTCCAGTGGCTGCTCCTCTTGGATTCGCCCCTGCCCCAGCGCCAGTTGCCTTCGCTGCCCCAGCCAAGTTTGGATTCGCACCCTTCGCCGCTCCCCTGGCTGCTCCAGTGCCAGCACCTCTGGCTGTGGCCCCCAAGTTCGCCCCCGCCCCATACTTCTTCTAAGGATATAGTCACAGGATCACCAAACTCACTCCCATCCGTCCTATTAGCTTGTAGAACTTAGCCCAAATCTTCATACCTAGAGAGCAGCAATGCTTGGCGAATAAATAATTAAATCATTAATCAAAGTATTTCGAATCTTCTCTTGGGGGGTATCTAGCGCCTATCATTGATACCTTAGGATATAGCTCTTACGGTCATGATTGAGAGGATTAATGCTGTTTAATATTGGAATCAGTATCGTCGGACCTATGCATTTAAACCCTTTCCAGCAAAACGAACAACCTTTTCTTAATATTACTTTTCTTTTATTTATACTTAAAAGATTAATTTTAAAATATATTTCCACACTAATCTTTTCTAGAATCTCTTGTGCTTCACATGACCAATCCTTTGGAAGAGCGGAACATGTTCATAGGGCGTGTGAGAAACCGGCACCGAATCGTAGGTGACATGGGCTATTTTGGTAAGAGGTGCCACAATGGTGTAGCCAGGATGTTGAGCGGACTCCTGGGGCGTGGAGGCAACCGGCAGAGGATGATGATAGATCAGAGGGTGATGGTAGATAACCGTGGCGGTCAGGCACCCACTCAGAAGAGTAAAAAACACAAAAAGCTACAAAATAAATGAAAGATCAGATGGCTATAAGTGAAACTGAGAACTAAGCCCGTTTACCTTGAGCATTCTTGGGTGATATTCTGGCTAGAACTGCACTTGGACTAAACTGAAACCATCCGAAGGCCAATCATTTTATAGGCTCGTCTTCATCGCTGGCTTTCGATCCACTATTGAACTGTTAGTAACCGGTTGACAATCCCCTGAAATACCCAACTGCATTTCCTTCACCACCACCGGGAACCTGTTGCAACATCTATATAGTGGGAGCACTACTACTCCACTTGGCCTTTTGTCCCCTTCTCTTCGACAACAACAAAAAAAAAGAAGAAAACCCGTTTTCAAGTTCAAGTTTAAAGCGTCTACGCCGAAGATTGTCAAAGAGTCAGTGACTCTTTTGTGCACTTAATTATGGCATATCGTTGGTTTTTGTTGTCTTACATTTCTCTGCCTTTTGTTTGTTTATAGGTTGTGAGTTAGTTGGCCGCACGTCTTTGGATTTGCCTAATGCTTACCCGTTTTTATGTCTTTTTTTCCAAATTAAATTAAATCATTGCCCAATCTTGTGTTTTTCGTGGTATTTTATGTTTGGTTTCGGAGGTGTTAAGAATTGATTAGTTTGACTTTATTCGGCGGCTGCTCGTGTTTCTTCTGCTTAAGCTGTTATAATCGCTGTTTCAATACTAGGGCATTCCCTATATAGGAGGTGGAAAACTTTAGATAGAGTTTATTGGCCAACTAGCTATGCTTAACTAGATATTTACATATATAAATGAGTAGGTTGAAAATGAGTTTGATTTGTGAAACAAAATACAGTTTATGATCAACATTTTGTATTTAGACAGTACTAATTTCATGAAAGTCAAGTTAATGATCAATTTTATGAAGTGAGAATATCAGAATGCCTTAATTTTTACTCACTTAATCCATCAACAGTTTAGAAAGCCCGAAAATCTGGTTTAATCTCCCCAACTATCTCCCAAACAAACATCTCAAGCTCATTGACCCCAAGCCAAGATCACAGTTCTCTGCAGAAATCATTTGATTAGATCTGAGTCACATGAATGTACCGATGGAAAAGGCCACCCACTAGACTTAGACTGCCCACAGGCCTAAGAAAAAACTGGAACTGGAACCATTGTGGACTGGTAAATGCCAAACTTGATTGCAGATTATACAATGGTGGCCCAAAAGGCGAGAAACAGGTGTTGGAATTTGTTTTTATTTACTGGCGGCAGCTAAGGATGGTTTTGTGGCATGCCACAGCTGACTTGGGCAACTTGCCGATTGAATTAGATTTACTTTGTTGCACTGTTTATTAGATCATCGATGTCCATGTGAGGATGCAATCCACCGCACTGGGATTTGGTATAAAAGAGCCGCGTTGGGATCAACTGCAGCAACACTAGTAGTTCAGCCTCTCCAGCAGCAGCCGGAAAATTACCAACAGCAAGATGATTAAAGGAGTAAGTAGTTAAAGGATACCAATGGGATAATCTGTCCATTCATCCTTCAAACCTCTAAACATATCTGGATTACATTTCCAGCTGACACTTGTGGCCATCGTCTGCCTGACAACCTCCATCCTGGCAGCTCCTGCTCCCGAACCAGCTCCAGAACCAGCTCCTGCTCCAGCTCCTTCACCCAGTATTGGCTTTGGAATTGGACATGGCTACGGTGGATATGGCCTGGGATTGGGTCTAGGATTTGGGCACTACGGAGGGCACTATGGTGGACACTTTGGGGGAATCGGTCTAGGACTGGGCTACCATGCACCAATCATCTCCAAGACGATCATCGGTAAGAGCTACCTTGGTGGCTATGGCTACGGCCTGGGACATGGATATCTCGGAGGCTATGGACATGGACTTTATGGAGGACACGGTCTGGGGCTGGGATACGGACTGGGCTATGGATACGGCCATGGTTGGTAGAGCTGCTCCCAAGTCCAGCCGAAAGTCAAGACGAGCGTGCAACATGTGAGAGTTTTCAATCGAGTCATTTACTTCGCAGAACCCAAAACATAACATTAGCCTTAATCAGTCAATCAATCACTCAGCAAGTCAATAAATCAATAAAGACAAAGCAAGAAATGTAAACGAAATAAAAATTAAGTGTTTTTACAAAGTGGGTCAAATGAGCTAATGGATTCGACTTCAGAATTCTAAAACGTATGGAAAATGACACTGTCTATCTAAAGAATAGCTTTTATTTGCAGATTTTTCTTATCTTTTAAATCAGAGGTACTCAACGCCTATCATCGATAGGCGCTTTGAGCGCTCGCGGAGCTATTCCACCAACAATTTTTCGTGCTCCTCTTTCCGCGTCGTTCCGTCTCCAATTTGTTCTTGTTTTTTTCCTAGACCATCCTCGAACACTTGCACTGCAACTCATTCTCTATAACTTCTCTGAGCACTTTAGAGTTTCTTTCGCATTTGGCGAGTCAGCAAAATGAGTGATGAATTGGTTAGCAAAAAAAAGTTTATTTTTCTCTCAGTGCACAGCTGCAAACCAACACAAAAACGTCACCAAATATATGCAAGCTCTCTTGTATTTGTGCAAGTAAATGCTCTGCGGTAAGACGAATTTAATTTATATTATTAAGAAACTAGCAAATATTTAAGTCCTTCAACTTCGAATTAAAAAAGATTAAAAACAAAAACTTTTTTTCAAATTCAAACGAAATATATTTTCTCATCAAATCCACTTTTCATAATCGAATTTTCCATAATTTGATTTCTTAGCACAAAATCTCTGCCATTTCCTTTCTCTCTCGTTCTCTTTTCCTCTGTGTATTTTCTTCTTCTCTCTCTCCGATCCAAACGAAACGAATGCAATGCAGAAAACGATGTTGTATAGGATGGACGATCCTTACCAGCCATGGGCAAGACCATAGCCAGGAGCGGCCAGAGCTGGATAGGCCGTCTTGTAGCCCAGTCCCAAAGGAGTAGCCAGAGGAGCATGAGCTAGACCCAAGGAACCATGGGCCAGACTGAGAGGAGCAGAGGCCAGGCCCAAGGAACCATGAGATAGACCAATGGGACCATGACCCAATCCCAATCCGTAGGTGGAAATAGCCGGAGCAGCCAGAGGAGCGTGCGCCAATGCAGGAGAGGCATAGCTAATCCTGGGGGCCAATCCGTAAGAGGCAATCGATGGAGCGGCCAGGGCATGACCATAGGAGATGGCCGGAGCAGCTGCAGCCAGCGGCAAGGCCGGAGCAGCTAGTCCGCCCAAATATCCAGGAGCGGCAGCAACGCTGGCCAGGCAGAAGACGGCAAAAACGAACTATTTATTTGAAAAAAAGAAGATATAGTAAAATGATCTATCTGTAAGGACCTTAGATCCACTTACGTATTTGAACATTTTGGTTTTTGGTGCAAGTTGAACTCGTGGCAAGAACACAAAGCTGAATAATGCCGCTGTCTAAGGCACAAATGCTTTTATAGCCCAAAGACTTGGCCAAAATGTTGCACGAGAACGGAGACCCAAGCTGGAGGCCCAGAGACTTTTACTTTTGTTCAATGGAGAGACATGGCCCAAAACTGAGTCCAAGAGAGCGACATGCCAAGCTGGCCTGTCGAGTATCGAGATGGCGATAGAGGCCTGGGACCCACCGGAGAACCGCCTTGCCCCGCCCCAGCCAACGCGGATGTTTGCCTGGGCTGAGATTGGCCATACCCTTTCAGCAATAGGTGTTGCAATATTTAGTAGTAAGGGATAGGTTAATAGAAAAGATTAACTTAAAAGAGGGTAAAGAATTTAAAAATTATTTAAAGGGCAGCCTTACTGGTTAAATTAATTAAAACAAACATATTGTAAATATTCCTTAATTTTAAACATAATTTAATGCAATTTATTCTTTCTCTTTTCCAAGTTCGTTTCAGGTACTCCTTCTTAGTACAAGTTCTTAGTAAGTTCTTAGAGAAGACTTAATGGCACTTCCTTATGAATTACTCATTATTAATATTAATTATTAAGCAAGACATTTTCTGTACTCAGCATATAAAAGTAATTTTAAGTATCTGAACAAGTAAGTATCAAGCTCCTAAGTTTCAATGACTAACCTTTAAACGCTTTACTTTTTAATGAATTTTCGACAAACCGACTTTTAAGCATAGGGTATTTCCACCTCGATCAACTACTCCCCATTTTCCGATTTGGTTTTGAATAATTTCTGATAAATTTGTTTTTGGTCTATTTACCTACTGCCGCCGTCGACGAGGTGTGTGTGAGAAAAAACTTAAATTGCATTTTGTATCTTGCCTTATGCGGCTCTTGTATGCATTTATTTCCATGCAGCCAACGAGTTTCGCTTATTCCGCCGTTTAAAAACATTTAAATAAGCCGCTGCGAATGCGTGAGCCTATTTGGCTGGTAGAAATTTTCAGCGCTAAATGCTCGAGCATTCAGAGCCAAAGTCTTAATTACAACACAGACACAACACTGGGCCAATGAAAATGGGGCGTGGCAGTAACACACCTGTGCGTAAAACCGTAGCAAAACCAGATCCGCCTCGAGATCGTTTTATGTGGGGCAAACTTTAATGTGCGTTTAGAACAATAACCGATCGCTTGGCAGGGGCGTGGGCAAGGTCGTCGGTTGTGCAACGAGTGGGGATCCTGGGCCAAACAACGCCTCTGGCTGTGGTAACTTATGAACTGGTGCACCCATAACTCATGCAACTGCAGCAACAATGCCGAAGGAACTGCGGCTGCCAGTTAATTGCCGGCGACCCACTCTATGCATAATTTTGAGACAGCGTTTTACGCAAGCCCAAAGCACTTAACACTTATGAAAAGGGGCGGGGCTAGCAAACGGGGGAGATCGGGGAGTCACTCCAGCACTTGTTGAAATGCCCGCCCTGCAGGCAGCAGCCTGGCCCAAATGCATGCGTGAATTTAACACCTTTCTGTGGAAACTGAAAAATAATCATTGAGAAATGTTTGCAAAACTAAAAAGTTACTACATTTCACAAAAATTGTTATGACTATAAGCAATCCAGTTTTTTAATGTTTTCTGGTTTTTTAATCTTTTACTTTCATTAAAATAATTTCTTTTCGTTAGTCCACTTAAAGCGAACTAAAACCAGAAACTATTTGTTAAATCCAACATTGATTTATTTTTAAATTCAAACCACTTTGGTAACAAAGGGTTAAGGAGAAGGCTTTGCCTCGTCCAGAAAAAGCCTGCGGGCAAATAGAAAGGCAAAAAGCCGGTGACAATAACAAGCTGGCCAAGAAGGGGGAGTAGAGGCCCAGCCAGGTTCCCAATGCGTAACTCGAAGGAGATTTGCATACGCATACGCCGTGTGGGCGATACCGATGGCGACTGGACTAGCCGAAGTTCTACAACCGCTTCGAGCTTTTCGGGTTGTAAATCAAACTTGCCAAGCATTTCAATTAAGAGCCTCCTGAGATCCGGCTTGGATCGCAGTTGCCTTGCCTTGCTGATATCTTACACAGTGCGAAAAATTGCTGGCAATTAATTTTGTGGCACTTGTGCAACACAGCGATTAAATCAAAATGCAATTTATTGGTCACCCGAGTTGAAATGCGAGCGCTCTGGGATCGGGTTTTTTCTTTTTAATTCGTTATTGATGTCTCCGCAAATTGATCGCAGCAAGTTCTAATCGCCGCAGACTCGCCATTATCGCCCCAATGCTCTCGAATGACAGTGTACAACTGTCAATTAGACAAGATTGTTGTAATCGCCGGAGCTGTGGGTAAACAGCGGGGGGTAATTATAGCATTCGGGCCTGGGAGTCTCCTTGTTGGTTAAAGAGATATGCGTATGGCTAATTGGAGGTAGGTAGGTGGGAATTCATATTCAATTTGGATAAGGCAATCGGGGGATCTATATCAAGTTAAAGTTGTTACGGATCGTCGTTATTTACAGTATATTGACAGAATGGCTACTTTTAAGCTGAAATTCGTTATTAAAAAACATTTAAATTCAACAAAAACTGTTTAAAGTGCAGTACTTAAAACTATTTTCCTTAATTTTAACCAATAAAGCAACCTCAAGCAGCTCTTTCACAGAGAGCCCGCAGCTGTAGCCTGGGAAACCGACCGTTTAAGTGCAACTTCTGGGGCTTCGGCAATTATAAATCGCGAGGGGACCACCTTATTGATGGGGCGTGACCATCAAGACAAAAGGCAGTGTTAAAATTTTAATTTAATTTCCCGACTGCAGCCACAAACAAGTAAATTAACGGCAAGAAGTGCAACAATACGTGCAGCAGGGAGGTAGGTGTATGTGTATTATTTTCCGAGTGGGCGTGACAAAGGCGTTGAAAACAACGAAGAGAATTTCAAATCAGCGCGACTCAAAGACTTGAATTAATTTGCAAAAATTTAGTTTCTTAGTTAAATGTCGTTCGCTTGATTTGATTTTCATATTTCGTAGTCAGTTGCATGCGGCGTTTGATTAATGCCAAAGTTTGGCTTGGGTGGGTTCAAGTAAGGCGTGGCTTCGTTTAACTTATTGATTGTTGGTGATTAGCAAAATGCAATTTAAGCGGCGCCTTTTAATTGAGTGCAATATTCGCAGTGGAACTAGCAGCTACCAATGACCTCTAAGCCGACACACACGCAACTTGCAATCAAAATGATAAACAATGCCGCTAGCTGGTCATAAAAACCACGTAGGGTCAGGGCTATAAAGGGGTGCTAGCTGCGTAAACAAAGCTCAAGGATTACGTCGAGAAACGTGGCGAAATGTCGATGAACCGGAATGAGCGCACAAAACAGGCAAAACACCCTTTGAGGACACTTTGTCTTCGGGAAACTGGCTAAAAGGAATAGTGGTCTAACTCATACTTGCCTTCGATTAAAGTGTTTGAAGTTGGTCGAATTAAAAAAAGTTTAGTTTCAATATGAATATATATATGGAGAGTAGAATGATTATTATTTCTAAATTGTTATTGAACTCTATCAAATTGGCAATTTGAATTTTGTCGAATAACTAGAAGTTTCCCTTTTATAAAATTTAAAATTTTATTGAAAACCCAATCTATTTATATTCAAATTTATAAATAAAACTGATTGTAAGATTTCCAAAGAGTAAACCGTATTAAATAGTTTCTCTCTTTCACAATTCCCACTGCCCACTTCCAGATTAATTTCAAACGGAAAGAATAAAACTCGTTTCAGTTCTCAGTCGGTCATTGCGTGGGCCTGATGCATTGCGTTTTTATTTGTATTTGCCTCCGAGCGTGTATCTCCATCTCCGCCTGTATCTCTATCTGTATCTGTATCTTTCTCTGCTTCTGACGATGTCTGGTGAACACGTGCGGCATCCTGGCACAGGATCCCTTCAGCATCCTAGGACATCTTCTTACTTCTTCAGGATGGTGGCCACAGGGGCGGCGGCATAAACGGCTGGCACAGCGGCACTGTGAGCCACACTGTGGGCACTGTAGCTGCTGGCATAGGGGGCAACATAGGGGGCGTAGGCAGAGGTGTAGGCGGCGGTGTAGGCGAGGGGAGTGGCAGCTGGCAGGGAGCTGTAAGCCAGGGGGGTGGAGTAGGCCAGAGGAGCGTTGTAGGCCAACAGACCAGGACTGGCAGCAGCGGCGGCGAACAGAGCGCACAGGACAACGGCGAACTGCAGGATAAAAGGTATGGAAACATTAAAAGATTTAGAAGAAGTCCTTAATATTGCTTTTACAAGTCATTCTAAGTATGTCAGGCAAACTACTTTCTGATGATATCCTTAAACCACATATATTTCAACTTACGAATTTCATCATTTTGATAGAGTTGTGTTAACTTCGAAGCTTGACTTCTGATTGATGTCAGTGGATAGTTTGGAAGTAGTTTATATAGTCAAATATCCATTTCATCCTTGACGAAGCCCACTGGAAGCTAACAATATTTTAAAACATTTCCATCACGTACCATGGCTAAATCAGGGCCAACAATTCGGTTGGATTTTAGTAGCAGTATACTTAAAAATTTTCAGATCTGTATTTGATATGCTTGCAGATAGTACGCATTTCTTGGGAATTTATTTCCAATAAATGTTTTTTATTCCTTCGCAGCCTGAGCATTTCCGCGACTGGCGTCAGCAGCTGCCGATTGCGGATTAAATTATCATAATTTAACACTCAGTGCGTTTTGTGGGCTATGGACGTGCGTGTCATTCCAACCAATCATGGACATCTTCGGTTTTCTGCTCACTCTTTACGTTTCAATTGTCAGCCACTTGAACGCGCCGCGCCGCTTTGCATTCTAATCAGAGATGCAAATAAAAATAGAAGCGGTTCATCCAGTTTCGAAGGACGTCAGCGAGTTGAACCTCTAGTTTATGGTGGCGGACAACTATGGCAGGGAATCGTTAGCCTTGGATCAAGGGCTCTGGGAGTTCAATAAACCTGCCGTCTTGTTGACCCTTTTATTGCAGTGTAAACATGGCCATGACAACGAAGAACGCAGTTTCCTTTACATTTTATAGTTTTATTGAAAAAATAATAAACTTTGTAGGTACCAAGATGATAGAAAAATTGACTAAGATTTTTTATTTAGTCATTTTAATAAAAGTTTTACTTCCAAACGTATTGTTTGTTAAACTAATTTAATAATTGCATAATCCGTTTTTCCAAAATACATTCTTATTTATCTGAAAACAAATTCTGACAAACGTTCTTATTTATCTGAAAAAATATCTTTTGATTCATCCAAATACATTTTATTAAATAATTTCTTGCAAATGTAATGCGGATACTGGAACTAAATCATCTACCATTCATAGATAAAAGAAAATTTAAATCTTTAACATTTAATTTGTGAATATATATAAGTATATAAGAATATACGTTTATATAGTGTAAGCCATTATTAACTTGTTTTGACTTTTAAATTATTTTTTATTAAGTATTTACTTTACTATGCTGCCTAAAAGTATGCTATAATACATATTATCCCACATCACAAGAGCAGATAAATTCAACAAAATGATTTACGTTTCACGCAAAATGCATTATTTATTTCAACAATTATATTCCTTTTTTATATTTGTATGTCCTGATCCCATGACTTAACTTTCAGCAGTCGGCAGAGGTGGGAAAACTAAGAATCTGCCGAACTAATACCAGGGATGGTAAGGTGGATAGCAGTGGGATGAAGTAGGTTGGTTATCAGGGAAGTATCCTTGTTGTAATATAGATGATTTTCTCAGGTCCGGTTCAGTAGTCAGAGGATCCATGTTCACAATCTATCTCATCTTAACGGTAGTAGGCGGCATAAGGGTAGGCGGAGTAGGCAGAGGCATAGGGATACGAGTAGGCGGAGTAGGCAGCGGCCACTGGTGCGGTGTAGGCAGCGGTGTAGGCAGCAGAGTAAGGAGCAGCAGCCACATAGGGAGAAGAGTAGGCACTGTAGGCCAATGGAGCAGCAATCACCGCTGGCTTGGCAGCCACACAAGCCACGATGGCGAACAGGCAGAGAGCGAACTAGAAGTATAAGGAAAATCACTGTAAGTAATCCTTTGATTCCCGAGAAGCCAGTAATCCTTTAATCCTTACGTATTTGAACATGTTGATTGGTTGGTTTAGTTGTGAACGGTTGGTTCTCAAGTACTAGACTGATATCTCCTAGACCACAGGCCCTCGGGTATATATAGCAGAATCGGTCGAGAAAATTCCAAGCCCCAAAACAGCGAAGGTGATGCCTGCGAATTGGTATTCACAAACCATTCTCAGATCGGTTCCATGTCCACTTTTAAAGCCAGCCAAGGAGAATCTTTAGCATTATGGCTTTGCACTTTTGGTTTCATTTGGTATTTTTAAAAGCGTGACGAAAAGCGAAAAACAAATCGAATGTGAGGGCGTGTTTTGCATATAAAACATGGGCTTGATATTGATCCATCGATCGGCGATCCAAGACTTGGAATGACCCACAAAAAACTGCCGGGTTGGGTTCAGAAAATTATAAAGCTGGGTTCTGTGTCTCCAATCATGTTTATTTCGTTGTCAGAACGTTAGGCAATCAGATCTTATCAGCTTGGATTAGCTATGTACAGGAAATTAGTAAGTCTCAAGCGGTTTACCGCCGAGAAGTCGATGCACTTGCTCAAAGATGATGAGCCCTCGCCACCGGTGGCCATTTCAGGTAGCGTTCCTCCTCCTTCTCCTTCTGATCCACTTGGCTGCTGCTGGTCAGATCCAGGATGCTGCCGAGGAGATCGACGTACCGCCTGCCCATCGAGCTGCACCACCACCACAACCGCAGGCAGCTGGAGCTGCTGCTCCCCCACCACCACTGGGCCCACCACCACCTGTGGGCTCTGTACCGCCACCGAGCTATCCTTTGTTCTACCCAGCTGCGTGGCTGCCATTCGGACGTTACAGCGCCTCCATTCCCCTACACATAATAACTGCCTGAGGGCTCGTCCTGTCACTGACCATAAGCTGGTCAAAGGACACTGTTGCCCCTCCTGTTGAATCCCCGCTTTGCTGTTACTGTTACTCGTTTTGTAATTGTTTTATTCGAATGAAATACAATATATTTTTAGATACGCATATGCATAATTATTATTTACTCATGGTGTTGACGCAACTTTCAGCCGGCACTTTTCAAATGGCCAACACGTGACTCTCCTACGAGAGATGCTCCGGTGTCCACATATTTTGAGGAATCTATCACTTTTGCTATTTGCATTTTGTCAATGGGTTGTGACGCAACTCATCTGGCATTTATTCAGTTCATTTCCGCATTTTTAATGGGAAGAATAGGCTTAACATAGAATATGATACTGAATGTGGTTTTCAATGAGAGGTAAGCATGTAAGCAAGTAAGTTAAAGAATTTTGTTTACCTTTAAGAATTGATTAGTTAGTTAATTACTTTGTATAATACTTTTAAAAATAATTACGGAATTTTGTAAAGGAAAATATTCATGTTTCCTTTTAAAGGACTACATCTGAAAAAGAATATGGAATCAAAAACATTTTTCATATCACGTTCAAATCTGTCAATGAGTCTATAAGCCAATGCAAGGCAACCATTTCCCCAACCCCCTTTTCTAGGAACAATGTTTTAAAAGTTTTAGTTTGATTGATTTTTATTGCTAGTCAGGTTCATTCCTAGTCCATTTCGAATCCGTTTTATGTTTTAGGTAATTCCTCTTACAAGACAGTGGTGTAGCCTGCGGCATATGGGTAAGCAGCATAGGGGTAAGCAGAGTAGGCAGCGGCCACAGGAGCGGAGTAGGCAGCGGCAACGGGAGCGGTATAGGCAGCAGCAACAGGAGCAGTGTAAGCAGCAGCAACAGGAGCGGTATAGGCAGCAGCAACAACTGGAGCAGCAGCAATGCCGTTGAAGTTGCGGGCGACGTACTGGGAGCTGGTGGCGGTGACAACTCCAGCTGGAGCAGCGGCAACCACAGGAGCGGCGGCCAGGACAGCGGGCTTGGGCTCAGCCACAGAGGAGGCCACCAGGGCGCACAAGACAACGAGGGCGGACTGTAAGAAATGAGGCAGTTAAATCCTGTCTAGAGATTTGGATATAGAAAACCATCAACCCACCAGCTTGAACATGTTGGTTTAGTTTGATTTGAGCTAGCAAATTGGACTATGATTTGATTCGCTTGGGCTTGCAACTTTTATAGTCCATGGAACTCGATCGGATGCTTTTGAATTTCTGGGCACACACGATAATCGGGCGAATGATTCTATACCGCCTGCATGGGAATGCAGAACGGCCTTTGAGTGGCTCAATTTGCCGTTTGGCTACGTGCCCACCGCTCGGGGAGGTCGATCCGAAACCGAATCGGAATCCGAATCGGAATCCAAAACGCATCCATTATTTTGGGCACGTCCGCATTGTGGGCCCATAAAAGTTGTCGCCGCGAAGGTAACCAGTAGCCCGATGTGATTGATGCCACCAGACAAAGCTAATTGCCGATGAGTAACCTCTTGTGCCAAGAGTTGGCCAGGAATCAATGTAACGCCTCACGCCTTAATCCGATTGCGAATGCATCGTTTCAGGGTTACGTTCGACGAGTGCAATCGACTTTATGCAACCATCACAGCACACGCCCACCATGTCGTCGCCATCGTTCAGATCCTCTGCCGCCAAAATCTAATCTGTTCTACTGATGCAACGAGGCTCAATCTCGCCCACTGGCCAAAACGCCAGTTATGCGCATTCGCTGCTATCGAGAAAGGTCAACAAACTAACTGGAGAGATGCAATTTCGAGGGGGTCGAAAGATATCAGTGGCACTATAGTTAGCAGACAGCGCTTAATAAGAGTCAAGCTCAACTTACCAGCCATTCACAATCGAAGCGTGCCTATATGGTTATATATCTCTGCTGGAAAAAGAAACCAGACAGATTGAGGTTCTAAAAGGGGAAATCTTTTGGGGAAGGGAGGTTAACCAAGTCAATACCCTTTGAATTGGGTGACTCCAAGTACTAAGTGTTAGTTAGATGGATTAATCTTTAAAGGGAATGTAAGAATATAAACAAGATAAGAAATCTTAAAGAAATACTTTGTGTTATAAATAAGGGTTTTAATCAAAGTCATGATATTGCGATTTATGTTTTTAACAGCAAAATATATATTTGATTTTTAAGAGAACTTTAAAGATGGAAGTTATAGTTCTTACTTAAAACTTAATATAACTCTAATAAGAGTACGAATATAAACAAAACAAAGTGCAGACCGACAATTTTTATCATCATACAGCTGTAGGCTACTGAAAGCTGCCAATCTTTGAGGGAGCCAGATAAAGTCAAATCAATATATATAAAACACATATAGTACATTCATTGAGTGGAAGCTGGAGTGCAGTCTGAGGTTTTGCATTACTGCAGTTTACAATGCTGATTGACGGCGAGCGGTTCGTAAAGAAAAATATGAATAAAACGCGATGGATACCCGTAATGATCCTCATCCTTATTCTAACGATAAAAGAAAGTAAAGCCAGCGGTGGAGATGTACCCTTGCGATGCGACGAGTACAATCCCATGGGATATATGGACGTGAACGAGGCCTTTTGCACAGTAACCGGATTCACGGTCACTCACAGCCAGAATATCGTGATCAAGAACATATCGCCCGGCAATATGGTGAAGTTCATGAAGTTTTACGAGTCGACGCTGCTATATATGCCCTTCCATCTCTTCGAAACGTTTCCATATCTAAAGACCCTGGACGTATCGAATACAAACATTTTGGAGCTAACCAGAAATGCCTTCAGTGCGGCCAGTAATCTTACCTATCTGAATCTGGCCTATAACAACTTGACTTCCATCCAGACATCGGTATTCAATGGAGCTAGTAATTTGATGAGATTGGATCTTTCCTATAATGAAATATCTTCACTGAGCGTTAATGCTTTCTGTGGCTTGCAGAACATTGGCCAAATATATCTAACTGGCAATCTGCTGACGGAGCTGCACAATGATATTTTCAAGGATAATGAGTATCTGGAGAAGATATCCTTCGAGGGGAATCTGCTGGCCAGCATTCAACCGGAGGTTTTCCGCAATATGAGGCGGATCAAGGAGGTGAATCTATCCAACAACCAACTCGTTTTCATCCATCCGGATACCTTTGCCGATGCTGCAAGCTTGGAGAATCTGATGTTGTCCTACAATAAGTTGAAAGACTTTTACCTAACGGAAAAGAGCATCGTCCACCAGCTGTACTTGGATAATAACAATCTGACCAATTTGACCATTAATGCCACACGATTCGTACGCGCCAGTCACAATCAAATTTCGAAGCTTATTTTGCATCAGATTCTGCACATCGAAACATTGGATTTGAGTAGCAACAAATTAACTAGTCTATCCAACATCACAAACATTACCTACTTGCTCTCCCTGGACGTCTCGGATAATCCCATTGAGCCTCTGAACATCAGCACCTTTTCGCAACTCAAAAGACTGAGAGGGTTAAATCTTCGAGGAACTGGCATCCGAGAGGTGAAGTTTGGAATGTTTTCAAAGCAGAAATACTTGGAGGACCTGGACTTATCGTTCAACAACTTGACCAGCCTCAATCTGGATATGTTTGTGCCGTATCTGACTAACCTGAAAAAGTTCCTAATAGACGGCAATGGACTAACGGAGCTCCTGGGTAATCGTACGATTTCCGAAGCCTTCCCACTACTTCAGAAATTGGGAGTTTCCAGAAATCGCTTTAATTGCACCTATCTGCACCGTCTCCTTATTCCACCTTCGCTTCCCGAATCTGTGGTGCTGAATATCGAACCGGATAACAACCTGGAGGAGACCCCACATATCCGGGATGTCTCCTGCATCAGTCAATCTCAAATGCTGGTCAATGCCTCCTTCACCGCCGAAGAGTCCCGCCTCGAAACTCAGATCCTCACCTTGTCAAAGCAGCTGGACATTGTGGGAATTCACTCGAAGAATCTGGAACTTCACCTGGTTTTCATGCAGGTCTTTGCCTACGTTTTGGGCAGCATGGTCCTGGTGGGCATGGTGGCGCTTATAGTCCTCCGGCATCTGAAGAATCGTCGATCCGGTCGATACGATCGCAGCAGCATAGTCTTCCGCTCCAACGCCACAATGGAAGCTAATCTGACCCTGGGCAGTGAAGATCTTCAGTAATTCCGCACAAATGACTTTTAAAACACTCAAAAAATGTAAAATAATGACAAATATAAAAAAGAATAAATTTTAATATGTAACTTAGGAGGTAAAATAAAATGGATAAGTCAAAATATTTTATTAATATATTTCATTAAGTTATTGCTTTTACAAAGATCTTTAATTAAACTTTTATTTTTTTTTTCAATAATAATCTTGACTATAAGAAGTTGTAGGCATAACTTGAGATGTGAAATGTAAAATGCGGAAATAAAATTGATAAAAAGTCATTGAGAAAGATGAGAAATAGTTGCGGGTTTATCTGAGACGACCTTGCAGTCCACAGAAGTGGCTTCCTGTGTGCCATTGAGTTCTGATAACTTCGAGCTAAGACCTTGAAACCTCGAGAGATCATCAATTGTAACGCCTTTTCATAAATCAAACATTTCCTTTCAATGTATAAGTAAATGCATCCTTCAAGATACATTTTTATTCATTAAGTTTATTTAAAAAAAAATAAATATTGGCAAAAATTTTTACTAATTTTTAACATTTTTTACTGAAACCACAAGTTAGTTTGTAAGCGAGAAAATTGCTGAAATAAAATAAAAGGATAAAAAAGGCAAATTTGATTCGGTTTTTATAGTTCTTTTATTATTTTTTCTTTTTCAGTTTGTGAAGTTCCTAGGAGTCCGGTAGTTTTGATCAAGCATCCTACTTCTTCAGCAGAAGGGGAGCGGTGTAGGGAGCAGCAACATAGGGAGATGCCACATATGGAGACGCCACATAGGGAGAAGCCACATAGGGAGAAGCCACATAGGGAGATGCCACATAGGGAGATGCCACGTAGGGAGCCGCGAAGTTGCCGTGGTATTCCCGGCTGTAAACAGCAGACGCCGGAGCAGCAGCCACCAAAGGAGCAGAGTAGGCCAGAGGAGCGACGATTCCAGGCTTGGCAGCCACGCAGGCAATCAGAGCGAAGAGGGCGACGGCGAGGAACTTGAACATCTTGGTGGATTTGGTTTGTTTTGATTTGCTGGCAAACGAAACTGATGACAACTGCTGGATGAGCACGGCGTTTTATACCGAACCGACCACCCACAATTAGCCTTGGCACTTAAGTTTAGTAGTTATATTTCTTGGGCCAACATTTAATTAGCTAAAGTACTCGATGTCGTACCTTAATGCGTTGGGTAAAGTCAACTGCGCATAGTACGTGACTGGCCTAAGCAATATAATTTAGTTTTTGGACCGGAGACCTTGCAAGGTCGTTAGGCATTCGGTTGTGGGGCTATAAAAGCCACGGCTCTGGTCTGTTTTAGACATCAGTTGCATTTGTTCAATCCGACAAGTAAAACCAAAAAAACAAACCAATCCAAGATGTTCAAGTTCGTCGCCGCCGTTGTCTTCGCTCTGTTTGCCTGCGTGGCCGCCAAGCCTGGAATCGTCGCTCCTCTGGCCTACTCTGCTCCGTACGTGGCCTCGCCGTACGTGGCGTCTCCGTATGTGGCATCTCCCTATGTTGCTGCCCCATACACCGCTGCCTATGCCGCCCCCTACACCGCCGCCTACGCAGCTCCCTACACTGCCGCCTACACAGCTCCCTATGCCGCAGCCTACACCTCCCCTCTTCTGCTCAAGAAGTAGGTTTCCGGAAGGATGGCCAACATCGGAGGATAGCAGATTGACACTAGCAATGATACTGAAATAAACCCGCAAACAAACGAACACATTTCTCTTTTATTTGGGTGGGGGTTCAAAGGAAGCTTCCAGGCGTCATCGGTATAAGTTGGCCTATATAGAAGAGATTTAAAAATGAAACTTCCTTTAAAATATACAAGACAATTGGTCGGTTTAAGGATTGCGAATATGTTAAGCCTTCAGCTTCATATATTACTATGAAATAAAAAAAATGTTTACCTTTTTCCACATAAAAATTATGAAAACAGCATGTTTAACTATAAGCACGACACAATACCTTGCATGGTAACAAAAGAGTCCACAAACTAATAATAATTAAGGATAATTATCTGTTGCCCGCCCACATGTTGCCGGGCGTGCAGCGCTTCCATTCCGGACACAACACACAGCGTTTAGACAATGCAACGTGCGACGTATAAAATTAGATGCCGTGGCGTATACATAATCTGCGCCAAGTCACAAACAGAAACAACCCAATTCTTCCAAAGAGTTTTGCATATATTTTATTTGATTATTATATAAAATTAGGTTGAAGTCAAAAAATAATTCCACAAACCAGCCCAGAAGTATGCTACCATTTTGGTTATTGATCTCGCCAAACAGTGTGTATTAACCCTTAGGCCATGCATTGTAGTTGACCAGACTTCGAGTTTTGAAACCGAAGCTATTGAACACCTGCAGGTTGGCTGACCAGCTCAGGGTGAATGAAATGTTCCCGAAGGGGTCAAGAACCACCCTGTGCTTCACTGGCTTCTGTTTCTGGTGGTTCTTTTTGGCATTGCTCTGCAGCTGGTTGAATGCACTGTACAGTGAAGTCGACGGATGCTGCACGAACTTTTGGACTCCCATGACGAATTTTTGGGCTTCTCCAAAGAAATCATTGACTGTAAACAGTTTGGCTGGGTCATCAATGAATTCGATTCCTTCAATTGGTTCCTGGTAATAAGATTCTTCTCTTAAATCAAAGCTTCGGGGAACTTGAGTTGGTAGAATGATATACATCGGTTGGCATGGGTCCCCATCAATTAAAAGTAACCAAATAAAAAAAAACTGTTGAAAAAGTACAATACTTTAAACATATTCTGATACATTGTTGTAAGAGCAGTGTCTGTAGAAATATTTATATACTACTGGAGGCAAAAAGTAAATTTACTTACAGCCAACATCTCTCTTTAAAATCTGATTCATAACTTAGCCAAGGTAAGACACCAACGAAGGCTTAAATAGCCCTTGGGACTAACGTACTTCCCTCCTCCCAAAGAAGCAAATTATGACACATAAATTCCAGACCAATTTCAGAACTTTATTTTAGGCATGTCCGTCAAAGAGGTGGCTAAACTTCAGGGAATAGCTGTGGGCGACAGGTTAACTATCGACTGCTTGAGGACGCCTATTTGTGAGATGGCTCCACCTAGATCCAGCCATATCCATGTCCATGACCATGGCCATAGCCTCCATAGCTGATGGGATGCACAACGCTGTGCGAGGTGGTCCAAATGGGCTGGATCACTCGCACTGAAGGCAGACTGTGATACGAGCTGGTAATGATGGGCGACGAATGCAGCAGACCGGGAGCGGCACAGCTCAAAGCCAGGCAGAAGGCAAGGAAAACGAACTAGGGGCGGGAGTTGGTAACTTAATTAACTCCTTTTCATGGCCAAGTTGGGAAATCCTTACCAGCTTGAACATTTTGAGTGGGTTTTGATTACTGAAGAACTTCTTGAACGCGAAACTCGAAGTGGAACTCGTTGAGAAGCTGCCAAAAGATGGTTTGATGGCTGCTTGAATGCGATGCCGCTTTATATAACGCAGGCCAGAAGGCAAGAAGCCCCAACAATCGCTCGACCTCGGTCCGATACACAAAACCCTAAAAGCCTCTTTGAAATCTTAGCGGACGCGGAGTGCTCAGATTTCCCAGCTGGCGGGCTCAGGTGAGTGACTGACTGACTGACTTCGGTTTTGCAGTTGGCCCACCCACCCACTGAAAGTTGCAACACAAATGCGTTTTTGATATTGGCAACTACGCACCGCAATAGCTATCCAAAAATCTGCCAAGAACTGCGCAATTTTATCAAGCGAATAACAAATCAGCAGCCTACAAAAATACGAAAACATTCAACAGAATTATATTCAGTTCGAACAATAAACTCATTTAATTGATTTCGGCGTGGGAGTTTGTTTTCATTGGTTCCAAGACAAAAGGAAACTTGGCCAGTTTTTCCACAGCACCCACACTGACCTTGAAAGAGTCCCGAAAGATGGCGGGAAAATACCGGAAGCGCGTCTCAATCCCGGACGCACTTAATTGTTTGTTTTGGGGCCAAGAGCAGGGCCCAAACCAAATTGATGGAAGTAAACAAACGGCAGAGAACATTTGCGACTTAGCGAAAACCAAGGAGTAGGAAATACACAGAGAAGAATCTTAATAGGCTTAAATGTTTATTAAATTGGCAGTTTCTTTAATTTCAATTTACTTTTTTTCTGTATAAATAAAAGTATTTGTAAGGCACCATTTTTAAGAGAAAGCTAGTTAAGAAACGTTTCCCTTCAGTAAGTGGATTATTTATTACTAATATATTCTTAAATTTTTATTCATACAATTCATTTTATAAAACAATTTAAAGAGAAAAAATCTAGATGTAGATGAACTTTTCTTTTGCCAGTGAATGGGAGGCTTAGGTGCAAAACAGAAGGGGGCACCTAGAATGCTCTGTGGCAAGATTCCAAGCAGCATTGTGGTTTCCATGTCTTGTCAGCGGACTCACGACCATCCGATTCGCATCTGGATTCTGAGTGGCAGGGAACGAGTTCCGCTGGCAATTGCAATTGCAACTGGCCCATTCAAAGTGAGTTAAGGGGTTCTTTCATTTGCCGCCTGCTGGGCAAATGCCTTTGACCTTGGCCACCGGTGGCCAAAGTGAAGGTCCGATTGTGAGAGGGCGACTATAAAAGCCAGGAACAGTCAGGAGTGGATATTCAGTTGGTTAGGTGATCTCCAAGGAATTGCAACGAGAAAAATGAAGCTGGTGAGATCAGGACCTATTTGTATCTAATTTTGTTTAAACCCTTTTTCTTAACCAGCTAATCTTCGCCTGTTTGCTTGGCTTGGCTTTGGGCCATGAGGTGTATTACTATACCCCAACCTATGGGTATTATCCTAGTACTTTTGCCAGGACCTCGGCTGTCCTGCCCTTGGCCTATTCCCGTCTGATTGCCCCGGCAGCCGCCGAATCTCATCTTTATCATAGTGTCCAGACCCCGAACTCCTTCCAGCAGCAATATCGCAGTGACTACAAGCCCCTGACCTATGAGTATCTGTACTAGATGCTGGAGAGCAACAAAGCCTCAGAGAGGAGGGATATCTCGTGAACCATGTGTATTGTAACCATGTGAAATTTGAATAAAGTTCGACCACTTCTCATCGAAGGAGGTGATAACTCTGGTTAACCCAGCTATTGTATTGAACTGTCTGTGAAAACAACTTTCCTACTTCCCCCAAAACCAAGTGACCTAGGTCACCCGCTGTCTGTTGAACTCGGCCTCCTATTGTTCAGTTATAAAGCCCCGACAATGGCTGGCTATATCGAATAACCCCGCCCGAATCCTCGCCCTTGTTTACAGTTATTCACCTATGTTCCCGGAGGCCTGTCTAAATTTAACAAAACCGCAATGAGGCAACAAATCAAGACTCTTGCCGTACGTCACCGGTGCGAAAAAAAGAAGCCCTACCGTAGAAAACCATCGCAAAGTGCAATGTGACCCCCACAGGTTGCTCCCCCACAATTGGATTTTTGCCACTAGGTGCGTGGTTCGCAAATCCTGGAAAGAACTCCTTAGGAACGTGACCCGAGGCTGTCACATGGCATCCACCTATGGGACATACGCAAATGACTAGGACGGAAACCAAATGCTAATCGAATCGCTCACATTAATTAACATTTGATTGCTCGATGGATATTGATACTTTGGCGTCTTTTTCGTGGGGCAATAAATTAATATTTCATTATAGATTTACCAAAACTTTGCTGCTCTTGGAAGTTGATTTAATCCTCATTGTTATCCACTATAAATAAACAATTAATTAGTTTTATTTGCCTTAAGTACTTACCAATTAAAAATAAACTGTTATTTTAGGCAATGCGCCAAAAATGAATTAATAAAATGCAAGAATATAAATAATTTCTATTTTTCAAAAAGTGTAATCTTCATACGAAATCTTCTTTCGAGACAGATATTTTCCTTATACCTAAGAAGAATGTATACTAATGAAGCCCTTAAGAAGCTTAAATTTTTAGTTTTCTAACTATTTCTATTAACTTTTTACTTACAAAGTTAAATTCCCTAATGTTCTGCAAAATGTTTTTCAAATTGTACCTTCAACTCAAAATAATTCACAATACTTTATGTTATTACAGAGTACTTAACTGTCCATCAACGACAGTGATTGATGATTACGAAACCAGATTGAGCGCGTGTTCATTATGCAAAGCTAATTAGAAGTAACTCCTCTGGTCAACAGATACCTCTGATTGGGTGGAATGCTGAGGGAAGGTGGCATCCATATCAGTTTACTACAGCCCATCATCTTCTCGTAGAAAAGAACTGGCTGACTGAAAAACCTGTTAATGTTAAAGGAGCTGGGCAGGAGCTCAAGCATCAGCATCTGCATCGGCATCTGATTCGGTCCATGGGGAAGTTCAAGGTTTTACAATGTCCAATTAATGGCTAAAGAAATCACAGTCGACCAGGCAGGCAAATCTATGCGAGCAACAAACTTACATTGCCGAACAAAATAAATACACTTAAAAATAATATTTAATATAGATTTTAATGTAACTATTCAATGTCTTCTTAAAATAAACTTAAGGAAAGTATGACTAACTTAAGAAATATATTTAATTGGGTTGTCAAAAACTGGTTTTAAGACTCCATTCAGTTCTTAGATATTTCCTAACGAACATAATACAACAGTTTTTTAAATGCTTTATTAAAGTCCGGAATTCTAAATTTAAATATAAAATCATTCAATAGGAGGTTCTCCTTTTTTCGTCGTGCATCTGGCACAGAACAGAATTTAGAACGAGCTGCAGGGAGTGGATCCCCGGCAAGTTGTTTACCTACCCAATGTGAAAACAGGCTTTGGGTCCCGGGCCACCAACCTTGGATATAAAAGGTCTTTGGGAATGCAAAGAGGAGCTCAAAGTGAAAACGACACTGGACGGCGTAGTTTGCAGGGTTAACTGAGAAAATGCGCAATTATCTTTGGGTAGGTAACGAATTCCTTTCTCAAGAGAGCAGAACCACTCACCTTCTCCAATTGCAGTTAGCAGTGCTCCTGGTGGTGGCCGCCACCACAGCGTGCGTCAAGGCCAAGCCGGTGGTCTCCTTCGGTGTCAGCTATCATCAGCCCTATCTGGGACCCCAGCCTGGACCTTATTACTACGGTGGACCTTATCAGGGAGGCAACTACTACAACAGCGGTCCGGGACCGTATGGCTACCCTTATCCCTATGCCAATCGCTATGGTTTCGAGTAAAAGCCAAAAGCCCCAGCAAATAGATGCGAAAATCATACAAAAGTCTTTTCACTATTTTCCTCGGCACGCACTGCTAAGCCTTATTTTTCTGTCCAGGTCAGGTCAGATACATAAAATGGGAAGTGGGCTTCGAGTACGTGACATATCCACGGGGTACTCTGGTGACCCAGTGACTGATTTTCCGGATTTTCGATTTCCTGTCACAAAACCCTTTGATTGATTTGGACATGGAGCTCTCAATGTGAAGTTTATTGATGTGGGAGGCGTAATTTGTGTTAGGAATTAACATGGATTGGTCTACTCAATTTAAAAAATGTCAATAAATGCATTAAATTAGATGAATTAAGTCGAAAATAACTATATTATTGACAGCTTAGTGGCCTTTCAAGCTAATTAAGCTAAGCACAATGCCAAGAATATTAGTTACACTTTTCCTTCCTGCAAAATGAATCACCCAGAGTATTTTAGGATTCGACCTTTCCGACCAGCTGATTATGCTAATGTCCTCGGTGGTGTCTCATTTATTTATAGCCCTTGTATCTTCGAGGAGCGATGCATAACCAAAATGCGTTCGGAAAACGTGCAGGCACAGCTTGAGTCTCGGAGAGATGCAACCTGTTGGCTGAAGCATATGATTTCAAGAAACCATCACGGATTAAAGGAGCCTCTGTGACTACAAACTTTCATCTCATCCTCTTACTTTGCTGGTCGACTCGTGATTTCCGGACACATGCGGATAAATTTGATATGCGACACTTGCACGTTGCGGCATGTGGCAATTTAAGCCTTTCCTTGGCCAAAGCTTACTATTAAAGTGTGCATCTAACTTGTTCTTGTGAGCTAAGGTGTAAGGTGTTAAGCGTGATACACCAAAAGAAAAAGAAAGTGAAATGGGAATAAAATTGGGAAAGGGAAGATTTGAATTATAAGAGGCTCTGTAAATAAATATTATAATCAAATGGAAGCACTGCTTTTCTTTAATTGATTGAAATTTCTAAGACCCAAAAAGGGAAACCGGAATGTTTGTTTAATGCCTCTAATGCCCAGTTGGCTTTTCAAACCTCCTATTTCTAGTTCCCTAAAGTTTTCTTGTAGTGTTCATCAAGAAGCTGCTAGCACAGGTGAATGACGTGCACGGATCACGTTCCCAATCACGCACAACAATACTAAAAACTCAAAAGTGCAACCAGCGACGCCAAAAGTGTTGTTAGCTGGCTTTGTTGGCCTGGTTAAAAGGGGAAGCATCAGCAGTCACGTTGAGTGGAAAAGCCCGTGGCGAGCAACAGGTTTTCGTACAAGTAGGGAAACTCCTGCGGGTGTTGAATCGTACAGAGTCGAGTAGTGCAGTGTAGTAGGTTGTGTAGTGTCCTTCTCGACGGCACACAGGGCACTGATTTCCGACGGGTGTGTGTCAGTATGGCAGGCGAGTCCCCGTCGGCCGACCCGAAGCAGTAGCCGAGCTATAGAAATGTCCTCGTGGGGGCGAAGGTTAGGATGCGAAGCTGCCACGACATTGAGGAGCACTATAAAAGCGAGTGCCAAACGCCTGCCACTGGTAGTCTTCATCGAGACTTCAGCGGTGCGCGTTAGCCAGTTAAAAACTCCAATTGGAAAATAACTAAAAACTGAAAGCCAGAACTCGAACTGAAATATTGTGTCTGTGCAAAACAAAAGTGAACTAATAAAATTTTGAAAAAATCAAAATACAAACTCTTATTATGGATACTCTGTCACCCAACAACGGCTCCAAGTCGAGCTCCAGCGGCAGTTCGGCGGCCAGTTCCTCAATGGATCTGGGCAAGCAGCAGCAGAAAGAGAAGCTGCATCGTCATCCAAGGAATGGGCCCAAAAAGCTATCCCGCTCCCGGAGTTTGCTGCAGTTGCTCAGCAGACACTTGGGCAGGCATTTCCATCATCAGAATCACCACAACGATACGGTCTACAGCAGTCAGGATGATATCAGAAGCAGCTCCACGGATTCCTTCAGTTTGAGCTACGAACGGGGCAGCCATGAGTGTCCCATCAATGGTTCATCTCTGGACCTGGAACACACTTCTCGCACGTCGAGCGCCTCAGCTTGCTCCAGATACTCGCCTGGCTTGGATTACTACGATCAGCAGGGACATATTTATGTGGAGGCTGTCTACAGACCAGGCAGTGCCATGGAGCAACTGCATCCGCAGCTGCATTTCGAAGAGGACACCAGCGAGGAGGGCAGCAGTAATGAGGCGGAGGATGAGGTGGAGCTGGGCAATGATGAGAACGAAAACAGCAAGCCACGATCTGCATCAGCCGCGTCCGCCAAGTCCCCGGGACTGCATCTCAGCCGGATTTCCATCTCCTCCTCGGTGAGCCGCATGCTGCAGCATTTCTCCAGTCCCACGGGAAATGTCTCGATGCGCTCGTTATCCTGCAGCAGCACTCCATTGCGACAGCCCAAGAAATCCCTGTCGCCTAACAATTCCAACAGCAGCAGCAGTAGCAGCCACTCCGGCTCCAGTTCCAAGTCCTCCGGTGCTCCTGCCTCCAAGAAGGACAAGAAACAGCAGAGCATCCTGCGACCGCCAGTCCAATATGTCTACATGAAGGGCATGTCGGGGCTATACTCCCGAGTGCCCAGCTATGCGGTCTGCTATCCCTACACCCTGCAGCACATGTACTAAGAATCGATCATACCAAAAATGTTTAAAATAAGGGAAAATATTCGAGGAAGCTGCAAGCTGGTTGGGGGTCTTGAACAATATACTTAGGAATTTTTAGTGATGTACGAGTAGTGCCTGAAAAACCGAGATTTGAGTAGAGAGGAGGAGGAAGACATGGGGGTTTACAAAATACATAAAGAGCAGCGAACATATTTTATAAATGTGTCAAAGCTGAGTTCGCAAACAGCCTGCGAACTGGGCCCAAAATAAGTGTACCTAAAGACAAGCCCCGAAAATCAAAAAACAGAAACCTATTTATGTGCTACGATATACACCTTAGATGATCTAATTGTCTTCGGCTAATTTAGGGACTTTAAGTTTACAAACCGAAATAAATTAACTTTAGCTTAAAGTAAAACCAAAACTGTTATTTAGAAGCCCCTCACATATCCTTCTAAAGTAGCTATTAAAAAATACGATTTTGAGCCCCTAATTTGAACCGTAAAAGTTTACTTTGAAACCAAACGATTTTTGCACTTTTGAACTAGTTTAAAGTATACTTTGCACTGATTTCACTGACTATTGAAAACAAAAACAAAATTTTACGAATTTATACGAAACGAAAACAAAAAGAGAGAAACTAAATTCTTTAAGAACACACACTAATAGAGGAACATTTTACAATAATTCACATTCCAAATAAATCGAAAATTTTTTAAAACAAAACCAATTATTCTAAATAATGAAATATCATGAGGAAATGTAAATGGTATAGTAGATGATAATGAGAAAAGTTAGCAAAAATGTTTAGAGCCTATATATTTTTAGATCCTAACTGAACAGAGATAACCTAACACTTAAGTCTAGCTGTCAATAAAATAAAATATACATGACTATAAAACAAAAATCAAAAAACATTCGATTTTAATTGCATTCAAGGTGAAGGGAAAACAAAGGGAATGAACCGAATTGCATTGGCCAAGGAGCTTCGATTTGTAACGGTTAAGCGAAAGCTTAAGGACACCGTTAACGTAGGCAAAAGCTCCAGCCGAATAATGAAAGAGAGTGAGAGAGAGAGCGCGCGTATTCTGCGAGAGAGAACACATCCTGCACGTGGCCTCCTTTTGTTTGGGTAACAGTCTGCGGAACCAACTGTTCCCTGGGAACAGAGAGCAGAGGCTTGGGTGCTGCCGCGATGATGTAGGCAAAGTCCTCAAAATCAAGTTGCCGAAGGACTCGACCTTATAGTTTTGACTGGCGCATATCATGTCCGTGTGACGTTAATCGACACCGCTGCACTTGGCGGGCGTGGCAAGCGAAAGCGTTTAAAATTTGATGACACCTCAATTATTATGGTTCTTCAAGTCGAGGACATTGAATGGCCCATGTCCGTGTCCCATGCCCCTTGCCCCTTGCCCCTTGCCCCTTGCGCCTTACCACTTGTCCATGCTGAAGTAATCATTTCGAGGTCATTGTATCTTTGAACCCTTTCTTATAATAGCAAACACATAATAAACAAGCCCCAAGCCTCAAAGGATGCGAAATCCTTGGCACAGTTTGTCCTAAAAAATCAAATTAAAATGCATGATTTATCTGCAAACAAACAAAAGCCTTTAACCCGAATTTCTGTAAACAAAAGGAAGACCAATTTTCCTCTTTTCCAAATAGTTTTATGACGCAGTTAGGAAATGAATGTTAAACGAATGGACTGTTTTTATTCGGCAGAAAACTGAGTTTTAATAAGTTTGTTCCAGGAAATGGAAAGATATGTGGTTTTTGCATTCGGTTCTGGTTATTCTATGAAAGGCTATTAGAGACAAAGAAAACATGCATCCGTTCTAGGAATCCTGAAGTATGGGAATTTCAATTGCAGAAAATTAAAATAGCCTCGGGAAGTCTTTTGTGGAAAATTTTCTAGAATCGCCATTCACCATTCACCATTTAAGACAACATTTAAATGTCCTTTTTTAGCAAAAGTCAGTTTCTCAAAGTTGTTCTTTGATTTACCTACCTTATTGTACATTTGCCAACTACCTTATGGTCTGTCCAAAGATATACTTAAAATCCTTCAAAGTTCTTTCGCAATTCGGGTTCAATCACCGACAGGAAAAACAGTTAAGCTTATTCATTAATCTGTTGACAAACTTGATTAGGTCGAACTGAGTTAATGCGCCGCTAAATGGAAGAGACAAGCGCTTAACAAGTCGACGACAATGGAGCCCCAACTTCCCAGCCATCACATCTCACTGGCCAAATTGAATTCGCCGAGTTGTGTCATTTTGGCCAAAACAAAATCACTGCCCGTTCTGACGTCAGTGGGTGTCAACAATTGCGCCTCTAATTAGATGTTCATGGTTTTTCCAGTGGGCGGAATGGGAAAATCCTATCGCTGTCGACACCTCCTGATTCCTAGCATTTAATGCTCCCCCATCTTTTGAGTTTTCATCCCTCCCGCCCCCATTTCATTATCTAAAAGTCAAAACAAAGGACTTCATTAAGCCGCCGCCGTCTTAGCCTGTCTTAAAATGCGTTCTCACAAAATTGGCATTCGGCTTTATTTATAGCGCATTAAAATCAATTTTGGGCGCAATTAAATAAAAAGCAATAACAACAAAGGACAAGACAGGCCGAATCTATTTTCGACCCTCAAACTTAAGTGAGGTGAAATTTTGATAAAATATTGCTTGGCCCAAATGGCACTTGGTTTCTTAAGGGCGCCGCTTAAAGTCCTTGAAAACTGTCATCGTCAAGGATATTTTTAGGCAAATCAGGCACAGGTCCCTCAAAAATAAGCACCAACAAGCCCCTCAGTGCTATTTTCAACAATGGCAAATTGAATCAAGCCAGAAAGTCAAACGGAACAAAGTGAAATGAAAACGTCTAGCTGATTAATAATTGATGGCTCTGTGGGGAGAGAAAAGAAAAACAATTAAAGGCAGTAAAATTCCTTTGAATTCTGTCTCGAATAATCGATGCCTAAAACTGATTACTTAAAAGGTAAATAAGCATTACCTAAATAAATTTAATTCTTATAAATACCAATAACTACTTTTTTAATAGAATTAAATTAAAATTAAATTATCATCAAAAAACTAGAGCCTTAAAAAGTTTTGCTGAATAAACCACAGGTTAACATAAGCTAATAAATATAGTAAAGTATAAATATATGTATATTCATTTTATAAATATCTAAGAGATTTTAATGTTTCCTTAGATACTGAAATGCACTATATCACCTTGATTGTACCAGGTATCTGACCATCCAGAAGTTGCTGGAACCCAAGTACCGTCCGCGTGCAATGACACCACCTGGCGGCCAGCGGCGCAAGCTCCTGGGGAAGTGCAAACAAAAAACAAACAAAACAAACCAACGGCGGTAAACAAAATTCGCTTCCCGTTTTATTATTAGGCAACAATGCAGGAACAAAGGATGTTGGCAAGGAGCAAGGGTAGAGGGGATATCCTTTCTGCTGAGATATTCCTTCTCTCTGCCGCAAAAGGTTCTTCTCTCTCTCTGACATCACGGCTCTCTCTTTCTCCCTCTCTAAGGCCTCTTTGCAGAGTGCCGGGCGAGGCTATAAAAGCCAGCGGCTTCCGATTTGCCGACTCACAAGCGGCAGGACAACGTGCCCAGTCGGTTCTCTCCCGCTCTCGCTGGAAAAACAATAAAAAGAAGAAACAGCAAAGGTAAACAGTGACAGACAAAGGCACCGGTTGGGATAACAAAGGAAGTGAAGAGAATTTGCACCGGAAGCGGAAGAGCAGCGGAATTGCAGCCATTTGCAGTGTCCTCAAAACAAGGAAATTACTCATACGCGCCAGCGAAATTACGCATACGCACGGCTGAATGAGAAGGGAAGTTAGGAATTAACTGACTGCACTCTTAATAAAGAAATTACGCATACGCACGATTGGCAGCTGTCTGCTAATAACTAAATTACTCATACGCCAGCGTGGCCGTAGATGAGGTAGGCTAAACCCCGCATAAGTGACAAAATGGGTACTCCTCATGTCTGCTTCGCCGATGAGCAGCCGCAGGAATTGCAAAAACATAAGACCGCCAGTAATGGCAGCCTGAACAACAACAACAACAAACTGGATGTGGGCTACAACAATACCACGGGAACACCATCGCCGGGCGGCAGTCTCAGCGTTTCGCCAACACCGCGCTACGAACGCAATCTGGGCTTCTTTCGGCAGCTGAGCCGCCGCTTCGGCCTGAGGTCGCAGGATGACCTAGTTCAGTCGGATGACGCAGCCACCGTTGCAGCATCAAGAGGAGGCGGTGCAGGAGGAGTGGCCGGGGTCACGCTCCAGGAGGAGGACGCGCACAGTTCATCGACCGACTCGTGCTCCTCGGGGCGTGGCCTCAATGCTCACCAGTCGCGACTAGAGCTAATGTCCATGTCGTGTGCCTCCAGTGAGACGAGCAGCACCCTGGACATTGAGGAGCAGCAGGAGCAACTTCAGCAAGTGCAACAACAGATGCAATCGAAGCGGAAACCGATTAGCCGGGCCAGTTTCTCACGCCTCCATCGACGCTCTACATCCTCGTTGCGTCGTGCCTTCGAGAGCCTTTCGCTCACTTCGCGTTCACTATCCTGCAGCGGTCCTTCACCGCCACCGCCGCCGCCTCCGCCACCACCCACCAACGGACAGCCCTCGACTGCTTTACCCCTAAAATCGGCTCTCAAATCTGCCTCGAATGTGGAGCTTCACAGGCAGCAGCAACATCATCATCATCACAATCACCAGTCTGTGAGCAGGTCATCCTCATCATCCTGCAGTTCAGCACCCAAGAGCAAGGTGAAGCCGCCGCCGCAAAGAATCCTGCGGCAGCCCGTCTCCTACACATATCTCAAAGGCATGTCCGGTCTGCCGACGCAGCGAGTGCCGCGCAGCTCCGTCTGCTGTCAGTATGCCAGGCGCTAAGAATCTCCTACTGGAATGCAAGCCATCCGAGATAGCCTGGATAATGAGGTATTGAGAAAAGAAGAATCAGCAGACAGTATCAGGAACCACTAATCAGCTAACTAAGCAATCATCTTGAGTGTTCCTTATTAACAAGGTATTTTTCTTTTGAGTTCAAACTTAAATTGACAATTTTGCAAAAATATTTTCATTACTTTTATGCTCTTTTAAAGTCAATCTTAAATATTAAAAATATGTACTCCCATTTTAGTTGTAAGCAACACAAAAACAAGATCCTCAATTTGCAAATTTAGCTTCCTAACGTTTTAAATTATTTATAAAAACATTTATTCAAGTGTAGTCCATTTCAAAATACTATTACTTTAAGATCCATAAACCCCTTTAGGTAAGTCTCAAAAATCCCTTAAAGGAAAAGCAATTGCTTGTCATTGCAGGCGATTAGAAAATGATTTATCAATTGGAAATTTCATCCTCCATTCAACTTCCCAACACCCTCCTCCTCCCTGAAATTCATTTCAAAATCTGTGATACAAGAATCGTTACCCTGTCCCTGCCCCTCCAAGCAAAACCCTCCTCCCCAAGTCCATCATATCCAAGAGTCTTCAAAGAGAACATCGGCAAAATTGGTAAAGATCTAACAAACTTACATGATAAAGTTTTATAAAAATTTGAATAACTTTTGCACTTAAAATATTTATATAAATTAAATCGTAGATGCGTAGAATTTGTCAGATATAGAGCCTATATACACACATTTGTCACCGCTTTGATGCTAGATCAAGATCATTCCACGCATACCAAAGACTGTAACGCGAAACAAAATTGAGATGAAATTAAGAAGTTTGATTGAATCGATTGGAAGAGTCACAATAGATTTCCTTTTTGTATAAATTCTTATACAATTCGTGCCTTTATCAAAAGTCAAAGCAAACACAAAGATTCGCATGATAAACATTTGTTCCAAGAGAAAACACTTAAGAAGTATATATGAGATAAGTTAAAGTAAATTTCCTTTTTAAACGTTAAATGGGATCAAAATTTGTCAGGCATTTATCTATGTTCCGCAATCCTAACTGAATCAGCCAAAAACTCTCTCCTAGGAAACTTAAATTATTATTAACTTAAGAGTTTTTATTCAAGAAAAAATAAAATTAATTTGCCAAAATGAATTAACACATTCCAAAGATTTAACAAGCCCAGCACTCCAGTAAGTAGAGTTCAGACGTAGATGATATATATGATATAGCAAGTCTAAAAATGCCGCGAAACTGACTTAAGAGTATTCAACATAAACATTACTTTAGCAGTTATACACATTTACAGTTTATAGAGAGAAATATTATATATGAAATGCAAACCAAGGCCTAACTATACGATATATATATGTTAATATATATGAATGCAAACGCATTGAATCGCAAGCCAAAGCAATAAAGTTGAAGGATTATACAGAACAATATCAGCATTAATATACACATATATACAGCAGCATCTACTTATTAATAACTATTTACCTAAACAGCAGCAACAGCAGCCAAGAATTGTAATCATCTGAAAGGCCAATAGCCACAAAGCAAAGAGAGTTCAATAAAAGTGAAATAATTTACACCAAACCCGAATTTGTCTTAATTAGGCTTGGGGCTTATACCACCTAACAGGGTTTATCAAATTCCATCTCTCATTTCATAATATCTCAATTTCCATACCAACTTTAGCATTTAACGAACATTATTATCGTTTTTCCAAGAACAAAACTTACACCCACCATATATTGTTTACTTTATCTCGGTTTCATCTTCTGGTGACACCAATCGAAAAGTTTTTCCATAAAAAAGTTGGCCAAAAATAGCTACAAATCAATGGCACATACACATTATGATGATTATGTGGAAACTGCAATTAGAAGAGTCTGGAATGGAACGGAAAATGCCTGTCGCTCGGGTGAACCTCCTATAATGGCCCTAATATCGAGCCTGTCCACAACCCGTCGTTAAAGCGAATAATATGTTATGTCCAAGAAAGTAGGTCAACGATTGAATTGCCATCAAGATTTCTCTGTTGCTCCGTTACTACTCGAGTTCGGTTGTCAAGACGCTGAATGTGTATCTCATGATGGGGGATTCATACTGAATTTATAATGAGTCTGAGGATGTCTGAAGGCATTTGATTAATACGATTCCAACTGAAATGGCAGACAATAAATATCGAATAACCATACTAACACAACCGCAGCAAACTGACAGTTTGATTTGACATCGGATCGGGAATGGGTTTGTATTTTGCATTGATTGATTTGTGGCTGAGCGACAGATTTCGAATGAATAGCGAACTCTCGCTGGGGAAATTGAAACCAAACAATCATCATAAAAATCCATCTGTTTGGCAAATCAAATTAATGAAATTAGCAGAAATATTAAGCATAAAGTGGCAGCAACTGGGATTGTGTTTTGTTTCTCGGAGCTCCCCTGCGGATTTAATGGGCCATCGAAATTTGTACCACTAAATGGCCGACACAGTCACGCACTCAATGTTCCTGCTGATTTGCTGTGGCAACTCAACAACAAATTACACCACACTCACATACTCAATCACTTTGGGGGCTGCGGCGTCGTGACGTGACCGAAAAGTTGATGAAAAATGTCAGAATCTAAATATTTTGGCAACACCGCCCATATCAGAATCAGAAATTGGCAAGCTTTCACTATTCTGAGGGCTAAAAATATCCTTTGACCTAATTCTCGTTGACAGTCGACAAATGTGGGGGCATTAAAGTAAGATAAAAAGATACGCAACCAATTGTGAACGAGACTAGGGGGCGTATGTGTGATATTTACAGCTGTGATTGTTGCTCATACGAACCGTTGGCTGCTCTTTGCTTCCCATTTCATTTTCCCAGTTCGCCGTTGAAATTGCAAATGCTCGTAACAATAAAGTGAGCATTTCCAGCCGGCAACCGCAGTCACGTAATCATTTTGACAACATTCAGGACTAGTATTCCTCTCCTGCGCTCCACTGACTTTAATATCCCATTCTCTGGCATCTGTCTATTCCGACCATGAGAATAGCTATTTTTAAGCATTTAATTAAGTGCCCGTCTTAGGGTGAATATTTTTAGCATTTTCTTTGCTATTTCTATACGGGTTTCGCCTGCGATTCCACCCCAATCTTTCGGTTTAAGTTTCATCAACTTATACGAGCTTGTATGGGGGAGCCGAAAGTTCCTTTCTGCTTATTAATAATAAACGGAAGTCATTTTTACATTCGTTTCTGCGGTGGCGTCTCCAGTTGCTCGCTTTATGGGCCCCTCAAGGTAACGTAAGGATTTCACGGAGGGAATCGAATACGGGCTTTCTTTTAACAGGTTACGCGGCATTAACTTCTCACAGGGAGTTTGGGCCCTCAGCCAGCGAGTTTCTTCACATTTCTCCCAGTTCCGTTCCCCATTTTATTCATCGGCATGGGGACTCTTTATGAGGCAGGGCGTGTTAATTTGCTGCACGCGCCGTTCTCGAGAAGTTAGGACTGTGGAGGGGATCAAGGAAGTGGTCAACTTGTTGCCCCACTCAACTGATTTAAATTTGTTGAGTTGGGGAAATACCGTAAAGAAAATTAAAGAAAAATCGGAATTTTATTGCAGTTATTATTAAAAATATTAAAACTGATTTTAAACTAATTAAAATATTTTGTTAAGCTTTATTAACAAAGAACAAAAAAAGAAAAAAATGCAAATGTAATTAATAAAATGTTAAGTAACGGAGAAATCCAGTATATATATATATTTACTATATGTTTATTTAATGTTTATTTTGTTACTTATTTTAGCCTACTTATAGTAAAAATTCAGACCGCTGTTGGCAAACAGTAGCAAAATAATTAATCTTCTTTTTGGCTTCGCCACACATGAGAGTGAGAAAATATTTGAGGGCACAACTCAAACGCGACAACTTGAAGAACAATCTGAACTTGCGGCCTACTTTGTCAACTTTTTGACTGTCTTTTAGTGGCGGCCTTCACTTTTGGCCAGGAAGTTGAAGGAAGAAGGAGCCCAGCATCATTTTCATTTTTATTTCCATTACATACCCTGCTTATATGACTGCCGACTTCCATGTCAATATTTACTTGTATCTTGTTTACCTTTGCCATCTCATCATCAACATCGGCATGGCCTTTCCCCCATCATCTTTTTACGCTTGTTCTCATTTTTTATTGTGTATTTTTATTGCTCATGTTTCCTGCTTGTTATCTTTGTTGTTTCTGCCGCTTCTTAATGGCACTCGTCCTGTAATTTCATTTCCCCAGTACAAGACGTGGGGGAAAATTTAATGAAATTTTCAAGAGTCCTCTGTCTTGCTATTTTTAGTTCGAATTAAATCTTTGGCTATTACCAAACATGCCACAAAACGTGGGAGATTTTCTGTAGGCATCTCACTTATGCTAATTTGCACTTTGACCCAAATATCGAGCTACGTGAGAACAATCAAGTGGCAGCCTGCCAAATACTGTGTGATATTGGACAGAGTGGCACTTGAACTAGATCTGGATCAGATTCTCATTAGATATGCAGCCCGTGTGTCGGTAATTGAACTTAATATGCAAACAAAATGTCTACATTTCACTGAGACAGATGACAAGGAGTCTTCGATGAGCCTCGGAAATCGGGCTGGTTGTTTGCTGATTGATGAGAGAACAATGGAAGATACAACAATCCCAAACACAAATTATTTAGTATACGTTTTCTTTAATTAAAAGTTGCATGTCTCCTATGAAAAAAACCTAACACTTACTGGCCTCAAGAAATATTATACAAAATGTCTAATTTCACAGAGGCAGCAGTGCATAAATTATGCACATCTTTTTTGGATACTCTGACATTTTAAGTTCGGGCTGCTCCTTTTGAAGTGGCTCTCGAACCAAGCACATAAATTACAACTCCCCCTTAGTAATTAGCCATGTACTCGGGCTCTTTAGGCTCGTACCCAGGGGGCTTTAATTATTTATAAGAAGTGACCCAAAACGAATGCATAAGCTAACATCTGCAGTCAGTTCTTGGGTATAACGAGCTAAGCAAACTACGTGCCTGGACCATCCGGCAAATGAAATAATCCGAAATAGAGAAAAAATAAACAAAACATTTATTCCTAACGCAGTCAAGCAGCCAAAGGGAAGGTAATAGACCGCACAGCTAACTGGGCCAATGCACGTACCATTTGTCAGGGCGAAAAAAGGCCTAAAGGAGCGTAATGTGGACCAAGTTGTGGTCCCATATTAATTAGTCTCCCACATAGACATAATATAATCACAAAAACTGGTGTTTTGTGCAGTAACTTTAGTACTAATTTAGTCAAATACTAATCTGGAGCTCAACTTTTACTGTTATTTAAATAATTTAGAAATAAATAAAATTATTATTTTACTAAATTAATATTTGGAGTTATAAAGGGTTTTTAAAGGGAGTCAAAATAATATAATTAATAAAAAAGTGCGTAAACTAAACATTTGCCTTTACCGATTTAGTGTTTAAACTACAATTTAAATTAGTACAATTTTTAATTAGGAGGGTTTTAAACTCTATTGGAGGGAAATAGGTGGGATCTTTGTCCCTGTTTTCATTCACAAATCGGATGATGGTGATGCAGTCGTCGACGTCGCTATCGCCGGTCGAAGGTTAACGCCTGCCGTGGAGGTCGTCCGATGACGATGACGTTTACCGCAACGGGAGCTGAACCGAGCTGAGCTCGTTTGAGCCGGGACCGGAATCCTTGAGCGGCTCCAGAGAGAACGAGGAATCCGAAAACGGGGTGACGAGGAGAGAGAGGATGGAACAACCTTGGGGCGACTGCCGGTGGAACGGATTTCGCTCCTGAAAGGATTTCATTCATAATTGCCGCAAGAAGCCGTCCAAGTGCCGGACCTCCTGGATCACGCATCCTGTCCTCGACCTACTTTTATATTGAGACTCTCGGGATGCCCTCGGGAAACCCCACGTACAAATTGGCAACTTTGTTTGCCTCATTGCTCCACACGTCGCCTGGCATTTAATTCGATTTTCGTTTTTCGCTCTGGTTCACTGGGTTACCAGTAGTTCGCATTTTATTGAGCCAAGGTCCATGGGAGAAACTGTCAATGTCTGGATGGAATGGGAATATTCTGGCAAAGGTGGATGCCACAAGGGCACTCGTCGAACGAACTCCACAAAACTTATGAATGAATCAAATGTAATTGGGTAAGTATTAAAGGTTCGCTATTTACCTTCTAATGGACAAAGTTAGTGCTGGGTTTAAGAAATATTATACAGGGAAAATCTTAAGTTCCTTAGAGTAAAAAGAAGGTCCTAAAATCTATTCCCTTTCGATGAAGTATCGATAGTGTTAAAAAACTAATTGCAATCCCAGCCATTAGTTTTAAGTTGCAGCTTCAACTTAAGGTGTTACTTACCAACTAAATATGAACAAGAAGCTGTATTTACTTATGGAAATATTGCAAATCTGTCGATTTTCGCTCATATCAATGTGCCCTTTTGAGCACACTTATCGCCAATTTATCTGTACTGACGCAATCCCCTTTAATTAGAGAAAGTGCAAGGGCAGCTGACTCGCCG